GACCAGGTGGTAGAGAAGGTTTGGAAGGAGATAGGAGACGAGGAGGAGACGTTGGACACGGAAGGGTCCGGGGGGTTCAAGACGAAAGTCAAGGAGATGCTAGAAAGTAGGGAGGAGGCAACCCTTCGGAAGAAGGTACGAAGCGAAGACCACTTGGAGATATACGGGAAGTTGAAAGAAGGATAGGGATGAAGACGTACTTGGACGGCCCCATGGACTACGCGAAAAAGCTGAAATTGCAATTTCGAGTAGGCGACCTGGACTTGCCAGAACGTAGGAAGAGGTATACCAGCCGTAGGAGAGAGGAAGAGGAGGATAGACACACATGTCCATGTGGCAAATCGGAGGAGAGTAGACCCCACATAGTTGGGGAGTGTGAGTTGTACAGGAAGGAAAGAGAGGATCTCGAGGAGGAAATGAGACAGAGAGGGTGTGACATGGACAAGTTTGGTAAATTAGACAACAGCGAAAAAACGATCGCGATAATTGGGGATAGATGGTGGGCACAAGAGGCCCTAGAGGACGGGGATAAGATGTGCAAGAAATTTTTATGGAGGTTGTGGCAGAAACGTTAAGAGCTCCCAAATGTTGGTGGTGTCTCTAGTAGGGGTAGGAACGGTGCTCCGTCTCGAAAGGGACGCGTGGTCAATGGTCAAATAACTACGGCAAGCAACAAATGAGTACGCCCCCCCTCCCCAAGGAGAAGATATCTGTTGCTTGTGCCGAGAGAGAAGAACAGAATCTAAGGAAAGAAACCAAGGACAAGGAGGGTCTAGAAGTGTACGAAATGTTGAAAGAAGGAATAGGGTTCAAGGATTACCTACATGGACCAATGGATGCAGGGACAAACCTTAAGGTCAAATTCAGGACCGGGGACATGGGCCTTCGAGAACGTCGACGAAGACATAGGACGGTAGACGACGAAGACGACAAGTTCAAATAAATGTGATGGCGGCTTCGAATGCGAAGACCGTGTTCATGTAGTCGCGGAATGTCCGTGGTACGAAGAGGAGAGGGAGGTGTACATGACTGAGCTGGGAAAAATACAAGGGACGTACAGGGAGATGTTTGAGGCATGGAATAGAGAGGAGAGGACGGTAGCTGTACTGGGGAGTAGGAAGTGGTTTGAAAAGGCGGGAAGCGATATCGTTGGGATAGACAGACTGTAGGGGAGACATTTTTGAGCCACCTTTGGCAAAGTAGGAAGGAACGATTGGCCATCGGTGATCGGTCCTGTGGGAACAGTGCTCCGTCCTCTCGAGGACGCGTGGTCAATGGTCTAACCGCTAAGGCATGCAAAACATAAGAGTACGCCCCCCCCCCACCCCCCGACCGCGATAATTGGGGATAGATGGTGGGCACAAGAGGCCCTAGAGGACGGGGATAAGATGTGCAAGAAATTTTATGTAGTTTGTGGCAGAAACGTAAAGAGCTCCCAAATGTTGGTGGTGTCTCTAGAAGGGGTAGGAACGGTGCTCCGTCTCGAAAGGGACGCGTGGTCAATGGTCAAATGACTAAGGCAAGCAACAAATGAGTACGCCTCCCCCCCCTCCTCCGAGGTTTGTGCCGGAGGTGCTCCCAGTTGGTGCTAAAAGGTGTCCCCGGCCCGCGCAGCTCAGGGAGCTCGCTGACCACAGCCCCATGTCGACATCTCCACACCACACAGCAGCTGCAACCAGCGCAACCGCAACCATGGCCTATCTATATTCGTAGTGTTACAGCACACTCAACTCCAACTCGGGGTCTGTTTTTTGGACAAAACGGTGAAGACCCGACCAACTTTTGGTCCCGGAGTTCTGTGGATCTTTCTGTTCTAACTCCGTATCCGGGCGTGAACTCCGGGAGGACAAAAGTGGTTAAGACCCAGCCTAAAACAACAGACGACAAAATCGTAGACACCAGGACGGTTGCCCGAGGCGAGCTGCGATACCAGTACGAAAAAGCGGATTGCACAACTTATTGGGGTGTAGACGAGTGGGTAACCAAACCCCCAATGTTCCCGGTCACAATTTAGATTATAGTCGTCTCTCCAAGTTTCAGTGCATGATGTACGTACGACTGTGTTGTGTTCCACAACACCTCTCTCTTGGATTCGACAATACGTCATCTCCCACCCGGTTCACTACCTTCCAGGAAAATCCATTGACCTTGAACTGATAAACCTCGCACTCGCCCACGTACTTTTTGGCTACACCCAGAAAGTACGGTTTGATCTGCCTCGATGCGCCAAACAACTGCGAACTACTGCTGTATCTATGCGTACACCTCGTAAAAATGCGGCCACAGAGATATCCGCGGAGGCAGACACCACGTCATATTTTTATCCGAGAGAAGTCCAACCCGCTGCTCTAAACGACAACACGACAACCAACGGGACAGAGGTACATGCATGTATGTACATATCTCGAGTGTGATCTGTGTTTCGGCGGTCGGCGACAAACTCACTAGATAGGAACAAGAGCATACAACACGGTAGGCTCTATCGAAGAAGAAACATCACACAACTCACCTCCCTGTTTTTCAGGAATGTTGCCATGATCGACAGAGTGAGGCAGTGAGCTCGTTTAAAGTCCTACGATGCCTTCAATGCGTCGTTGACGTCCGAAATGGAACCATAGGGAATGAAGCAGGAAGGTATCATACATCATACACGACGCCTTTGTTTCTTTTGTTTGGTGGGTGGTGTTGAATAAACACCAGGTTGATTGTTGTGGCGCTCGTTGGAACAACTAAGCGGACAATGTTGTAGAAGATGCAGGATGAAGCTCAGGCAGGAGACGTTTTACTTCTTCACGGTCTTCTTGGGGAGGAGCACGGCGTGGATGTTGGGCAGCACACCGCCGGACGCGATCGTCACCTCTCCGAGAAGCTTGTTCAGCTCCTCGTCGTTGCGGACGGCCAGCTGGATGTGGCGGGGGATGATGCGGGCCTTCTTGTTGTCGCGGGCGGCGTTGCCGGCCAGCTCAAGCACCTCGGCGGTCAGGTACTCCAGCACGGCGGCCAGGTACACCGGAGCTCCAGCTCCCACGCGGGACGCGTACTTGCCCCTCTTGAGGAACCGGCCAACACGGCCAACAGGGAACTGCAGTCCAGCCTTGGCCGACCTGGTGGTCGACTTCTTTCCGCGGCCTCCCTTTCCCTTTCCGGACATGGTTGTTGATGAGTTGGTGATGAAGTAGACAGAGAGAGATGGGGATGTTTTGAGTTGTGAGAAGGGGGGCCGGGATAGTCGCGACAGGCAGGCAGCGAGCAACGAGCAACGGCTGAAATCCTTCGTGCGGCGGAACTCCATTTTCAAAATACTATCAGGCCATCAGGCCGCGCCGTTCTGCTCTGTGATTGGTGGAGATATGAATCTAGATCAATGATTGGCGAAGGCAATAGCGGTGGACGAAAAGGAACAACGCCGATAACACCTCCCGAGCGTACTATCTTCTATCTTCTAGAGAGAGCGATCTCTGTCGGCTCTCCCACTCTCTGCCACAACTCTCTCTCCACCCTTCTCACTCAACACCCAACCAGCAAAGATGGCCAAGACCCCCTCCAAGAAGTCCGCCAAGGCGCCCAAGAAGGCCGGCGACAAGAAGAGGACCAACAAGAGGACCGAGTCGTACTCGTCGTACATCTACAAGGTGCTCAAGCAGGTCCACCCCGACACCGGTATCTCCAAGCGCGGCATGTCCATCATGAACTCGTTCATCAACGACGTGTTCGAGCGCGTGGCCGGCGAGTCCGGCAAGCTCACCCGCTACAACAAGAAGGCAACCCTGTCCTCCCGCGAGGTCCAGACCGCCGTGCGCCTGATGCTTCCCGGAGAGCTCGCCAAGCACGCCGTTTCCGAGGGCACCAAGGCCGTCACCAAGTTCACCTCGTCCTAATCAGCAAGCGAGGTGCGCTCTGTTCTTCAAGGGCCACGTCTTTCTGTGGGGTGGCTCGCTTCGGCTCCCACAACCAGCAAAACCAACCTGGTGTTTACTCAACACCACCCAACAAACCCAAGAAAAACAAACCGGTCGTTCTCTCTTTGGGCTGTTGGCTACCTATGTACGCGTGATATTATGTAGAGGTATCTTTGTCTCGATATTCGAGCCGGGTTAAACTAAAATCCGAATTTGAAATTGGTGAGGTTACATTGGCTTGGGGGAAGAGGCATCAATCACTTAACCAGTAACTATAGGAGTGGGCGTTGTTGTGGTTTCCCACAGGGCCTACGCAAGCGGGTACAGCAGTGCGACCTTGGAGGGCGCAAGCACGATCCACTGCAGGTAAAAAAAATGCTGTTTCTGCTGCAGACGCCCGTCTTGTCTAGCGAAGCAGTAGTTGTGCCTGCTGCGATTGAAAAATAACAAGTGGGATTTGGGAAGCGCCTCTTGACATCCAAAGTCCTGTCCTGCCGCAGCTTACATGTACATTGTTTACCTTGTTGTGAGAGGTGTTGTTGTTCCATATCTTTGATGGTTGAGGGCTGCCCGCCCTCGCCCTTCATGTCTAACCACATTGATGTCAGCAGGTCTTAACAGCCAGTATCTGTCGCAGAGCACACGGTTGTGCGGTGTGATGAAGGAACACAACTAAAAAATGCCGGCCGAATACCCGCCGGTTGGAAAAAACACGTCTCATTACTTGGACTAGATTTAGGCTAGGCCAGCACAGCCAAGAACGTCATTTTGGGGTCCTTGCCATGCCACGGCGGCGAACGGTCTTGTTCGTCCCCCCATGCAGCCGGACGAGCGACTCCCGGAACGGCTGATGCTTGCGAGCTGGTGGGGGGTGAGGGCCCAGGCAGGGGGAAACCGGAGCAACACTGGCAGATGTGCCTGAAGGACGACTCACGATGTTCGAGGCAGAGCACGGATCTACGGACATGGAGCCATGTGTCTTCGGAGTCCCGCAAACAACTTGGATGGAAACAGCGAAGATGGAACGGGGTGTACCGTGGCATACGGGGGTACTCTGCTAAGAGGGTCATGGCCTCCTGCCACAAAGATGAAGAGGCTAGCCGACAACGAGCGCTCAAACGAAACAAGCCCGGCAACAGCATGGAGACGGCAACAACCACTGGGGCGGGAGGGGTGCAGCAGACGGACGAGACGGCGAGGGAAGAGAGGAATCGCGAAGAGGCGGACTGAGCGGCGCAAAATTCTGTGCGCTTCCGTCCAAACCACATGTCAGACGAGACTGCATGAGCGAGTACACACACACACGTGCATGAACTCGACTTCTGTCTACCTACGTGCCCGTACAACGCTCACCATACATACTACGCTCACTCATGTAGATGTTCTGTTCCTTGACATGCTATGTCGGACTATTTTTGTACATGCGACTTTGATGCCGATTACTAAGGAAAGCTCTTTGTTCTTTGTTGCTGCTGTAAGCCGAATTGAACTTCATTGACTACTGCCCCCCTCCTTTGCTGCACCATTGCATCAACCCCCCACGAACGATGGCGTGCCTTTGCTGTCTCGGGTGACCCGTTTTGTCTTGTCTTGTGTTGTCTGTTTGTTGTTTGTCACTACGGTAGTGGGTCTGGCGTGTCTTTCTCTTAGTGTTTCTCTTTACCTTTTCTCCCTCTGCTCTTTTTTTTTCTTCTTTTCCTTTTTTCCCGGTTTATGGTTACCTCGCATGGCGTGTAGAGGCGAGCGGAGTGTCCTAGACTATCTGTCGTTGACTTCTATTGACTTGCGGATCCTTCGGGTTCACTTTATTTCGTACACCTTTTTTGGGTAAGTTAGCCTGCGACCACGGGAATCCACCGCGTCAAGTGTTAGACTAGTACGGACAGAAGAAGGTACTGGGTAGAGAAAACGGAACAATTTTTTAATGTGAAGAAACAGCGACAATATGTTTGCACGGTGTTACTGGCTCTACCGCAGTGGCTAGCGCCTGTGGTACTTTCGCCATGGGGGGGGTGTTCCCAGCGACAGCCATGAACGAAGGAATGGAGAAAAATCATGTTGACCGTCTTTGATTCCATCATTATCGTTGCTCCAGACAGATGCGTGAAAGGAGCAAGCTTCCTTGAAGCCGGTTTCTCGGCGAGACCGAGATGTTAACAAGTAGCTCAACGGGAAGCTTCCATCCGGTGCTGGGGAACTCGTCGCGTTGGGAATCAACTACTTCTAGAAGTAACGCCCGGGCAGTCTAATCTTGTCCTCGCAGCCATCTAGTGGCCAGGTCATGGATTCGAATCCCTGCGCCCCATCCACTGGAACCAGGGGGTCGCATGAATGGAGTCTATTCGATGCTCCTTTATGTATTTTTCACGTAGATTGGGACATTGGCTACTGGATGTGCGGAGGCATTCATTCGCACGCCCTTGCATTGAAGAACACAAAACATACTTCTACTTCGTACAAGCTTCACACGACGAGACGCGTGTGTGCGCGATACACACACTAAACGCACAATCCTGTAACCTGTCAAATCTGCCAAAGCATGACTACGAAAGGGAACTCCCATACAGCAAGGATCCGCACCGACGATGTTCTTTATTGCACCTACCGCCCCTTTAGCTTGTCGCAAAACATCGAACTTTGTTCAGAAAAATAGCTCATCAATGAACCCTGCACACACCATGTTGCAAAACATACAACGTACACCCAGCGCGGCTACGATCTGAAAACACCGAGTCTTGACCCACAACCAACGATTCTCAACTGCGGGTCCCGACTGCAGTCACCCATGCATTATTTTCAAGGCAATAAAACTACCCAGCGTTAAGTGTCGTGTACGAGATCTCTCATGTGTGTACAACGCACGATACATATGGTCCCAATCCCCACGTGTTACTTCAAGACCAGCCCAATGTAGAAGTCCCAGCACACAAACACCCATTGACACTGCATCCAGCATTTCTTTCGGATGAATGGCGTCGTTCCACCAAATACCAAATGCCGTCCGGGATATTTTCCATCGGGACGAGTCGTTAACTCGATGCGTCCCATTGCCTCCCTCTACTTTCCAACAAAAACTACTGCAAGTCGGCGTCCCCTGCTGTGTCATTGCCCTCGACGTTGCACCACAGATAATACCACACAGACATCACACAGATAATATCACACGGAAGCTTCAGCTTTATCCCCGCCCTCGACTTCATCACAGATACCGCAAACCATGTTGGCCGGGACAGCTTTGTCGATCTGTTTCGGGTACGGGAGGTTAAGGTTGGACATGATGGACACGAATTCTTCGACAGGCTTGGTGAGGCGGGGGTTGTACGCCTTCTCCTCGCCCACGGTGCTGCTGTGTCGACCCTGAAAAAAAAAAAAAAATGCAAACGACACACACGCAACGGAGTTGATCTACTTGTTGCAAGCGCTGCAAGGTTAAAACCATCGACAAGTGGATACTTCTTAATAGTGGCAACATGTAAGGTACAACTACCACTCCCTCCAAGCCCAACCGAAACGCCGAACAAGCGTCGGGGACGACCCTGCACACAGCGGGGGGAAATCAACGTGCGCCGACGCTGTTCTATCAAATGCTCAAAAATCCGAGACGATCCTACAGCAGTGCGGCACAAACACTCTGGGATAACACAACGAGATGAACAAACCCTTGTCGCGAAATGACCAAATAAAAAGGCTAACTTCGTTTGCCCGAAAGAACAGTATTCATGACGAACCAATCTAAAGGTTCTGTTTTCACGACCTACTTAAACACACTTACATACCACGAACGGCAGCTGTGGTTCTACCAAGTCCGCCGCAACATCCATGGTGCTTGCTGCGTGTCGGAAAACGACCGACAAAAACCAGTAGAGTTGCTTCTTCGCGACACAAGTCTACTCCCGATATAACCAGCACCGTAGCTGTGACGACGGCTACACCTTGCCTGGTAGTCGTGTCCCGGGTAGACGGTGCAATCATTCGGCAAGGTGAAGATCTTCCCCTTCACGGAAGCGTAAAGAGTCTCGCTCGACCCGCCCTGCACGCAACCAGCACAGCAGGCGGTACACGTGACATTCTCGGCATCATGCATGATAGATAGCTTGTCGTTATGCGTACTACCCTCTTGCAATTGCATTGTTTGATATGTGCATGAATCGTGCACCCCTGGAGCAGCGAGCGGGGCCAGGCGTGTTGTTGGCTTGGAGGAACAGTTAGAACCAACGTGTCGGAACAACGGAGCAAAACAATCTCTGGGTTCAGGTTGTGGAGGCTGATGATTACTAGTCATTCGAAAGTAAAGCAAAACCTGGAACCACCAACCAACAAATATATTTCTGTACCATACGCCATCCCTGGGAAACGCCAAGAAATTCGAGACCTGCATCCTGTACCGCGATGTGCACATTTTTCTCACGGCCGTAAGAGCATTGAACGCAACAGAAGCAAAAACAAAAAACATTCCTGGAACTAAGAAATTCAATGTGGGAAACAAGCACTATTTCAATGCTGCCGTACAGCAGTAACCCACTGCTGTAGGCTTCACGTGCGTGACACCTGTTTGCTGCGAAGCTGGCGCTCTCTTCCCCGGAACTATCTATTATACCTTCCACATGCACGTGATGCGTTCCCTGTACGATACACGTAACGCGCTACACGTCGTGTCCAATCACATCACAAACACATGCTAAGCTCCTCTTCCTCCACATTCTCCCCCGCCAGCACCCGGTCGAGCGCACTGCCCTTGGCCCCTCGTGGGACACTCGCAATCGCGCTCCACTGTCTGATGTCGACCGACATTGCCTGGCGTCGATCGGTATCGATCGGCAGCAGTGTTTGGACCGCTGGCCTTGTCGAGGAACCGAACGCGTCAGTGGAGCGCGGCAGCGCGAGCGTCGCTCGACCGGGTGCTGGCGGAGGAGGGTGTGGAGGAAGCAGAGGACCTGGGCGTGCGGCGGCTTGGTTGGGGCATATGATGTAGGCGCAGGAGAGGGCGGAAAGCTTTTGAACGCCTATTGAGGGGTTCGCATGGTTTGATAATATTATTTTGTGATTGGGCACGACGTGTAAGCGCGTCATGTGCATTAGGAACGTGTCACGTGCATCTGGAAATTACAAAACTGTAGATAGACAAGTTCGGGAGAAGTGGGCGCCAACTTCGCACGCAGGTGTCACGCACGCGGAACCTACAAGAGTGTGCTACCTGCTGTACAGCAACATTGAACTACTGGAATCCTTGTTTCCACCTTTTTCGCCGCGCGCGGCTAAACAACCACCACCAGAACAGACTACAAAACGTTTCGCATACATCTACACATCTATACAACCAACAACAAAAAAAAAGTTCTAGAGGGATTGGTCTGAACCACAACGTCTGATGTAATTGGGGTCTTCTAGTTTTAAAGGGGGCGTTGAATGTATTTTCTCGTGCTGTACTTGAGGTACTTGTTAATTTCTGGTTTTGGGAGGACATATATATATATCTATGCATATGTGTAACAGCTGCGCAAAAAAAGTTGCCGAGAGTGGAATGAAAAGCCAATTCAACAGTCCTGTGTCTTGGTGTACTCTGCCTGCGATTTGTTTACACCTGAGGAATTCTTGACCTGATCACCGGTGGTTTCGAGCTAACCGTATTTGGGTGTGTTTTTTTGCGAAGCTCCTGTTCTGCGCTGTGGATACATGCTAGGTATTTTGTTTGTCTGCAACTGTATCGCAGGGAATGTCTGTGTTGCCTGACCGCCACCATACTCTCAAAAATAAATATCAAGGTGTCTCTGCCTCATCGGCGATTGTTCCGGTCAAGAGCTTCCCGGTATGGCAAGAGGTGAATGGTGAACGGAGACAAAAATATATGAGACCGTATGCACACCACTGCTGCTGTCGCCGGTGTTAGGACCCTGCGTCTATAAAATTGAAAAATTGTTAATCTCTTGCATACTTGATCTCTAGGAATTTTTGGGTTGGCTTGCGACCACGGACTTGTTTGTTTTTCGTTCAATTATAGGATAAAACGTATATACCGAATTGAGCAAAACGTTTTTTCAGTGCCAAACCAACAAACAACTTTCGTATGTACAGACAAGCTGTTGTCGTCACAATAAAAAAATGCAGGAAAAAAAAGATCGACGCTACGGGAGATTCGAACTCCCGACCTCTACCACCCTAAGGTAGAATCATAGCCAACTAGACCAGCAGCGCCGGCCGTGACCCTCACGGCGAAAGGTGAGAAAAAATTGAGTTTATGAAACACGGGAGTATGAATCACCGTCAATCGTAACCTCATCTTTGTTGTGGCCAGTAGCATACCACGGCCATGTTATGGTGTTGGTCTGAAGTGCTGCATGTGAGGCAGAAAAGAAAAATAATAAAAAATAGAAGAAGGAACAGGGTCATGTGAATATGTGACACGTGCAACACTTACGGAGCAGCAAGAGCAGGGTAAAACATAAAATAGCGCCCGCCGGTGAGCAAGGTCGGGACAGGCATTGTATGTAGAGTGTTTTTCTGTTTGGTGGGGGGGAAAAAAGGTGAAACTTTTTTGGGGGGGGGGGGGGGGGGCATAGAGATAGCGCCAAAGGACGGTTGTGGGAAGGTTAGGGGGAGGATATTTCGATGTGAACTCCAGTACGACCACTAGAAGGTACTGAGTGGAGACCGGTTTTTAATGTGAAGACAACAACGACAACAACAACTCCGGATTAGACGTTGTCCACTTATTGACAGGTATAATGGCCGCATTCACCGAAAACATGAAAATATGGCATCGCAGAATGGGGTGACCCAACACAAGAGATAAAAACAAACCTTCAACGTGATGCATCCTAAAACGTCCAGAATGAATGGGATGACACACAGACAGGTGGCGCTTTTCGCCCGCAGTATAGCTGACGTCTGTTCGTCCGTGAGCCGGTTAAGCGCCATCAATGTAATTTAATTAAATAATTCGAAGTAAAAACACACACACACCGTGCTCTGGTTGGGGTTCCGGGTATCATGCGCAAGACGGTATGTTCGGCAGTGGGAGTATTAATAGTATGGATGCCAAATCTAAAGCCATAATCTACACATTTGCGCCTGATCGGTGATAAACCTGACAGAGAACTCCCCCGCAATTGAAGGGTGCGTCGTAGAGACAAAGCCCAGAACAGAGCGCACACGGACCACTTTCTTGCATGATGTGCACGCTGATCTTGTATGCCTTTCTTGGTGGATTAAAACGCCGCGTCTCACGTCTCCAGTGTGAGGAGTGGTGTTGGCATGGCCCGCACAATCAAATCCGATGATATAATACCCCCAGGCTTAACTTGCCAACAAGGGTAGTTCTCCGGGTGTGTTTCAATTCAATTGAGTAATTGCTCTTCGGCATCGTTTTTCTCTTCGTCTCCCGGAGATCGGCCCTGCCGCAGCCGCTATGCTGTTTTTTTTTTTTTTTTATTGGTCTTCACTTAAAATCAGCGCTCACAGCACTTGTGCCGTTTACTCCAACCCTGAACCATTGTTGTTCGTCATCATGATCTTGTTTATTGCACCTGGAAATCGGTCCTGCCGCAGCCGCGTACGAGAAGAGTGTCTCCCGTGAAGCAAGCGCTCTTGTCGTCGAGAACGAACGTCATGCACCCAGCTGTGTGCCCCGGCGTGGCCCGTGCTTCCAGATACCTGCCGTGCAACGATGTTGTTTTTTAGATTCGAGATTTGATCTTCGGAAGCATCGTCCATTGTTGTTTTTTTGTCATATTGAAGTAGACGCCCTTGTAACAATGCGCAGTCGAGGGTAGGGCGGGAGACGGCCAGAGTGCGGAGGGGTAGCGGCCAGTATGTCTCCCGTATGCGTGACTTTGAAGTGAGGGCTCCGGCCTGAGGATGCTGAATAGAGCACGACTCATCGAAGTGCCCACGTTTTTCTTAGTAGATTGCAACACGTGTGCGCTTCAGAACCAACGGCTTTTTTTCTCGGCTATTGTCTTTTGCACTCGAGTGCATCTCGGGGAGAAAGCCCGTGTACCAAACTCAGGCATGAAACGTGGGTGTTGTAACCATGACCATATTGATCGCCATTCGTTTATAGAACGGAGCTAGATACCATTATTAGGTTACACCACGAAAAATCTCTGTCCTAAATAAGGTTCACGGCACCTGACATGCCACCGCAACACTGTGAAAGCGACCACAAAACACCACATGACACATCAAAAGGGTGACTAGCATCATATTTCAGGCAGGTCAGCACATCACATGAAGAAAAACACCACTATGAGTACAACCCAAGACAAGACCAGTTTGTAAAAAAAAAGCGGCCGGAGAGTGTCTGCGTAAAACCGCCATGTGTGGGGCCGCTCCATCCATCGCACACACAGCAACCCGTGGTCGAGCAGCGCAAGTGCAACTATTAATAATAGCTTCACGAGAACGATGAAAAAAAAACAAAGCACGCGGGCGCCGCTTGAGAATATCTGTTCCACGTCTCCACGCCTGCTTCCCGGACCTATGCATGCAGGTGCTGGCGTTCGTTCACTGAAAAAAAATATATACATCAAAAATATTTCCAAAAGTCACAAGACACCAGGCAGATGAACCAAACAAGCGCCCGGCGGGGGTCCGGTCGGGCAAAGAGACATAACGTAGGTGACAAACGGAAGATATCACGCCCCCCTCGATCGATTTTCGGAGCTCCGTTACTCCACGACAAAGAGGATGTACAACTCAAACGATTCGTCTTCGGCAAGCTCTCGACGAGACGGTTGCAACGCCGCCATTTTTTTGGTGCCACCACTATTTCTGATGTGGAGAAATCAAGCCACGATATGAAAAATCAATCCAGGTGGTGTGGGATCTTACGTCACCTGCGGTACGCTACGTACGTACCATATATGATAAGTGTAGGTCCCCGAATAAAGCGGTGGCGGGGCAGCTGATAATGACCGCCTTTTGTGGGGCAGCCGCCATATTCGCTGTGTACAAGTACTTAATCGCTCCGTCTATGCCAGCTAAATTACCCGTCTTACACAGGGCAACCGTCATATTGACACAGACCGCCGTATTCAGTGATTCCCACTACTGCAGGTGGAAAGCATGTGCGGACAGACCTGGAGCCGAACCGGATCTTGTCACCGTCGTGGATCTTAACGTCCGCCTGTCCCCCTGACGCCTCCGAGACACCACTCTTCGCGCCACCCGGCAGCAGCCCCTTGAGCTTGCCGGTGCCTGTGATGTGGTCGGCGTGGACGTGGGTGTTGAGCAGCAGCGTCGGCTTGAGGCCCATCTCGGTCACCATCTGCGAATCTCGCTCGGCCGTCTTGTCGACGGGGTCGATGATGACGGCCTGAGATGGAAGCCGGCGTTAAGGGGGAGGCGAGCAGGGAAAAGCGGCGTCAAAGATCAAAGGGGGGAATAGAAAGCCAAACAAAAAAGAGTGACAGCTTCGTGTGCCCAGCAACATCACTGGCTGTGTATCGTGGAAGACCATTTGTGAAAGAAAGAGAGCGAAATGCGCTGCGCTGCGCAGTACATATGCATACATGTAGTAGTGGGAAACACGCGTGTTGTGTTGGTGACCTTAATTTGGCGCGTGGAATTGCGTAGAGAAGGGTATGGTGTCCTACGACTGCCGAAGAGGACGAAAATAGTCAGCTGGACTCAATCAACACAGCGGCTTGTGAGAGACGCCGGAACGCAGAGTGAGGCGAGGCAAGGCGGGGCATTTTCTGCACAACTGTGGACGTTGGCTGGAATTAGTGCCTCGGCGATTGCACGGAAACTGCCAGCGAAATGTCCACAATAGGAGTGGCTACGACGACATGCCCAGGGTATCAACACAGCATAGATAACGCCTGCCGAATGGTGAACGACCCGAATGAATGCACGCAGTTCTGGTCGATGTACTCAAGTGCCGACAGCAGCACCGTAGAGCCAAACAAAAACGTCCAATATTTTCAAAATGAGAAGAATCGACGTGATAAGGCGGGGGCTACATCGGCGGTGACCCGGAAAGCACGCCAGACAAAACACAAAACACTAACGCGCGATGGGCACGATCGTCTTTAGTACTACAGGTGCCAGGTATGTGACTACACAAGACAGCATATTTTTGTAGATAGGTTCGCAGTGTACATACTTGTTTGGTCTCGGCATCGCCCAAGATATAGGTGAATGTTGACGACTCTTTCTCGAACAGCTGCCTGCAGTGCACACAGAGTTGGGGTGGGAACACCGAAGCACGGGAACTGGTTTCAGAGCGCCAAGATCACGGGATCACGGGGGATGGGGAGACAAATAATGTGACGCGACGCTAAGCGTCTACACGGGAGGACAAGAAGTCAACGACCATTACGTTTTCCATTGTTAAAAGCATCAAGAACTGACAGGGGTCGTGCACAGCAATACAAGACACCAACTCGTGCAAGATACATCTTCCGGACACTGGAAGGGGTCAGCAAAGAAAGCTAACGCACGATACCTGAAGATTAGTCCGCCCTTTGGAAAGCGAGAATCCACGCAAGCCGACACCCATTCCACCATCGGTGGCATCGTCAAGAACTTAAGCCCCAGCGGCTGATCAACAAGAGAGGGGGACAAAACGTGAGGCGAGAGGAACAGCGTGGCTCGTTGCTGGGGTACTCGAACAGGCAGTACGGCAGTACCGGAAAGGCTCGACAAAGTGCGCGCACAATCTGATCAAGGGGAATGAGATTTTGTCATAGGGAACGCACGAAGTTCGTGAGCCGACGAGCAGCAATCCCGGGAACCTATTTAGAGCTACACGCGAGGTGTGCGTGCGACAACGAAATCAGCCGTCCGTTGCAATGAGCCCAGCGCTGGCGCAGCCCGTCTGTAGCACGGTATCGATCGAGAGTCACTCGCAACTCGTTCCCAAGGTTTTCTGCAACAAGGCGAATACAAGGTTAAATCAAGCCCCCTCGTCATGGCAAAGCTCGCACATCGCTGGCACACCTTCGCCCATTCAAGAGTCTGCTCCGACGACCAGCCGTTCCGGCAGCCCTGAAACACGGAGGCCATGGCACCTGGCCCATGGACAGATTTACGACGTTGGGGCGTCAGGCGAGATTGTGATTTGGGCAAGCGTGCTAGGGCTAGATCCAACTGCCGACAAACCCACGAGGGCAGAGGAAGACAGCCTACGTAGCCCTCTGGAAGACACAGATACTCTTGTAGATTCAACCCGTGAGCAATTTCACTGGCCAACAACAGCACAAATCACTCATGCGCTCATCATCGTCATCATCGCGGACCTGGGGGGCTTGTTTAGCTCTCGTGAATGTGGCATAGTGCGCCAATGGGTTCTACCGTGAATCGATGCTCGGGAGTGCCATTACTTGCACGGTGCGAATAAACGCAACCGTTTCCAATCTGAACCGAACCGTAGCCACCAACAGATATCGCCAGGGTCCGCGGTTGTTCCAATAAAGAGTACCAGGTAGGTCTCAAGGTATAGAGAGGAGAACAACAAAGAGGCTGAAGAATCAGGCAGCATGGCCGGTGTTCCCTAACCAGTGTACAAGCAGCAGCAGCAGCAGCAGCCCGTAGAGTCTGCATTGATGACCAGCACCCAGGAGGGTAAGCAACAATGAGCCGCTGACGGGACTGCCACCATGTAGGTACACACCGGCTCTGTTGGCGCTCTTGCACATGAAGAGGATCGGCTTGGCCATCTTGTTGATCCTGTCCACGGCGGAGAGGGCGCTGCGAACCTCGAAGAGGCCAGGACCGAGCGGAAGGTCTACCCTTTCCCTGCATAGCAGCAACAAGACCCCTGTGCCTCAGTAGTTGTTGTGGCACAAACACAATGGCCGGGGCTCTCTGAGGCAGTATTACAGACTTACAATAACTGGACGACTACCCGTTCGTGATGCAACAGGCTCTCTAGTTTGCTAGCCTCACGTATGCACTTCCTTCCTCATTCAAGAGGTTGACGGGCAACAGGAGGAGGGTCGGTATATATTCGTACTTATGAGAGGAGCTTTCCCAGGCTTGGTCCGGCAAGCAGCCTTCCTGCGGCTTGCACAGGTACACCAGAGATGCCACGTCCTTGGTTGCAGCGGCGAAGTCTCCGTCAGGCCCCACCTGCATGGTCGATCGATCAACGGCCACAGGCGCAACAACATCAATCCATCGAGGCGTGGCACGAGAGCAGAGGTGCTGCGTTTCATCATGTGTGCAACAGGCGTCACCAAGATGCGGAGACAATAGAGCGATAGGTCAACAACAGCAGGAGAAAAGGGTGTTACGAAAAAAAACATCCACGATGTTGAATATGGTACTCCATAATTAACTCCATAATTCCATGTCGATTTTGGCTTTTGACTTCCCGGCCCAGCTTTCAATGCACCGCCTTCCCTGCCAAGAGCTCGGCCGTAGATTGGTAGCACACATGCTGTAAGAGGACGAGCACGCTGTTGAGATGTAGGAGCTCCAAATCGATAAACAACACCAGAGGTTCATGGCCATCGCGATATCGCGATCCAACGATCCAACTCATGCTGAACTAGACTGAAACCATAACTGCAGTCAGTAGTATGCATACTATAATAGTCAAGAGTGTACTCGTAAACTGAAACCGCAACAGCCAGTAGTATGCATACTAGTCTAGAGTTCTACAATAGACAGCAGTTATGCAGAGCGCAAGCACAATGTTTGCAAGCCAGGACTCTCTGGAGATAGCATCGGTACTGCGGCGGTATAAACCACACGGCGTTAACCGAGGCACCTGCCCTTAACTTCTGCAAGAGGCACATCACTACCCCGCAGGTCTGTTGTTGACCTACAGGCTCAACTTCGTGTTGTAGAGGGGGTACGCACAAACCGAGCACGCAGAGAGCGGCACAGCAGCAACATTTACTTCAGTGGTGTGTGGCCGCAGCTTACCTGTCCCGTTATGAAAACCTCCCCGCCACAGACGTCAATCAACTCCATCGCTTAGCTTGGTAGGAGATGGGTAACGTGTCTGCAGAGGAGTGGAAGCGAGAGGGCGAGAGGCGCTGTGGGCGGGGGGTTTTACGCCGCGGAATCGGGCAAATATTCTTCACATTCTGTCCTGCAAACGTCCCCTTATAGGGGACAGGGGATGGGATCTCGAAGAAGCTCAAAACTTGCAACTTGCAAAAACTTGTCCTGCTGTCCTTCGTTCTTCACGTGTATGCATACAGCGCAGGGTTTAGGAGGGGGTTGAGTGCCCACCGCACTTGTTGGATTGGGGGGGTCACTCGAGTGCGGGCTAGATGCATTGCTGCTCTCGGCGGCACCTTCATCAATCAATATGGATCTTGGATCTTTCGACAGCCAAACGGCGGTGAATAGATAGTAATAATCCGATTTCACGCGAGTGCTTTGGGTTGTGGGTAGGGGGCCCCAAGGAGCGCAACCCTTACCCTGCTGTGTGACCACGGGTAGGAGCTCCTACCCGACAGAAATGCTGTGATCTGCGAGCTGTGAGCGCTGATTGTAAGGAAGTGTGGAAAAAAAAAAAAAGTACTTAGTCGCACGCTAAGTAGCGGAGTCTACAATAATCACACCACCACCAACATTCCGATCAATTCACACGAAATGATGAAGTATGCACACAGCACACTGATTGCCGCACGAGAGCCAATTTAACTCCTCGGTTGTTTGTGGGGCAGCACCTTCAAAGTTACAAGGCAGAGTGCACTAATAACACTAATAACGCCGCACCCCCAGCTCTCCGCGCCAGAGGGTCATGAGTGGCAGATAGTCTGATCTGGTCTTCTTTGGTCTTCTTGGAGAATGAACAGGGCACCGTCATCACTGACCTCTTGATAAAAACTTGAGTGTGCGCGATACTAAGGTACCAGAAGTGACCCAGACACAGGTCCAAAGAGGCTCGCTCCAGTCGACAACTGGATAGCGAACAAAGAAATCTGTCGCACGGGGCAGACAGGGGATATGGCGGGTCATGGCCACCCTCTGGGAGACTGGTCTTGACAATGCCATGGCTAGCAGGCAAGTAGTGGACACAGCAATGATCTACATTCGCAACAAGTTCATGAGTCAGAAAAGGGCCGAGAGGTAAACATTGCTCATTGTGTACACGCATGGCGGTTGCGTCCGCCCTCTGCCCTCCATCAGCACGCTGGGTCGCCGTGCAACTCCTCTCTTCTGACTCGTGCCCTCTGAAATGACATACATTAGCACGGTACGCACCACAGCCGGACAACTCTTCGTTCTCTACAATAATATCCTAAGTATTTATTTACGCTATGACACCGACGAATGAGGTCTTCGTCCCAACCCAAAGGCCCTCACATTCACAAAAGACATAGATCGCCAAGCGCTTGCGCGAAACACGTCGTCTTCGCGCCACCCACACTAAACAACAACTTCGACCAGGCCACATTACACACCCATGCCGCAGAACCACTCTAGAATATGGGTACAACGTACTGAGCAGCACCAGCAACAACAACAAACAACAGTCAGCCAAATGGATCTGGGGAGGGTCGTCGCCGAAATGAGCGACGGGACGGGAAATGGGCCGGGGACAGGGGGTGCCTGCCCCATGTCCATTGGTATCCATGGAAAATACTTTCAAAAGACTCCGCGTGGGCGAACAGCTGTCTATGTGCTTAGCCACCATGCGCCATGTTATCACTCGTAATCTAACATACACTAATCCTCTCCACGATGAGAACATGCATCTATTAATAGTCTAGATATCGCCTCATGCGACGAGGCGGATCTTCGGGAAGGCCTTCTCGGTGGTGCTGGCCATTACCAAAAACTTGGCCTTGTGGGAGAGGTATCCCTTGACCAGATTCTGCGAGGTTTGTTCATGATCGAGAGGCGTGAATGAGAGGAAAGGGAAACAACGGAGAGAAGGTGCGGGAGATAGGTGTAAGTATTAAGAGATCACTGTCTGAATGTACGCATGTATTTCGGGGGGTAGGTATCCCAGTGGGGTATCTTACGGCATTGTGCAGACCTCATACTGTATCATTTTTCAGGACCTAACATACTGGACATATTTTCTACTTGAGAATAACAGTACGTCGTTCTAGGGGAGTAGAGACCACGTAAGACAGGTCGGGATAGTTAAGTGCATTGTGCGATGCGGCATTCTGTTTTGGGAACAGAGACGTGCGCGTGTTAATGCGAAGGCCCTCTTCTAAACGGCTCAAGAGGAACAAAAAAAAACGTGTACTACAAGTATAGGTGAAAAGAACAAACGTGACTTCACTGACGTCGACGCATCACCAACCATCCACGTGCATTGAACCACAACATGGGGCATGAGGCCTGCAACGCTTGCCGAGGTGCAGCTTCCATGCCCACTAGATCCTACTCGGGAAGATTTTTGCGAGCAATCATCACAACCCTACTATCCGCGCCTCTGCAGTACCTCAGTGTACCTCAGCACGCAGACCTGGGCAACGCAACAACTTCAAGTGGACAGGCTAGGCTAGCGTCTAGGCTCGTATGTATCCGTCATTGTTGCCAAAATACAGTAGTCCACGAGTATGTACTGAAAAGGGCCCACGCTCACCCTAAAGATAAGGTTTGCCAGGAGGCATTCAATCTCGTCCACGTCTCTCTCGTGCTCCATCCTCTGGAACGCGAACTGCACGACCCGTAGGGGAAGCTTGAACGTCTGGGTGACCACGACGCTGCATCGCACAACAGTAGCCGCAACATGACGCCAACGGAACGACAGTAACAAGTCATGAAAAGGGCACCAAACACGTACAAGCGGGCATGTATCCGTGTCAGCCTGTGTTGCGCAGACTGAGGCACTGACCCGGGAAGGGAAATAGTGACAGGAACAGCAGCAGCAGTATCATGTAGGACAGGCATCGCGTTCGCAGCCACGCGCCTAAGAAAGGTTGTCGAACAATGGCGATACATCCGAATTGAGAGAAGGATTCACACGTGTTCGCGCCCAGGCAAGCATTTCACGTACCAGACCCCACTACTCTATGCAAGCCTGCTAACACATTGGACGTGCTTGAAGGATCTTTTTTACACAAACTATGGTGAGTTTTGTTTATTACAATAGCACATCTGCAAGACAAGCATTGAACCATTTGGCCTATATGGTCCATACTACCGACTGACATTTTCTTGACGAGATTGCGGTAGACCAGCATGAGGCACTTTTCCATCAGCAGGTAGGTTCCCTTTGAGATGAACACTCTCTCCCACTGCGTCATGAGTTCATTAAAGCTGCGCACATCTCCAGTCCTGTCGGAGGACGGGGGGGGGGCACGCAGAGCGGATACAACAGAAAGGGGTAACAGCGTTACTACCGCAGATCATTGAGCGTTGTCTCGTATGAGCAGAATGTAACGTGCCTCGATCTGCTTTACATATTTGTCCCACCACGTTCTGGTATATACATCCACGAACTAGATTTGACGTGCTCTGATCCTCCCCACACCCCGTCGGCCACGCAGGCACCCGCCGAGCAAAACTGGTACACCCATGTCTAACACGGCAGTAGGCAGTCAAAAAGAAAATGCATTTAGTGCGGGACCGACCGTAACCGTAAGCCCACATTCCCAACAAAAACCGACCGCACAGCTGCAAAAGCAGTAAACAAGCGCCCGGGTGCGTGTGCGGCAGCAGCACAGCCGTGGTGACGTTGATGATCTACAGTACCTGATGGCGACGGCAAAGTCGTGGAAGTGCGCCAGGTCGTATTTCACCAGGAGATCAAGGGTGGGGTAGAGCCCTGCGGCGGTTCACGTCGCAGCACAGGGTACACGGCATCGCAAAAAAAAAACATGGGGTCACACCAAGTGGTAGAGGCAGCAAGATAGAATCGGGCGAGGCCAGCTTGAAATGCGTTTAATTAACCTTCGTGCACCAGCGAACAAAACCTCCCGCCGCCATCACCAACACATCAGCTTACGGCGCGATATCAAACCCCAGATCACAAAACAACGTCAACCGCAATAGGAAACCTTTTCTTCTCTTGGTCCTGAGGAGAGATTCCTTCAACAGTCGATTCGACGGGTGCCGAGGAGTGCAAGTTGAAGACACTCACGGTTATCACGGTTCTCAGGGTGACGGAGATCACGGAGATGCTCCGCGGAACGGAAACGAAATTTCGGAAGAAAAAATCGCCATCAGCGAGACAGCGCACCGACAAGCGATTATTACTCTCTTGAGCGCAGAACCCCTAGTGTAGGCGGATACTCCAAGCAACACATCATCCGTTCTTCCGCTCTGTTGATCACCTAAGCGGAGCCGGAGTGGCACGAGCTTATTGAGAATCCGTCTCTTGTTTCCCCTGGCCTTGTTGTGGCAGTGCCTTAGCGCCGCCTCCAGGTCCACCTCCGCATCCTTGTACTGATACAATAGTGGTTGCGAATAAAACCAACAACAAGCAGCGACGCGAGCAATGGACCGATTTCTCCACAAGAACGGGCACCACTGAACAACAATCGCGGCACACAATGATAGTGCACATTCTGCGGTCTTGCCGTGAGGACTTAGTGATCGGGTGGCCTCTTGGAAGACAAGGCCGAAGACTGAATCGAGTGGCCAACGACAAAGGAGACTGGTCTGGGTGAAGGATCCGACGTAGGCTGTTCGCCGGAAGGACCAATGCAAGGGCCAATAAACACAACGGTTTATGTGAATGATCGGTTGACGGGTCCGACGTAGGCTTTTCGCCGAAAGGGCCGATACAAGCGCCATGAAACGGAACAGTTTGGTTGAACGGCCGCGCGACTGGCCAAAGGCTCCCCGCCCACCCTTCAAGATTAAGGGGTGTTCCAGTCGGCTGACTCACCTTGTCCTCGGATATCTTGAGCACACCCACGTAGTAGCGGTAGCTAACCCAATCTGCTCTAGAGGACATCGGCTCCACGACCGTCCAGTGCTGCTCCAAAACCCTGGATGCAAAGGCGGCGATCCGTCGTCAAGGAAGGGACCCGGCAACAAAACAAGCGTCTTCGTCCTCAACGTCTCGAGAGACAGAAAACCTTCATGCCGCCTCAGGTCGTGGGAGACTGCTTCGTTCGTTTCCCTTCGGATGCAGCGCATGGTCGTTGATGAGAACTTGAGAGTGCACAGCCCTCAAGCGCTCGGGGTGTGTGGTCACAAGTGCATGCTTCAGAACCACCTAACACGCTAGACAACTTCCGCCTTTCCGACGCCAAAAAAGAACACCATGAGAGTGAGGAATGCAGATACTGTAGGGTGCACGCTTAAGCCCCCGAGCAGCTAGCCGGGCGGTGGCAGACAACTATTTAGCTCACCCCCGGATGTTGTTGCACATGCGGAGGTTCTTTAGGTCGCCGTAGTGCTTGAACATGTCGATCGCCAGGTGCAGGGCGCAGGCTTTCCTCGACGCTGCCACACGCAAAAAATCGAAAACATGAACGGAAGGAGCAGGCAGAAGAACAATATGTAACAGTTGATACGCTTTGTAATGATGGAGACGAACAGCGACACTGATCAGTGATGGCCGTGTACGGTACGATGGCAAAGCATTCTGGCCGTCGCACATCCGAGTAGAAAAGTGGCCACGAACTCCGTGTAAAACAAGCGGTGATTCTGCAACACAGAAGGTTTGACAGGCGACACGTAGATTTGACAGGCGGTGGGCAGATACGGGCAAGAACAACCCAACGCAAGGAAAGTAAACCCGCGGCAGAAAATTCTATACACTCCACATAAAAAAATCCGTGAAGAGCATTAAAAACAGAACGAAATGCTACTTGAACTTGTGCTATGAAGGGAACCCTCATGACCAACACGCGAGGGTAGGCAGCGATCCCCAGAGCACCCGAAGGAAGCGGTATCGCGCTACGATGAATCTACACGGATGCTTCAGCTGTCTTTTTTGACTGGCTGTCATCCATTCTCCAACGATTCAGCCATCCCACCACGATTGACTCGACTCACTTATCGGGTCGTTGCTCCGGTCGTTGATGGACAATCGAAACGCCTGTTGTACAACGCGGGTACAATACGATGGAAAGACGGGTTACACCGCCATCGTACGGCAAAACGTCACGCGGGGGTGGTCTATCGGGGGGGGGGCACGACAACACGCGGGACAAGATAGATATGGCAATGGGTGATCCATCACCAAGGAGCGTGCGTTCAAGTGTGACGACGACTTGGCCAACAGAAATACTCAACTGGGGCCTGTTTATCACACGGATGCACCGATACAAGATAGAACGCAGGTTCAAACACCAGGAGGAACATACTTTTAAGCCCCGCTTTGCATCAACCTCCGCAGGAAACAGCCGTAGGCCGCCTCTACTTGCTCAAGCAGAAACGGAAAACGTCGCTCGCTGCCTGCGAACCTCGATCCGAGAGGACACTGAGGGCACATTTTTTTGTTGTTGTTGAACAAAATAACGCCTCGAGCGGGGTCCGTTTTACACAAGCCTACGTACCCTCATGATCGTGTGCGTGGTGAGCACCATACTCTTGCTTCCCTCCTCCTCCGCCTCCGCCTCCCCGTAACTTGGGGCTGCCGCCTTTCGCCCGTCCGGCCCGCCCCAGTCCGCCTGGGGAAAAGACCAGGACATGAAATGGTTAGTTTAATGTCACCACAACAGCGCCGGCGATTGTACCGTGTGGCAGTATCGTTTCGGAGTTGGAGGTTGCAGATCAACCGCAACCTGCTCGGGTCGACATCTTGACAACAAATCAAACCCAACCCTTTCGGGGTCCTTTCCGTGGGCGGTGCTAATGGGTCATTAACGTGCGGTGGGACATACCGGCTGGCTACGGGATCCGCAGAACTTCCAACAGCCTTCGAGATTCGGGCACTTTCATGAGGTTTAAGGGCATGCGTCCAATTTCCATCAAGGTGGAACATATGAAGAATGCAGTAGCTGTGACAAGGAGCGGTAGGTCTCCTGTGTAAGAGATGGCCTCAATTACCTTTTTGGCAAGCTTTCGCACTCCGGCCACCATGCCGTAGAGGCAAGGAGCAACCCAAATTCCCTCGGGCACATAAATCCCGTCCAAGAATGACCTGCCACACAATCAATCCGGCGGTCGGCCAACACGCGGGGGTCAAGTTAAGGAAGATGCGGTCCTAGAGCTATAGACACATGCAGCAAGCGTCCATTGCCGTGGTGGCGAAGAGCTCGATAGACGCACTTAACGATCGATCCCCTTATTCTTGTGGCACCCTCGGATACTATCGTGAGATCTTGCAAACGTCCTTGAAGGCTGACGCACCAAGAAGTGTTGTGGCACAATGTACGCAAGCAACAGGGACAGCAATCCAAGGGTGGTGCAGGCCATTTTACGCCTTTGCCCTAGCAGTACTAATAGACAATGCTTAAGTTACAGGCACCCACAGGGCAGCGGCCCGTCCTTCTACATAGCAGCAGGTTCGGCACTCACTCAAGGGCGGCGATGTAGTGCTTGTGTGCATCGTCCGCTCTGCCTTCGTGCGAGGCATGCCAAGATCGCAGAACTCCAGCTGCCACAGTGGCCAACGCTCCTTTCAGTCGACGCGGACATTCCTTCTCAATCTCCCTCTGCTCGTCGACGTGGTGTGGGTGTTGTTCGCAGCGTCGGGTAGTAGGGTAACGGTGAACAAGTGAACAGCAACATCTAAAAGCAGCATCAAACGGCCATATGGCCATGACTTCATATGTACTACTGCCGATACAAAGCCTGGGTTGGTTTCGGAGACCATCGCAGAACCATGCGCTGGTTCCGGCCGGCATTACCGCTGCTGCGGGGCTATTTAGTTATTTAGAGAAGAACTTCAAGGTTGTCCAGTGTAAGCTTTGGGCTGTTAACGCCTATCGTTACGATTAGCCGGCGTGATAACTCCTGGTTGCCGGGAATACACCCCCGGCTGCTGTCCGTCGGCTTGGATCCAGCTCTGCTGTCAACGGTAGACTTGTACATACAGCCATACCCCAATCAGTATGCTGTTCTCGGCAAAACAAACACCAACTGATTGTTCGCTCAACTGACCAAGTGAGGCGCCCATATTGTACCACGAAATTGAACTCGATCCACCGCCCACCGTAGACCGCACAAGGTGCCGATCCAATGCATACATACCTCATCCAAGTAGGCAACGACACCCGACGAACTGCTGTCTGCTGCACTAGCACTGAGCAACCTAGCCATCGTGGAGCCGTCATGGCTTCTGAAAGCTGTATTGAGAGTCTTGAGATACCGTTCCAGGGACATCGCTCAGAGTTTTCTTCGCCCGTGTGGCCTGGTGGTGTGGGTGGGTGGAGAGAGGAGCGCTGCTCTGTCGGCGAGCTGCGCTAGTACAGTGGTAAGGACAAGGAGGTGTCGGGAGAGCAAGCAGAAGGGCGCCGCGACCTGCAGTATTGCATGGGGGGGGAGGGAGTTCCATTCGGTTTCCGAGGCTTGACAAAAGTAATCAAAGCCGAATCAGTGGTTCTGAAGACTGGATCCAGGATCCAAAGATAAAACATGTAAAGATATGAAGGTAAGATACGTCCGAGGCAGGAGAGGGGGGAAGAGATACCGCAATAGGCGATCAGGTATCGTTCACCTGGAGCTGTGATCACTAAACATCTCATAAGTAAACTAGAAACAACAATGCGCCAGCGAGGCAAGGCGACATCGACACAGGCTCACCATTTAGACTTATTTTGATCGATAAAATGCTAAACCATTAGACTACAACAGCAGTCACAGCGAGGGTGCTGTAGACAGTGGACAGCAGTGGAGACCTCTTGTGTTAATTTCTGTGTTCATACAACCCACACCAGGTTCCTCATGGAACGCTGCTGCTGTGGATTGTACCGGACCCAACAGCGAGTGTCCGTCCGTCAATATATATATCATCTCCACGGCGAATGAATGCAGCGATAGGAACATCGCGATAAACGAAAGACGACTGCTTGTAGCTTTAGACAACGGTACCAATTATTTACAAGCCAGCTGCATAGGGTCCTCGGCAAAAGGTCAGCCACCCTTGAAGCTCTGCGAGGTTCACCACGACGCCCCCAACACGGTTCGCTCTCATATCTTGCCCCAGTTATGGTCAAGCATCCCTTGATCTAATTGGCACTTCCTCGCCCACATATCGCTTGATAGTACTTCCTCGCCCACATCGCACGCGGAAGGAAATATTGCCTCCACACGTTGGCGAGGCAAACCCACCACTTCTATTTTCAATGTAGCACCGTTCTGGCGCTTGCATGTTATTTCGTACATCCTCTCTTCCATCCACGCAGTCCACTAGTGTTTGGGGCTGGCCGATTTTTCCTCCTCTTGCTCAGCGTCGCCACATTCTTCGTACAGGGACACGACTTGATCGATCCTTCGCAGCAGCGGGGCAATATTGTAAGGCACAAGCCCGTTCCTGTCGAGGGCCCGTGCACTCGCAACCAGTCCACCCAGGCATGACATAGCTCTACCCAGGCGATTCGCTTCCTCCTCGGAGAGAACAAGCTCCTCCTTCTCCTCCTCTTCCTCCTCCGTCTCCTTTTCGTGTTGCGTGTTTTGAACCGCATCTACCCCGTCTTCGAGGACAACACCTTTCGCACAGGACACGCGGGTGGCGAAGTCGGACCACTCGGCCACGGCGAAGCGCAGCAGCAGGGTGAGGTACTGCAGAAAAGCCGTCTCGGGCGATGTTAACCAGTCCAGAAGCACGCCCGAATCGAACCGCACCTGATTTGGGGGGTTGCAGTCAAGGCCGCGGTGATCTCATTCGTGTGGTATACTCGTCGCAAGACGGCAGGTCAATTGTTGCCTTAGTTAGCTACTCCGGTAGCGAAAAGCTGCTGAAAGCGTAACTGCCAATGCAAACACGCTGTTGGCGATCCTGAGCACGAAACCTATCTGCCGCGCAAGCATTACCATCCGCGTCAAGCCGTGGTACAACATTTTTTGAACGAGGGGGCCCTTAAAGATGTCCTTCCATGCACAGATACTTCAGAGGAGAGCGCGCTTGCGTTAGCCTGGGGGTACCATGACACGCACGGTAACCTCGGCCTCGAAAGAAGTGACGTAGACCATCGCTACCGAGCATGAAACTAACGGAGACTACAGAATATCGATATTGGCAAGCAGTCCAAAACGCGAAACGCAGCAATACATATGCTACCTCGAACAGCAGCGCCGCGAACAAGACGCCGGGGTGCAAGGCGCCGCGGTACAGGGTCCTTAGAGCAGGTGGCGGGAAGTCCGAGGCGGGCCTGTCGCTCCCCGTGTCCAGTTCGGCCTTCTGATGGAAGGCATGATGGGCGGAAGAGCCGCTGTCAACTCTGGAAAATCTACATGAACGATTTACTGTTTTATTCCTGCCGATCAGAGAACGCCAAAATACATCAACGAGCGGTGGGCCTTGTGTCCTTCGCCAGGCCTTCTAAAGAGTGCTAAGATAGAATTCTAACGAATTCGTCATGCCTTACCAGCCGACCTCTGACGGTGGCGACGATCCTCGTGTTGCTACCAAGTTTGACCTTGTCCAAATGTGGCCACACGCAAGAGTTCTACAATATCCCAAAAGGTGCACAACCCGAAAGCCACGCCTGGCCAAATATATTGGGAATAACGATCAGGTATAGGCCAGAACTTACCGTGGTGTTGTGGAAAATACGCAAATTTAGGAGAAGCATGTCGACCAGGGCATCATCCTGGTCGGCGAACAACCGCACGAGCCGACCGGCAAAGCCCAGACACGATTCTTGATCGTCGTCCCTCGCCGTCGCAGTGGCAACAAGAGCTTCTACCGCCGTTGTCCATGGCTGATTTTGTGGTGCCCCCCCCCTATCGCGCTTGTCCAGGTCTTCCGTGCGATCCTCGTTGTTGGGGACGACCCCAACGTCAACGAGAGCTGCCACATGGAAAGGCCCCCGCTCATCTCCTAATCGCACGATCCTGAACACGAGGCCTAGCATTGCCTGAGCCAGAGCTCCGTCCGCCCCTCGTACTTCCACAAACGCGGAGCCAGGAGATCGGGAAGGCTCCTCCTGAAGCAGAAGCGATCCGTTGTTTGCCAATCGCCACAGAGTGGGCGGCACCGAACGCAGCAACTCAACCAGCACGCTACGCCATCTTGTCTCCGCCGCCTCCACCAGCAACTGCGGTACGGAGGAACACAAAGACGTCAGCCCAGACACAGCGTGGAGCATATCAAGTCTGTATGCTGGAATCGCCTGCATTGGTGGACCTAACAGCATGCATGACAGTAAGACAACAGTCGATGCAGTACACACTCAACACGAGTCTCATCGAGAACTTGGCACATGCCTGTGTGACTTCAACCCATTTGAGTGCAATGTCCATCGAGTCCATTCCGCTTCCCACAGGAACCGCCGGAACCGCCTCCGATAAGCCTGGAACATCAAGCTGCTCCGACACAACTGCCGTGGTAGACGAAGGTAGGCCCGAGGCGGTCTCTGGTCCTCCTGTGTCACTGTCGCGCTTTCGTTTACACCTCACAAACGAGATGGGGTCTCCAAAACGCCAATTACGCTTGCGTAGACATTTCAGGATGTCAGACACAAGCGAAAGGACCCAAAACCCGGCATCTGCCCCACCGAGGCTTCCCTCGACGTCCTCGCTGCTAGTGGCCCCATTTCGGCCTCCTAGCATGAGCGCTGTTGCCGCTTCGACCATCCCAACTAAGTAGGTGGTGGCTTCTCTAGCGCACGCTTGGGCCGCAATTGTTTCCCACCCATCGCTCGCAGCAAATGCGGGGTTCGGGGCATCGCCGGGGAGTCCTGGCAGTTGATTCGCCGGGGGATGGCTTGACCGCTCCGGGTGGGATGCACCCCTCTCGTTCTTCAGAACGGTGCTCAACAGCTGAAGCAGAAATATCGCGCATCTGAGCCGCTTGGCAAGAGGCCGCTCGCCTTCGACGTTCAAACGTTTTGAAAGAAGCCGAGACATGTTCAAGGGGGTGGGCGATCCGATGGGTCTCGTCAGACGTTTACCTTGTACTTCTTAGCGAGGGAAGGATTGTCAGGCACTCGCTCTTCAGCCAGCGACGATCTGTCAGCGAAGAAAGTTTTCGTCCGGATACCACTGCGAACCGGAATGCGAAAGGCTTTAACGGCAGTGAAACCAAACCCGTCATAAACCTGCCATAAATTTATAAATTTGGGAACATGTTCTGAACACCAAAACTCCCTCACGCACACCGTGAAACAAACAGAAATTACCGTGTCTACTCAGGCAGAACATCGTGGTTTCGAGTATGGCCGCGAGCCATTCCTCCAGCTCTCCTTTTCGGGACACGCCCCCCCGACAGATCGCTTCAGCACAAACGCAGATGTACCGTTGTAGGCATCCCTGGATTGCATGGCATGCCAGTGGCCCGTCGCAAAGCGTCAAGCGCTGCACCTATGTAACACAACGCGATTGGAAGCGAGGGGGCGCAGGCGACTCTAAAATTCGGCCCGTGAGTACCGTAAATGACACAAGATAACACACCTACATAAGATACGACACCCCGGTGATACTTTTGGGCGTTTCTGACAAACCACCGATTTATCACCCGGGATACACAAGATAACACACCCCGGTGATAAATTAAGGTTACGCCGCATACATTCACGGGGCCCCTCCTTTTATCACCGGGGTGACGGCATCTGCCCCTGGGCATCACACAACACACACGCTCCGTGTGCGGGAAACGCCCCGCTTGGAGACCTTCAACAACATGAACGTGCACGAAGAAGAGCAGACTGCCGCGCTGCAAATACCTCCGCTTCTTCCACAACTGCTTCGACCGCAGCACAGGCGCAACAGATCATGTTGTTCTTTCAACCCGGGCAAACTTCTTGTACGCAAGCGGCTCCTGCTACGGCTCCTCCTCATGCTGCTGGTGATCAAACAACAGCAGCAGCTGGCACAGCAGCAGGCGACAACATGACAGCCACCGCCGCGCCTCACCAGCAGCCAGTTGCTGACTCGCTCTCAGCAGCACGTACGAGTACCGCAGACGAGTCAACACGCACCACCAAAGCCTCTCAGCTGGTGTTGGTGGACACCCCCTCATTATCACACCCTCAGACACACCCTGTGGGTGTTCGGACATGCTACAATGTCATACCCCCTTTTTATAACACCTCCTCATTTATCACACCCCCAAACACACCCTGTGGGTGTTCAGACGTGTTATCACACACCCCGGTTTATCACACACCCTTAGGGGCCCCTGCGAGCTGCACTTTATCACCCGGGGTACATAAGACACCACACCGCCCACAGGATACCACACCCGGTAATAATATTTTTAAGCCCAAAATTGTTACCACCGGGGTGTGTTGTCTTGTGTCATTTACGGTATACACGGCAGTTCGACTCACGCATACGGTCGACGAGGGGACGGAACGGCTGAAGACTTTTTGCACACGTAAACTACTTGTAAGGCGAGTCCCGCAGGAGGAGCGGTGGGGCACAAACACAAGGGAAAAAAACAGGGAAAAAGTCCGTGTGACCCTGGTTGATACGTAAAACATGGACAGTCGTGGTTCCGTTGTAAGAGGGTGCCGAGTAAGGGGGGTTCCGTAATAAGAGGGTCAAATTCGGTTGTCACGGGCTCGACCCCCTGTTGGAGGGTTGCCCTCTTATGCAGAGACCGGCCCCTTTATTGTGGGCTGACCCCGCTATTAGTGTGTGTGGCTCCCTCCGCTCATTGACACGCACAAACACACACATTGCGGCGCCAACCACACCGGGAGCAGCATACGCACCATATGCCATGCGCGGCTGGAGAAACGTGTGTTACCCCAGACGTCACGATTGAGCCTCCCGATGGGTTTCGGGGGTTGTGGCGGCCGGTTGCACCAAATCACGTCGTATTTAGTGTTCTGTCAGGACGCCAACCCTTCTGACGACGAGCTAGAGCTAGCGACGACGGCGATGATTACGCTGGGCGGGGGGGAGGGGCCCCCACCGTACGCTACACTATCTTCAATTTTTTTGGCCCGCTGGCGCACTGCGCGGCTTATTCTGGCAGTCACAATGTCGAAGAAGGGGGGCTTCTTGCGCAAGGCTACTTGTAGAAATGTCGTTCTTTTCACCACACGTTTCAAATTCAAAACCACATATTAAGAAAAATAAAAAAATAAAACCACCAGGGCAAGCAGACATCAGGGACTTCTCTTAAATGTAAGAAATGGGTGTGCTCATACAGGCTCGGCTCTGTGGCACGGCAGCAGCAAACTAACGGTGCGGCAGGCGGAGGTTCGTCTTTCTTGTTGTGCGGCAATTGTAGCCTGTGTACAAGGAAAATTATCATGGTCGGGGAGGTTGTCGAGGCTTTGCAACTTATTGGTTTCGCACTTTGCTTTCGATTGTTGTCTCGATCCTTCAGCGTTTGAATGCACATGCACGTAATTTGCCTCGTATCAATGGCTGAAGCGGCATTTTTTCTCTGCAGCAAGGAGTCATCACTCCTTGAGTCGAACTGAACACCAAAACGAAAGCGTTGCCAACACCATCACAATCAATCGCCTATAATAGCTTGCTCTTGGCATGCTGATCCGCTCTACCACTTCACCACACATGCATATTATTACAGCAGTCCACCACACAAGCATAGTAGGTAATGTACGGCACCCCCACTCGGACGATGCACTGCTGTAAATAAGTGCACTTTGTTTCTCGTCATTCCCGATTCCCTTTGTAATTAGCAGCTGGTAATTAGGGTACCCTACTAAAAAGGCTAGACTCCATATTCTCCTGTAGGGGGGTTTCCCTCTTATACCCATATAATACCCATATACTGCTGTACCCATATACTGCTGTAGTCTTAAAGGGGGTTCCGATATAAGAGGGTCGAGGACCGTTGTCACACCACACACCACCCTCTTAAACGGAACCACGACTGCTGTGTGTCCACCGCGAGTTGTGTATTCTAACGGTGAGTTGGCACCCGATTGGACGTGGTCGTTGGCAGCATCATGTAAGCATGCATGTTATTAGTCTACAAAAAGATGGATGGATGGGACGCACACACACTTAGCCAACGGCAGGACATATTATGGCTTTCGAAGACCACCATCCGGCCGTAGGCGAACGTAACCCGGAACCGCTGTGCATGACAAAGGCACATTATCATCTTATTCCACCTTTACTACTGCTGCTGCCGTGCACTGACAAATGATATCTTGTTGTCCCTGGGAGCGGAGAACACGTCGTTAGAGTCTCGTTCAAATCCTCCTGCAACTCCGGCTGCTGCTTGTTGGGAGAAAATGCGAGGCACCCGAGGTAGCAGCAACCGGGTCAGGAGACGGCCACACTGTTCCAATACCGCTGTGTCGTTGTCGGCCTGCACAAAGCAATGACGAGATCCGACCGCAAAAGTTTCAAACACAGGCAGGAGGCTTGATACGTCGGCACAGCGTAAAAGTACCATCCTGCACATGGAACCCATACCACCAAAGCGGCGGAATGATGCATTACTGCCCCGGCGTTGTTGTTGTTGTTGTTCGTGCACTCGTACACACGGCGGTATCAGATACACAAAATCAGACCAACTCCCTCACCAATATCACCGCGTCCATCGGAAGCTTGTCCTATGGGAACATCAGCAGCAACAGCAGTAGAAAGCAGAGGTGTCTCCGCGTCTACGCCGATCCCAGCATGCCAAATATGCCAATAAATTAGCGCAATAGAGTCGCCTGCCGACCTGCCACAAACAGACAGATAGATCTCCGGAGATCCTTCGTTCTGAAACCGCGTCAGCGTGGCCTTTCGCGGGAAAAAAAAAAAATGAGAGAGAAAACGTGAGGCCGACCACCACAAGAGACGAACGGGGCTGAGCGTAGAGCACACGCGTCTTACCGCCGCGAGGCCGCGGAGTTACGCCGACTCCCGGGTTTGGTGAACTCTGCTGCGTCCTGCTGGTGTGTCTGGCGTCGGATGACAATAATAGCGCGCTTTTGGAGGAATAAGCAGCATGAGATGGCTTTCGGTGTTCCTGCATGTAGTCGGCATCGGCATGATTCCGGCTGAGAGAGTGCTTGTCTGGGAAGACAACTTCGATGGCAATAGCCTGGACGAGGCTGTATGGGCTCTCAACACTGGGAATGGCTGCGATCAGGGGTGAGCGCCTCAAGCATGCACGTTTGATGTTTGATTCTCGTGGTTGTCTCTCGTCTGATGTCCAAACAGCGGTCACGCGTTGGGAGAATGATGAAGGGTCGTTTCACACACAGCCCATTTATTTGCAAGGCCAATTGTGGGTAACTTGTCGCCGCTCGCAAATCCCTCAGGGACGGGCTTTGTGGATGGGGAAACAATGAGCAGCAGACTTATACGGAGGATAACCACCAGGTTCAGGACGGGCTGCTCTGGATAACGGTGAGCGGTCACTTTTGTTCACTCCGTCTCGAGGGTTTGGTGCCGAGCAACTCATCTTTTTAGTGAGGCGCAATAAAATTGTTGGGTTTTTTTTTGTCTTCCTTTTTATATGTACACAAGTGTCGACCTTTTTTGTCTCTTTTTGTTGGGTCTCTTGTTCTCTTCTGTCAGCCTCCACATGACGTCGACGGGCTCTCTGTTTGGAGCAGTCGCATATGCATATTCGCAGCATTGAGGTGTGGTGTGCTGAGCGTTGGGTTGCGAGCAAACGGGGGTAACCATCATCTTACTTTATGTTTGGTCGTATTCCCTTGCAGCAGCGCGGCATCGACATGCAGTATATGTGAACATCCGCTCGGGTAGACCCAATGGAACGTCTTAAGGAATAATAAAAACACACACAGAAAGACCACCCATTCGAGATATACCCACAGCAGTCGAACGGGATGTGGTGGAGTCTTTTCAGTGAGTGAAGGGAAACCGGCTGGGTACTGGACTTATTTCGAGTCTTTTATAGTCTACACACTGATGATTTATACCAGTGATGCCAGCTGGTGCTAAGTACAAAAACATCTGTATAGGTAAATTACATTTTACAATAATACAACGTCTTGTTCTTACACTTTTTTTTTTTTTTGTCTTCACTTCAAATCAGCGCTCACTGCACTAGTGCCGTTTACTCCAACCCGTGGTCACAGAGAAGAGCCCCTCTCTACCTTCCCCTCCTGCGGTACTTTGCCTTCGATTTTTAATGCGAGAAGAGTTCAGCGCTCTCTTCCCTCTGTGTACACACGAACTAGCGCTATCCACTAGGCCAGGAGCGGAAGCGAGAGAAAAACTCACTTTGCAAGAAAAGCTCGCTTACGCCGGGATTCGAACCCCTGACCTGACCTCTAGAAGATGTCGAGGTTACCAACTAGACCACCGGGGCGACCGGCTGCACTGCACAGCAACGGTACAAGTCGAATCTGCCAGCAGCAAAATTACAAATGTGCCGAGAGAGTATCGCATCAGAAGTACCTTCTCGTTGAGCATTACGCCACAACGGATGACCTAGAGGATGGGACATTGCTCACGCACCTCAGGGGCCGTTGCCGGCTTGGATACATACCGCCACATGTTTTCGAGACAGAAAGGCTACACATCCATCTTACAAGTTGTCCTGTTTTGGAATATTTAAGGAATAATAAAAACACACACAGAAAGACTACCCATTCGAGATATACCCACAGTCGAACGGGATGTGGTGGAGTCTTTTCAGTGAGTGGAGGGACACCGGCTGGGTACTGGACTTATTTCGAGTCTTTTAAAGTCTATACCCTGATGATTTATACCAGTGATGCCAGCTGGTGCTAAGTACAAAAACATCTGTATAGGTAAATTACATTTTACAATACATCCCCTGTAGTTCTCTATTGGGTCAGCGACAAAATATCGGGGAGATTTGTTCGACGCATAGACTACGGATGCACAGAGAAGTTGGCGGACAGAGGTGTCAACTTGTAGGCAGCTAGCTGTTCCGCCGCATCAAGGCCGAAGCTGGGAGCGACCATGAGGTCATTTCAATACACCATGGGAAGAAATAAGTAGCAGATCGCGTATATGTAGCAATTAAATAGTAGCAATGGGTGGATGTTGACTTGCCATACTCTAAGTGGTATTTGTTGTGTGTAAGTTAGATGCTTTTGAATTGTTGAATCCTTGGAAGGACGTGACGTCCGTTTGACCTCTGCAACCCGTCTCTCTACGGTACGGCGGTGCGCAGCGGTGGATATGTACCCATCTATCTGTCTTATGTGTCTGTGTTCTTCCCAATCTATTCTGGCACCGTTCTGCACGTCTCTGTTCGTGATTCCACGTACATGATTGGCGTATTGGATTAGCCGGGGTCTTGTACAAAGGCTCTGTTTTCAGCTTGGTTCCATGACGCATGACGCACCTCTGCGGTGTATGGAGTATTTTTTTTCGCGCAGTGCATCTGTCCCTTTCCCTCGTCAACCTTGAATGAAAAAAATGTGTACCTATGTATTTATTATTCCTTAGTACTTTACATTGTACCCACGATCAGTTGTTTTCCACCGCAGATGGCATTACTTTTTTTTTCACGCCAGAGGTTCCAACCTGCTCCTTTGCTAACGTATAGGTTTACGAGGTTCACTAACCACTGCTACCACCGGGGGGACCGGCATCGCGTGTTGGCGGTAACGAACTCCGGCCGATGGCCATGGGTGTTAAAGCGCAAATATGAAGCTCCAAACGGAAAATAAAATACGTTCGTTTTCTAAAGAGCACATCGAATTCATATACAGATTTGTTCGGAACTCTAATTCGTTGAGGTTGTCCCGAGGGCTCACCGACCGGTCAAAGTCCCCCCGGCAGTTCTTTTATAATACTGTACCATACGGCAGTACAGCAGTACCTGTGTGAGCGTCCGCCACAGTCACCACCGACTGCGGTTGTTTTGCCTCAACAATACCGCAACACAATGTTCCCCACAAAGACTTTCCGACCGTGCCTCTCTGGAAGGGTCGAGGTTGGCTACTGGCTGCCGGTCTGTCGTCGCGCCACTGCTGTTGTCAGCAGGCGGCGGGAGGTCATGTGGCGCTTTGGAGGGGAGGGGAACGAGTAACAAGTGTCGCGGAGGGGGACTTAGCCAATACTGCTGTACCGGGATTATTTGCTAAGCTAAAAGGATTCTCAGACAAGGCTCTCAACGGTGATCTGAAACATGTAGATCACGCCGTTGGTTGTATGGTCGCGTTGTTCGTGGTCATGATGCTCGCGATGCTCTCTGCGTTAATCCCTCACACACGGCCGAAGTCGTCGTTCTGCCATTCTGCCAGGCAGAGCCCAGACCAGTAGAAGCAGCAACAGCAACTAGTAATCCACTTTATGTGTGTTTTCGTGCTCGCCCTCCCTCGGCTGTGGTCTGTCGCCTGCCTTTCCTGTGCTCGCAGGCTGACAAGGTCGACGAAGCAGTAGACGAGCGGTTTTACACGTCGTCCAGGATGAGGTCAATCCCCCCAGTCGCCTTCCTTACTGGCCGAATAGAGTCCAGGATAAAAGTGCCGGCCGGTTTGGGGCTGTGGGCGGCGTTTTGGATGCTTCCTTCCAATACGTCGAGGGGGTTTTGGGCTGCGACGGGAGAGATCGATATCATGGAGGTACGATATTTTTTTTTGTTAAATAGGCGTACAATCACGAAACGACTACAATACCTGATCGAGATATAACCACAGTCGTAGGGCATGTCCCGAAGTCTCTGCAATGAGTGGGATAAAAACCGGCTTTATGCTGGGCTAGTCTGAGTCTACTTCAGCCTATTGTATACGCTTTTTGTGTGTGTGTGTGTCGTTTTGTCTGCTCCTATCGGGACAATGATGCTGGTTCGCGAGCAGCCCATTGTCTTGCTTTCGTATGCATGGTGGGGACAGGATAACGTGCTGTCGTGACCGACACTTGTGTGCTGCTGGCATTCCTACAGCAATGTAGAGATACGTACATTTTGTTTTTTTCTTGGTGTAACAGCGAATCCATCTCTCACGGATGAGTGTCCAGGATAAATTAGCAATGAACCCATAGCGTTAGTGGAGCACTGATTCTACGGTTTGTTGCCCGAGCAGCACACATCAATTCTCCCTTGTGGTATATTTGTCATCCCGTTTGTTGTTGACGTCGACGTCGGTATGCCGCCTTGTGGTATGCTTCGACGTGCTGGCTGGGGTCACACAGGAGAAGGGCCACGCGAGAGCGTGTTGTATTTTAGTTGCGGTGTTTTCGTCCAATGTGCCTCTCGGGAAGGCTTCTGCCGTCCCTTAGACGTCGAGTTCTATGCATGCGCCCGCGAAGCAGCTGTTGGAATGTTGGGCATGGCGTGTGTGTAAAGTGTGTTCGTCCGGTCATCCATTCTGGTGCCAGTATACACACCTTTGGTGCATGTTTGATGTCTCAGTCGGGGACACTTGTACGAGGAAGACCACAAAGTGTTGTTTGACACCCCACCTTCCTTCTTGCGGTACTTTTTGCCTGTGTTTCTTGTCCCAACAAGTATCCAGCCTTCCCTTTCCCTCGTCCTCCGTGATTTCGGAGTGTGTACATACACGCCACGAATTTGTAGTCGTGTTCCACCGTGTATGACAGCAGTATTCTGTTTTGCGGCGCGTCTCTCCTCGTGTGTCAGTCGATCAACGACATGGACACAATTCTGGGCACAATCCACTATGGAGGGGAATGGCCGATGAACCTCCACGCCGGCTGCGTGTCGTCGCAGCTGGGAACGGGTTTGGACTATTCCAGTGACTACCACGTGTACGCCGTCGAGTGGGAGCAGGACGAAATGCGCTGGTGAGCGGACTTGCTTGCACGACACAGATGCAGAGTGACGCAGTATATCCCCGATCTACCTGGGGCTGCCTGTGTTGCTATTACAGTCAAGTCAGCCGAGGCAAATCTCCGTAGGCTGCCGGAACGTCGCTGAAAACCTCCATTAGGCAAATGCATGGTAGTTGGTGCTGCTGCTGCTGCGGAGGCGTCCTGGAACCCGCTCAAGTATACTACATTCGTAGAGGCGAGACGTTCAGATTAGTTACCCCGCATAGGGGCAAGAGTTGATGAAACGTTGTGAACGGTGTGCGTCGATCATTTGATCATTCGAAGGCGTAGTAAGAGATGCGACGCGAACGTTACTCGATAACGTCACAGGTTTTCGTGCTGGGAGAGGCATGAACGCTGTGACTGCTTTGTTGTACCGGTATGGTGTACTACGAGATAAAACAACATGCGTCTGCGATGGGTTGCTGTCAAAAGTGCGCAAGCGCTGGAGATGTGATTTTATGAATTGGCGCAAGAGATTCTGATGGTTCGACTAGCGGTGAATGATGGCGAAGGCTTGGCCGAACATGGCTTGCGTTTATCGCCTTTGAGCAGCAGGTTTCCTGACTCTTCCAGTATTCTACGCGTAGTGCCCTGCTGCTGTACGTTGTATCTCGAGAAACGCCTGTTGTACTCCTTCATGCGGTCCTGTCCCCTCTCTCCCGAAAAACGCTACCGCAACGCAACAAATATTTCCCTTTTCCAAAAGGTACGTCGACGACCAGCTTTTCTGCCAGAGAACCAAGTGGACGAGCAACGTGACGAGCAACGAGCCCTACCAAGCGCCTTTCGATGCCGAGTTCGAGATCATCCTCAACCTTGCCGTCGGGGGCTCATTGCCCGGGCGGGTTGTGGACGACGGCGCTTTCCCGGCCACTATGCTGGTCGACTACGTCAGGTGCGACACACTGACCGTTCTCGCGTGTGGTGGGTACTGTAGGCGGCGGTGGTCGCAGCGCCGTCGATCCACGTTTGGGGCTGGGCGTAATTTCATCCGCTTAGTGCCCCCCCCCCCCCCTTCCTCCAGGCGCTAGGAAATTAATCCTCCCGGGGGGGCGAAGCATTTGTGCGTCAGCGGGACCGTCCCTTTTTGTGGGGTGTAAATTAACGAGGAGTGATGAAAGAAAGGACACGACGGGATGCGTCTTGACGCGTGTTGGAAGCAAGCGGTGGCGTGGAACAGTGCCTTGGTACACCAGTTTCCTCTTCTGCTGTAGCATGCGCGCCATGTTGCGCCGTTGGTCCTCTCATGCGTAGGATATAAGTGGTACCTGTAGGCAGTTTGGGTCGGATGGCGCCTGGTCTACTAATACACAGCTAGGTCAGCTCGCCGCAGGCGGCGGTACTCTGTGTTGCCATTAATACTATGTCGCAGTTGGGGCGCAGCCTCTCTGCTTATGTGTAGTTGTAGCTCCCCGCCTCATCCAAGGCACGGTTGCCAACAAGAACAATACGTCGGACGTTAACGTAAACGTGGACAGGGTTTACGACATTACCACGGATGTAGCCGAGGCCGAGCCTTTCCTGGGAGCGCCTGTTTGTCTCCCGGGCACCATCCAGGCCGAGGCATACGACACCGGGGGCCTGGGGCTAGGCTTCGGGGATTCCTATCCAGAGTAAGTGGCACTCATCCTATCATCCTCCGCACCGCCACTGCTCTGCTCTGCGTGTTTTCCGATGAGATTCCCAGCCGAATCGTTTTGTCACACTCTTTGTTGTTGATTTTCGATCTTGGTTGGACTACTATGCAGCAACTAAATACCCCTGCTACCATGTAGGCATCCCCATGTGTGTTTGCGGCGGCATTGGTGTCTTGCAAACCCGTCGCCAGCATTCCGCGTTGACTTTTGTACCGCCGTGTCCCGTGCGCTCTTCAGAGGCACGTCTGGAACGTACCGTATGGACGGGATTGGATTGGTCTACAGCGAATCGGGCCGCACGTTCGTCGCCAACCTGACGGACACGGACTGGTTGGCGTACACCGTCATGACGGAGGATGCCGTCTATGACATCACGCTTCAGGTGCGTACGTATCGGATGCCAAGTCCCGCAAAATGGTCGAGAGATTGGTTAGTATCTACGTACCGTATTCGTTACTCGCGACCGACGGCACTATGATGCTGCCCTCAAATACACAGACGACACGGCAGAGTTTTGGGGGGGGGGTTCATTGTTGTCGTGCATGCCTTCTGAGATAAGCTTGCCGGCATCGACCTACTGCTCGCCCAGTGCGGGATGAGGGTGTCTCGCCTTTTGTTGGTACTGTACCTTGATTGGATTTTGTTTGTGGATGAGGATACTACGGGTCTTGCTTTTTTGGCGTGAACCTGGGACCCCTTGCCCTTATCGTCCCTGAAGGGTTGGTGGAAAGTGCGAAAAACGGAGACGAGAAACGGCAACATGGTTTCTACATTGTAGAGATGGAGAGAGACGATGAACGCCGAGCCTTACGGTAGTAGTATCAAGGTCGCGTAGTTGGTGCACCTTCCGTACTGACGGTTACCTCACCTATATTTGTTTTATATACGTGCTCATGTTGCGACGAGCTTTGTGGGTAGCTTGCATACCACACAAAAGGTACAGTACTCGAGTGCCTTCATATATATACTGTTCCCTATTCCCCGGTCATGTTTCCATCCGACCTAGCCCGGCAAGATGAAGAGTGTGCCAGTATTGACGTGTTCCGGGGTTCCGTATGAAACCCTACGGCTCTTGCAGGTGTCGGCAACGGAGGCGGCCGATCTAGAGCTCATCATCGGAGGTACGGGAGACGACAACATCACCTGTGCCAACCCTGGCGAGGGCAGCCTAACGGGCGTGTTTGTGGTCGATGCCACGGGAACTGGGTCGTGGGGCACGATGGTGGTCTCGGAGAAGGCGATGACGGGCGGAACATACAGTCTCAAGCTGTGTGTCAAGGGAGGCGTGGGAATCAGCGTGGACAGCGTCCGGTTTGACTTGGTGAGTCGGCGTGGGAAGCGTACGTAGATAGGGTTGATGGCGCCGTGCCTTGTGCGTGCGTTTTTGGTTTGCTGGAACAGGGTTGCGTCCTGCGGGTGCGTAGGAAGCCTGAAGAGATTGCAGTAAAAACACGCTGAGTAGAAGGGAAGGGAGAGATCGGCTGTCTGTCCTGGAAGCAACAAACGGGTACTGCGTGGAGTTTGAGCCGCGTGCGCCCGCCCACGAAAACATGCGCTCATCTCGAGATATCTGCTAGGTTGTTGGGTATGGGTCCGTGGGCTGTGGATCTCGCCCCTTTGATTTCACAGCCCGGCAAGCATGTCACTCGGCGGGATGTTGAAGGTCTGCGGGGTCGTCACTAAATTTTCTTGGTTGTCGCAACGGCTTGAGAGATGGTGACTTTTCCCCATCAATTGGGTTAATTTTTGGTCAGGTGGAAGGATCCGAGGCCTCCAGTCTCACGTCCGCCGAGTGCGCCACCAGTGGCCAAAGCAGACCGTACATGTACGGCGATCCGTGGGTCATCCCAGGCTACATGGAGGCGGAGTACTACGACTACGGAGGCAACGGGGTGAGTGCCTGAGGCAACAGCACCATCGGTATATTCGGGTGCAGACAGGAAAGGTGGCTGATTTGGAGGCTTGAAACATGCCGATTGCTGACAACGTACATCTCGGCGATCCCGCTTTAGCACAGCAGGGGGTAAGGGGGGGGTGCGAAATATGGACGATTCCCGAGGCACACGGGAAGCAGCGGCAAGTGTACAATCGCACGTGCGAGGATAGTGATCGCAAGATGTTGGGTAGTGGTGGTGGCATGCCATCTTTGCTACCGCCTGCGGGAGCCAACTTGCCCGTGTCGACGAATCCTCAAGAAGTTTTGACACCAGCACCATCACCAGCCAGGGCAGGCGAGCAGGTCGTGCCCTGGCAGCGGTAATTTGACCAATCGCATGCCTTGGTGGCACGACTGCTGTACCGCGCGATAACAAACGACGTGCGACGGACAGCGAATGGGGCATTCGTTCCCAAAACTGTTGTCGTGCACCTTTGGTGGCATCGTTATGTGGAGATAACTGGTTTGTCTGCAAGTATCATGTGGTCCGTTGTTGCTGTGCCTAGCCTCTTCTTCTCGGCTGTCTGGTAAGGCTTAGCAAACGTCCAAGAGCAAGAGCAAGAACAAGGTCTTGCGTGGAGGTCAGCATTACGTGTGTGTTTCAATTATTAGCATCGACCGCGCTAACCGGCTGACCAATGAAAAGACGCCAGTCTTGGTGCGGTTGAAAACACAAAACACTTCTATCTGCCATGAACTGGGACCCCGTGAGGGGGAAGCATGGGGGAGGCTAAACTATCCTTCGGATCAAAGACAGAAACAGCAGCAACAGAAGAAAACTGGACGCGTCTACCAAGACTACTACCTTGTACTCTAGTTCGTTTAGGAGCACTTTCACCATTAGCCTCCTTGTTTTCGCTACCATCATTCTCATCCTCATTTTGTGTGTGTGATGTACGCCCGGCAAATAAAAGCCGAATTCTCACCCCGTTTTGCCCTCTGGCACTGTTGATTCCCGTCCCTTTGGCAGGTGAGCTTCTACAAGAACTCTCCCGAGTTATTCTACGGCGACTCCACGTTGAGGCTGCCGGACGCCGTAGGCGTGTACGAGGCCGAGTCTAACCCTTCCAACGGGCACTACGTGGGCTACTGGGACACGGTAAGTGTCGATTCGTTGTTAGACAATCCGGAACAGACTGTCGGTCACGTTGACGTGGGTGTTGTAATTAAGCTGGAACGTGGGGACGCGTAATTGTGCCGCGTGAGAATCGTTTTACCATACGCAAATGATGCCTAAAGAACCGCAAGGAACCTGACAGTTTACTCGAGGGGGTCGCACTTGGCAGCTTCGTGCATGCCCGTACTTTGCTGCGGCAACCCCCCCCCCCTTCTTTGACATGGAGCAGGGGGTCCCACAAGGTTGCACGCTGTCCCCAACATTGTTCCAGGTGTTCATCAACGATCTGTTGGAAGTCGTAAAGGCAGTCCGGAAGGGAGTAAAAGTAGGGGACACGGAAACTTCGGTGTCAGGAATGCTGTTTGCGGATGATTTTGTTGGTACGTCGGACACCCCAAAATCATCCTAGGATGTTCCAAGCGCACAAGTAATGCAGCCGTCAGGGCAGAATTGGGGATCCAATCCCTACGGTCGGGAAGAAACGCAAGGAAGTTGACATGGCAGTATCGCATGTGCGGGATGGGAAAGGAAAGGTTGCCGAAAATAATATGGGAGGCGAAGTGGGCAAACAAAAAGAGGGGTAGACAACCCACGGAATGGGTCAAGGTTGTAGAGGACGAATGGAAGGGGTTCGACATCGACGAAGATGAAACGCTGGAAACGGAGGGTCTATAGGGGTTCAAGGAGAAGATATCTGTTGCTTGTGCCGAGAGAGAAAAACAGAATATAAGGAAAGAAACCAAGGATAAGGAGGGTCTAGAAGTGTGCGGAATGTTGAAAGAAGGAATAGGGTTAAAGGATTGCCTACGGATGCAGGGACAAAGCATAAGGTCAAATTCAGGACTGGGGACATAGGCCTTCGAGAGCGTCGAGGAAGACATAGGACGGTAGACGACGAAGACGACAAGTTCAAATGTGATTGCGGCTTCGAATGCGAAGACCGTGTTCATGTAGTCGCGGAATGTCCGTGGTACGAAGAGGAGAGGGGAGTGTACATGACTGAGCTGGGAAAAATGCAAGGGACGTACAGGGAGATGTTTGAGGCATGGAATAGAGAGAAGAGGACGGTAGCTGTACTGGGGAGTAGGAAGTGGTTTGAAAAGGCGGGAAGGGATATCGTTAGGATAGACAGACTAGGGAAGATATTTTTGAGCCCCCTTTGGCAAAGTAGGAAGGAGCGATTGGCCATCGGTGATCGGTCCTGTGGGAACAATGCTCCGTCCTTTGGGGGACGGGGGGTCAATGGTTTAACCATTAAGGCAGGCAAAACATAAGGGTACCCCCCCCCCCCCCCGCGGCGGCCTGCACCACCGGCAAGGCTCCCGAGTCGTAACACAACACATGCTCGTTCTTTCGTCCTTTCACATTCCCGCCGACGAAGGGCGAGTGGATAGCCTTCACGGCGAGGGCGGACGAGGCGGCTTTCTGGGACGTCGGCGCGTCCGTAGCCTCGGGCCTTAACGGCACCACGGTTCAGTTCAGGATCCTCGTGAACGCCACCAACTGCTCCTCCGCAGCAACCGACGGCCTCGACGGCCTGGGCGACACCGGCGTGGACCTCCTCAACGGGCCGCTCTTTGCCGGTTATACGGGGTCCTGGGAGGCGTTCGAGATGGTCTACAAGGAGGAGGTCTACGTGCCGGAGGGCACCCACCGCGTCCTCTTCTGCGCGGACGACGGCATCTTCAACATGAACTTCTTGAGGGTGTGGACGCCCACGCCGACTCCGGCGCCGACGATGGCGCCGACGGTTGCCCTTACCGCCGCCCCCGTGGTGCCGAGCGACGAAGGCGTAGACACCAAGTGGATCTACATCGGGGTGAGAATGCTCTTCTGGACATGGCAACAGCCCCCGAGGTTGATTGATCGTCTCCTGTGCTCTTGTCTTGTAGTACAACACAGCATTTCGTCGAAGCAGTGGGTCCGAGCCGAAGTTGTGACTGGCGGCCTTGGGGTTTTCTTTTGCTTTAGATATCTCACCACTTCGCATGATGGTCGGTTGCGAGTCGATGGGATGTGACTGGTTATTTTTTTGCCTGGTGTGAACCCATTGTTTTTTGGGTACGTAAATATTGCGAGCACTTGAGAACCCAAAACTGGGTGGATGTCAATCGGCAGTTCGGGTGTGGTGAAGATTACAACAGGACGACGTTGGAACGGGTCGTGCCGCAGGCTTTCGTAATATCCGCGTCGTCATCGTGTACCCTAGCTTAATGACGGCAGAGCACGGCAGCATGCATGTCAACTACGTCTCAATCACACACGTTGCTCTCTTTTTAGGGTCAGCACAGCCGCTCTCCACAGGCTACTGTCTACGGAGGACGCGGTTTTCACCCCATCAACCCATGCCAAATCCGCATGCTGCCGCTGCTTGCCTGCCCTGCCCTGGCTCATTTGGTCGAAAAACAGGTCGCTGGCGCGGTGGTGTTCCTGGCACTGTCGCGCCTGGGCTGCATCATCTACGGCAAGGAACGCTCGCGACGCCGCAAGCCGGACGACCTAGCGTCCGCCTACACGGCCTCCAAGGACAACAACGGCGACCATGCCGCCAGAGGCGGCGGCGGCGGCGGCGGCGGGAAAGGCTTCGTGTTCGAAGCAACTCCTCCCAGCGATTCCGGCGGGGTCGGAGGAGACGAAGCGTTCTTGTCGCGGCACGGTCGTCCGTCGGATGGAGAGGCCGGGAATGGTAGGCATACTCCTGCCGTCGAGCCCGGGGGTCCGGCGGTGGTGCAACAACAGAACTACCGCAACCTCTTCTCGAGGGGGCTCAGCTCGTCCGCCTCCTTCCACGCCGACACCCCTACCGGGCCCAAGACGAAACCGAACGCCGCCGTTGCCGGGAGCCAGAGGGCGTCGATACCGTCTCGAGACGCCTCCGCCGCCGCCTTCGCCACGACAGCTCCCCCCCTCGGCGCGTTCCGGTCGGCGACCGGGCGGCCGGCGGGGTCTTCCATGACGTCGGTCGGGAGATCAGCGTCGCCGCCGCTGCCCGTGGTGAGTCCCGTCGAGAGCGCCATCGGCGTGGGCGCGCGCGTCGACCACTCCGCGGACGGCCCGGGCGACTCCAAGACCCCCAGGGCCAAGTCCGGGCAGGAGCTGCGGAGGTCTGGGTCGCTGTGGGACCGCTCGTCGACGCTCTCGCCCATCCTGTCGAAACAGGGGACGTCGACGGCGACGCCGTCTACTCCCAAGGGGGACTCGGCGGCGGCCCTTGGCAAGGACGGCGGAGGGGGGCAGCTGCCAGAGAGGCGACGTTGCGAGGCGCGAGACCAGTTCGAAGACGCGCTGATCCGGGCCTTGGACAACAAGTGGGAGAGCGGGAGGCCGATACACGGGGGCTACGGCAGCGACAGCGGCCGCGCTAGCCCCCCGCTGCCGCCGGCGGCGACCACCCCGTCCCGGTCGAACTCGATCAACGAGGGGCCAAGCTCGATGCTAATGGCCGTCAAGACTTGGACCTGCGTGTGCACGTTCGAGAACAGCGTCGGGCAGACTGCGTGCTTGGGGTGCGGCCGTGTCGCTCCCCTCAACAGACCGACCACTCCGTCCCGAAGGCGACTTCCGCCGCATAGGATGAACTCGTCCATCGCGCCCCCCAACCAAGACGACTACTGAAAGGCTTGCAAGGTGGAGTCGGGTTATGGTATTTGTTCTGTTTGTTTCGTGTGGTTTTGTGCGTGTACGGGCGCGTTTCGCGTTCATGCGATGTGGTGGCTGCTGCTGCGGGGGCAGATGTGCTAGCGTGCCGGTCGAGCACGGCGTGGTGAACCGCTGTGTGACCACGCCGACTGCAGTCTCATCAAGCCCGGTGGGGTTCCTTTTTCGCGAAGCCTCTCTCAGCTGTTGAGGGGTACAGGTCACTCAGGATTTGTTTTTCGCGCCAAGTATACGGTTTCGGCATGAGGGCGAGAGAAATGTTGTTACGTGGGGGTGCAGTTTTGCCCGACGCTTGGCTGGATCCAAGGTCTCTCTCTGGCATGAAACGAAGACAGCCCTAGAACGATGACACCCCAATCTGGGTTTCCGTAAGCCTGCCCGTGTGGTGGGTGGTAGAGGATGAGCATGCCCGTTGCTCTGCTGTTTTTTTTGTGCGGGCCAAATTCTCACGACGCATTTGTTCGGACGTTGTAGTTAAAGTTATTAACATATCCCAGTGCTGCGGGGACCACGCGTCGATGAGACCGACTGCTGGGTAGATACGCTTGTCGGCAGGGCATACTATGAATGCTTTGAGGGATCCGAGGCCTTGGCCTCGGCCACTCAACGCTCACGCTGGTTCTAGAAACCGAGCAAATGCATTTGGTTGTTTCGAAGAGGATGGGCAGACTCGAATACCATCCCGTTTCGGAACAGAGAAGCCGGCCGGCTCCAGTAGTCTCAGCAGCTGGGTTGTTTCGCTTGACCCACTTTTTGTTTTTGTTGTACTCGTGAGATATATGTTGTTTGTACTGGTGTAGTCGACGAGCGCCGTGCAGTGGAGTTGCTGGCTTGGTTGCGCCTTGCAGCCACTATTGCATCTGGCCTCAAGCGGGCCAGCATAAAACAGGGCCTTGTGATGCCTAACAGTGTCGACATCAAGCGTACGATCGATAGTTAGTTGTGTTGTGCGTGCCGCATGCATATGAAAAGAGCAGGCCAGTAGTTGTTGCTATTGGCCATTGTGGGTCATTCCAACGAAGCCACGCGAGCTTTCTTGCATGTGACACACCCTGTGGTAGGTGCAGGATGTACGGAGTGCGGGTTGGGGGTTTATAGAGGGATAACTGAAAGATGAGTGGGGCACAAGCAGAGAGAATACAGACGGCGAGAAAATAACGGGTTGATTTTGCTGCTCAAAGAAACCGGATATGTGGTCGCTGCTGAGGCGAGCCGTCCGATCGATTCTCCTTTCTTGAATTCAGATCTTTGCGCTGGACACAAGACGTTGAAGGTGGGGGGGGAGGGTTGAGACTGCGGTTGTTTTCGTTTTGCTTTGCACGATACCCTAAGATGCGGGTGATAAATATATTTAATCTCTGACAAATAATTGGGACTTGGAGGGGGGGGGGGGGGGGGTTGATATCGCCTTCGATATGCTGTACTTGTTAACCACTGCTGTAGTTGTCTAGATGTGCGTTGTATTGTACGTGATTTTTGTTGCGTGGTATGCATGTGTATGCGTATTTCTCTGTTATTTTCTTCGTAATTTGGAGGACTTGTGGTTGGTGCTTTTCGGCCTGTGTGCCGATGAGTACTGCTGTGCGTGTGATCGTTGAAAGCTTCCGGGCGGTTGGACATCGTGCTTGCATGCTCGTGTCCCTGCTGGCACGGCCCTGCGTGCCGCGCGAGCACCCCTTTCTGTTTTGATGTCGATGATTTACTTCAGCAGTATTTAGCTGATACTGCAGTGTTCATGTTGGTGGGATACACATGACTATTTAGGAACGTCGTAGTACATTTTCGCACGTTCATGTGGTTCCAGTGCTACCAGACGTTGTTGTCTGGCGGGGCACGAACTTGGCCGTGGGGCTTCAAGCTGGGCCCTTCACGTTGCACATGGCCGTGCGGCTTCAAACTGGGCCCTATGCGTTGCACACTTGTTTCGCGGGTGGCTGGAACGACATTTCGGACAGCGACCGCGGTAGACAAGTGTTGGACCCGCCCAAACGGGTGTTGTACACTTGTGTAGAATAGGCAGGCTTCTGAGTTCGGGTGATAGGTACCGGTACTCCTGGTTCTCTTAGGAAAGCACACCCGAGGTGGGCTCCCCTGCCCGAGTGCTGTAGTACGCTATGCTGTTCTTGGAGCAATATAGGGAAAATAATATTCTGCCGTTAGTTGATTGAATTCACAGTCGTTTTCTGTTTTTTCCGTTTTCCCGCACACACAGGAAAGGAAGTTATCCGTTCGGTTCGCTCGGGAAATCTTGTTCAAGTGTGGCTTCGGCCGTTGCCACACCCACATACAACTAGGTGCACCATTGAGAGCATCCTCTCTCGCGCAACAAGTGCCAGGACCAACGATGACTTGAATCAAGCCAATGACGTTGCCATGCGTCCATCGACCGGTGGTCCCATTGTTGCTCATCCATTTCCGGGTAAACACTGCTCGCCTGTTTGCGTAGAGAACTTTTGTTTCCACACTATCGTTTTTGTGTGGAATTTTCGTGATTGTGATCGACAACCAGGCGGACCGGCGCGTTGTGTTGAATCAACAACTTCTCAACGCAAACAAACGTTGGCCATAAGCACCCGAAAGCACTCGCCGATGCGCTGGTCGTCTTCACTCGGTGCAACGAACGGCGGTCAGCTAACGACCGTATTTGTACATGCGTACAGGACTTGCCCACGCTGGAGTAATCTCCTCTGAAAGCTCATGCCAAACCAAGTCAGGAGAGTTCCCACGTGTGTAGAGTAGTACGTGAACGATTTACGAACCACGTTGTGGCACGCTACGAAAGGTGAGGTTTTCCTCCTGACACACGATTTAGTCACACTAATGCCACCAAAACGTCAGCTGTCTCTCCCGGCCGTCCCAAGGGCCCGGGATGACAACTTCCACCAACCCCAAGCCTGCCCTTCCCCCTCCCACCGACAACGCCGTTGATGGCGGCCCATCGGGCGTTGCCGCACACAGGGCCGAAAAAGAGGCATCGAGAACGGTGACATCACCGCTACCACCAGCACGGCCACTATCGTCACGGCCATCTTCGCGGTGAATGACGCCCTGCTCCAGGCCTGCCGACCCAACCGCTCCGTCGCCCCCTACCCCGCCAAGGGTCACGCGCGAAGGCTGCCGGCTGGCCACCGCCAAAAACTTCCCGCTGCCCTTGACGTAGACCGCCACCCCGGGAACCATTCCCCCATCGCACTCTACGCCGCTGCTCCGAGTTGTTGCCCCGCGTTGAAATGGCTCCTGCGCCGACACGGCGGCCGAAGAGTTGAACATGTCCGAGAGCCCGAGGATAGCCCATCTCACCGTGTCCTCTTGCGCGTCGTATCCTGGACGATCACCATCTCTACTTTCTACCACGTCGGCAGCAGACGACCCCTGCTGCTGCTCTCCGCTTGTGCTGATGCCGAGAGGCGGCAAGCGGAGGCCGATCACCCTCGAGAACGTCGCAAGCTCGTAGCTCAGCGGGAGGACCTCGATCGCCACGGCCTCGAGCAGGCTAACCACGCGGGTCTCCCGCCGTCGGTGCAGGTACAGCGCGAAGCAGCAACGTGTCTCGTCTTCATTCTCCTCGACCCCATCCCCCGGTGCCGGCGGCATTTCTCCGGCCCCCCCAGCGCGATCAGCGTGGGGTTTCGTGATGCGGAAGGCGTGCACGTCGGAGGGGGACACAGTGCCCTCGACTGCACCGCCGCCCCGGGCCTCGTCGTCCCGTCCGGCCCTAACCCAGGCGCGTTCGGACTGGCTGAAGCTGGCGCCCCGGACGTTAAAGCTGCCGACCACGCCGGTGCCTGCAAGAATGGTGTTGTTGGTGAGGCCAGGCAAGAGTGTGTGCGTGAGGGGAGAGTGCCCCACGTGTCGCTCGAGAACGCAGGCTGCGCAAGTGTGTTTTCTGGGGAGGGGCTGAACAGTTCCTGTACATCTGGTGCTTTCGGTCGGCCCTGGGCCGCGTGAGGCCCAACAGCTTTCGGTTCGAGAGCTCGCCAGAGCACCGACAATAAGGCCCCAACGAGCAACCACAGAACAAACGTCACCAACGCTCGTACAACGACCGACTCTAGAGATAGCCGCGTGCTACGCCGGGCGCTCTGGTCACGCCTAGACCACCCCTCTTCGATCCATGCTGGCGCACCGGCCACGGCACCATGGCACCACTGCTGTGTACACACACAGCAACAGATACCCCTGCCTGCGGCTGCCACATACATCATCACTTTCGCGTTCACCTTAACCTTCGCCGACAACCCGATTGCGGTCGGGGTACACTACAGGTAGAACGTCCCGTCCCACCGTCACACACGGCGTAGCACTCCCTTTCTACCTGCAAGCGGATTGAGCGCCCAAACTTGAAGGAGCCCGCCGCCTTCCTCCTGAGGGTCTCTCATGAGGCAGTCTAGAGTCGGGAGCGCGTTGGTGCTAGCTCTCGGGACCGAGCCGTCCTCGAGCACGAGCTTCCGTAGGATGTCCGCGTTGTGCTACGGCGCAGCAAAAGGGCGGCGAAAAAAACAAGCTTGAGCGACGGGAGAGAAGGGGGGGTTGTGCGAACAGCAATGATAGCGCTTTCTTGTTCCGTTTCAGTTCGAACGGGAGAGTTAACTCATTGGGCAAAGGTAACAAAAGCTGACGGTTGATGAGTTGCTCGTTCCGGCCCGACAAAATGTGTAAAAGTGGCGTGCGGTGGTTACGTCTGGTTACCTGCCCCGGTCGATCAGACACGTAGACGGGCCCACCGCTTATCGCCCGCGCGGCCGCATGAAACCAGCTTGCGTTGGCCCCCTCGCTGAGTCCAGCTGCCCCTGCGGCGTCTCCGGTACCCTGCGGTGTGGAGTGAATTTTGAAAAGCGGGGTGACGAATGCAACGGCAACGGCACGGCCAGGCAGAAAGAAAGATGAAATAAAACAGCAGACTCGACGTACTAATAGATATAGGCGTCCTTACCCACGTGATCATGCGTCTGCAGAAGACTTTAGACATCACCGTTGTAGGGATGCGAGGTCAATGGTCAATGGTCTAACGACTACGGCATGCACGACTATGATGTGAGTACACACACACACCCAACATGCCATACTTGAGCCAATTAGATTCTCCCACGAGGAATAGGTCGGCATTAGCAAACCTGGCGATGCCAAGAGGTCTACTTGTAGTGGATACAACTCCACAGGCCAATCGTTCGTCTTCCGCTCTACTCTAGCGATAGCTGAGGCAAGCGAGCGGGCAACATCCACGGGAAGTCACAGCGATCACCAGTTACAACAGTCAGTCATGTTTGTCGTCTTGCCTGAACGCCGAGGCCGGTCTGAAACATGTCCCAATCCTGCACGCCCAGGTTGGAGAGGAGCAGCGCGTTGAAGGAGTTGGAATAGAGGTGGGGGCCGTGGCTGAGGTCCTCCCGGGGATAGAAGTCGTCCGATCCCCGGATAACCGCGCGGTCCTACTATCAGTTGTAAGGGCACATGGATAGCATCAGATCGTGGGGTTGGTCTGATTGGGCGGATTGGTGTAGAGCAACGGGGCTACCGCACATTTACGCATTGTTTTTTTGTTTGGGATCGATAGACGTCGATGGCCGCACCTACCGCAAGCATCAGACCTCAAGGTTATTTTTTTAAAGAGAGGGTTGCCACGCGAAGTGTACTTCCGACCGAGATTCTAGGCACGTATGCGCATTACATCTTCCGTTTTTCCAAAAGTCTTACCACCTTAGGCATTCGCCCCTGAATAAACACACGGGCTCGGGCTGTTCTTGCGACTGTAGTTATGAAATATCGACCCCAGCTTATTTTTCTCCAGTCTTATTCCTTCTGCAGTGCATCGCATCTCAACATGGTCGTTTACCTCGGACACGCAAGCGATATGGAACAGCACCGAGGGCGCGTGGCACATGCAGTGGATCAGCGCCGCGGGCCGACCCCCTTCCTGTCCCAATAGTCCAAGGCAACGGTAACGCACGCAAAGGGGGCGGACAAACAATCGTTTCGCGGAGTACACATGGGAAAGCGATTCAACCACAGGCGAAACAACAGCAGTTGGTGTACGTTAAGCCGACTAGTCTTGTTGCCCACCAGCAGAGCGAGCCGGCGTGCACATCTCGAGATCCGGTCGGGGGTATCACGGTGCAGTCAGAGACCTGTCGGAGGCGTTACAGTCCTCGGGAGGGAGGGGTGAAGAGGCATAAGCACCAAGTCTCCCTCGGGGGCTCCGTGAATCAAACCGAGGTCCCCCATCGCCAACTACGCTGACTTGGTCGGGACCGTGTAGCATTCGGCCTCACCAGGTGCCGTGATAATGCCAACACACCCAATGTCGCGACAACAACAGCATTGTGTACCGACAGCACCCCAACTTTACCGTGAAACGTCAAAAGAGGAAAAAATTACCTTTGGGTTCGTGGTCAAGCTGTTTCCAACGAGATCGTTACTGCTCAGAACAGCCTGAATCCCATCACCTTGAAAGTGGCCTGCACAGACTGAACCAGCCCCTCGTGATACGCCTTTGTAACCGCCGGAACGCCTCCATTGCCTCCGCCCATGCAGTCCAGAATCGACTGTGCGTCCACCTGGCCGTGGCAATACGTCCAAAGACACAGCACCCGTCACTCTCTCTCAGTGTAACAGGACAATTAAGTTCGAAGTATCCGCTTACCGCAGTCCTCGGAAGAAAAGGCGAGGAAGCCGGCATAGCGTGTCAATATCGACAAGGTGCGTCAATATCGAGAAGGTCCGTCTATTTCTAGAAGGTGCTGCCCTCAACGCGGGCGGGGACATTATTCGGAGAGACGACCACCACTAGTGCTCCCAAGACATCGCGGCACCAGCACACACGCAGGGTAAATTCTCCTCCCTGCCGTCTTGACACTCTCATTCCCGAACGAGAATTTCACGGCCACTACCCTCCTCCTGCAGACCTGAACGCTAATTTGCCTCTAAACGCACAAGCGGTAGAAAAGACGCAAGCTCTACCTGGAAGGGGTGGGCTGTGGCGGCAAGAGGCTGCTTCAAGGCTAAGCAACCATCCGTTCGCAACGAGAACAAGGGCGTCGGTCGCAGTGCATGCACCATGCGCGCACCTTAACCCCGTCGACCCCGTTATCTCTAAGGTATCCGTGATAGGCCCTGTAGAATGCCTCCACGTTGCCGAGCCTCACCATCCCGAACCTCTTATGGTCTAGCTCCGGCTGCATCTGTTCCGAAACAAGCGAAAAGAAACACCAAGCAGCCGAAGGTAGTAAGGTCAAGCAGGGGCAGAGAAGTGGTATCAGAGGCACACTTGGCGGACGCCATGGGGCACCCACCGTAAGACCGGCGAGGACCACCAGCGCCTGCTGGTCTCATGTCGCTCGGGTATTCACTCGCTCGCTCCCGGTGTGCAAAGCATCGGATGTTGGTCGTTCAAAAGATGCCGTGAAGACCACCCGTCCGGCAACTTTGTCCGGAGCTTCTACAAACACCGCAGGCACGTGACCCGCGTGTGCAAAACTCCTACGGGTAGTTGTGCTTGTGCGGCGTTCAAAGGCCGGGGTCACCTCGGGATCGACCTCCTGTATTCCTTCCGGCGCTAGCAGCTTGGCTACGAGGGGGTCGAAGGGCACCATTTCGCTCGCCTCGGGCTCCACGCCCGCCCAATAACCCGCCATGGCGTGCCACGCTAGCACTCGCTCTACACCAAAGTCTCGCTTCATCTTCCCCACCGTATCGCCGAGGTCGAGCAGCAGCTTCCCTTTCTCGTCGAACCGCCTGCGACGGCACGTGCCAAAAGGGAAAAGAGAATCGCGGCGGCGGCGATGACACAGATATGGCACCTCCGTAATGAGAGAAGAGATCCCGCCATGCCGCGAGGACAACGTGGGCGCCACTGTCTACCGTTGATTCCGTTCTCAGGGTGGACCAGAAGAGGCATATTCTACTATCATGGCCGCATGCACACCACACAACACCGATATCGTTTTTAAAAAACAAGAACGTCGTGGTGGGTGAAAGAAGGAGAGCAACGTGGCAGCGGGAACACGGATACTGATGCGTGTGGATGACGTGCACCCCCGCCTAAATGACTGCCTGCCGCCTGAGTTGCATGCTGCCCGGACAGCATGCGGCCTACGTAGGTACACCAACCTGAATCGTTTGTTGGCCTCGAGCCCCACCAGCCGCTCGTCCCACTGCTCCGTGTTGAGCGCGTCGTCGTTGGTCGTTCGCTGCCAGCCATCATCGATGACTACCCACCGAGGCCGCACACCACCCTCGTGTAGCGTTGACAACCCTTCGAGCACACCTGAACACACCGTAGTGACCGTGGACAACATACAGCTCTGCGCAACTAAACTATACGTAGCGGTGTAGCGGTGTTCACAGCAGTACTACAGAAGAAGTGAGAACTCAGCAGAGTGTACGAATAGAGGTGGTACCGCTGTACCACGAGGTTTCACGAACAACTCGCGAAGTTAACGTTAAGTTAATGCTGACACGCTCAAGGGCAAGACTGTCTCTCGAGTGCAGCAGCACCTTCCGGTGTGACCATGGTGTAGAAGCTGTCCCACGTACACCACCCCAAGCTGTCCACGAAAGAAGCCACCGGTCGCCCCTTGCCCTCATCATCGCACGAACCCCGGTCCTCACCACAAGCACCCGGGTCAACCCTCTCGGCAACAGTTGCGGATCTGGCCCCCTCCTTCAGTGACACCAGTTGCGTGCTCAACCGATCGGTGGCCTCCCGCACCAGTCTCTGCACAAGCCGGAAAGGGTCTGGCCCCGTCGCCACCAACAGCACGCCCAGCGTGTCCGGCAAGAGGGTTGCGGGGTCTCCCGTGTCTGCGGACACGGCTAGAGCCGACGGGGAATCTTCGTCTACCGCAGCACCCGATGGACTTAACCCTTCGCCGTTCGACGAGTCGTCACCCGCACGATGCAGGCTCGCACGTGCGTGGGTGTCGCTGACAGGAAGTAGGGCAACGTACTGCTGCTGCTGCTGCTGCTGCTGCGGTTGCATCTCTGCCAAGAACAGTGCCGTTTCAGGGGGGATGTCAAGACCAGAGTGGCCGTGAGACGGCTTGAGCCACCATAGCTTGAAGCGATGCAGGCAGAGATGGCGCCCGAAGTTGCCGGGCTATGCGCGCGTTAGGGTGCAATAGGGGGAGGGAGCAGCGGAACCAAGAGGAGAGAAACAGTATTGTAGATGCCAGTGGAGAGGTCTCATGTACCGGGGTGGTAGAGCAGTACTCGGCCGTTTCCGCACGGACACGCAGGCCGCCGGCACCTCAGTTGTAGCGTTACAGCAGTAGTCCTTGGCGTACCAAGACGTCTTACTGCTTGGCCAGTTATTCTACCAAGGTGGGCCTAGAGGTAAATGATCCGATCACTTGCATTAACGGCAACATGTAGGAACGCCTCTCCAGTGGCCAACTCGCAGCTCCCCAAAGGCCCGCTGGCTTCAATCGGGCACACGAAGCGACTTGCCAATTTCTCTCAACCAACCGAGGAGAGCGACGATCAGCAAAACAAACAGCGCGCGGTCAGCCATACATACAGCATTGCACATGCAACCCAACTAGCATGACACAGAAAACACCTTGAGTAGTAATGTACGAGTACAGACTACTACAGAGACCAGACGGCGACGGAATCTTCTTGTCTTGGAGAAACGTTAACACCTGTATGCCAAACGTCCAAGTTGCAGCATCGGAATTGCACGTGCTGGCTTCCACGATCCAGCAATGATCGTCATGCCCAGGCAGCGACACCGCAGCGGTTCCGTCAGGTAGCAAGAGCGGGAATTCTTCGTCCATGGTTTCCATGCTTTTCCTTCGTTGCGTGGGCAGCAGGCCAAGAAGGAGGTGTTGTACAGCTCGTCTCTCGTGCTCTCGGGGTGAAGTGCAACGAGTAACGATGTGAAGCGACGTGATTGGCCAGGAATGGCAGTCCCATGCGCCATGCCATATTTTTCCTCGGAATATGAAACAAAGTGGAACCCATTTGTCAATCAACAATCAACAAAGAGTCGAGCTTGTGATCACGAGCAAGATGGCACCCCCGAAGGACGCCCAGACTCCTGTAAACCCTAATGCGCCGGCGCAGTCGACGTTCACGTGGTACAGGGTTCTAGCGGTTATCGTCGTCTTCCTTGCGTCAACGCAAACGGGCTTCACCAACACGTGAGACGGGGAGGGGCTACAGAGTAACGGTGAACAGGATTGGAGTTGGATTCCGACATGCTTGAGGTTGAGTAACCAACCACAGAGGGCGAAGCAGCAAAGATGGAGCAAGGTCAATACCTCAAATAGAGTTGCTGAGAGGAGCTCTGGGAGATGAAAGCAGGGCTGGAACTTGCACATGTTGCTGTCGTTGTTCGCTTGAACTTGCGCTCGTGAAATGATTTGCTCCGTTGACAGCTTCATCGGAAAAGCTGTTGTCAACTTCGCCAACTGCGTCGCGTACGACCAAAAGCAAACCATGGGGGGCTGCCTGAGCAACGTGATCGGCGAGATCTTCGGGACTAACAAGGCTTCGGGGTCGTCACAGAACGCGCCCGTCACAGGGACAGCGCCAAATTATGGGAGCACGGGAGGTGTGTTGCGAAATTTTGATTCTTGACAATCGTTGCGGGCGAACATTGCCGAAGTAACCATTTCGGCGGGCAACAGCGGCAAACCGCGAGCGCATGTCGTATTAGGAAAAATGAATACGCACAAAGAGAGACTATCGAGATATATGTACCCACGTTCGAACGGGATGTGGTGGAGTCTTATTGCAGCGGCAACATGCGTGGATCCCTCGTCCAAGCGGATTTTGTATCGTGGGTCACACGTAGATGCATATTTTCTAAAATAAACGAAGCGTCGGCGTCATCTCAGAAAGGATTCCGTGTAGACTACCGTAAGAGTCGGGTGCGATCGTTTTTTTAAATGTTTTTTCCTCGGTTTTTTTATCGTACCCCGGTGCCATGTCTCCGACCGGTGCCAAATCTCCGGCCGGTGCCAACTCCGACTCTTACGGTATATGCGGAAGAGGCGGGTGGCACATGACACGTGTAACTCCATCTTTTGATCTGAGATTACAGATGGCTACACTTGTAGGACCGCCTTCGCGCGAAGTTTATGATATGAGGAAACAGAACAGGGAGGGCGGGCGGACGCAGACCCTATTCCCTACAACACGTTTTCATATATATACGCATACAATGTAATACGAACAACCCTGCGAAGGCTACTGCTGCTACATGTAGTGAGAGGCTTTCTATTTACCATAGGTGACATGATACATCACACCCCCTGGGCCGGTTTCCAAAGCTCGATTTCTCCACAGCAAGGAAAGTGGCGGTGCCGAAAACGGCGGTGTTGGAGCCTTCTTGTCGAGAGCTTTCCGAAAACGCATGGATGCATTATGCATCCTGTTTGTCGTGAAGTGGTCGAGCTTTGAAAATTGGTCCAGGGTGCTTGTGTCACCTATAGGTACGTAAGTAGTCCTGCACTGCATCGACCACATGAAAAAAATGTTCTAAGCTGTGGAGAATTATGAAACCCTGTGTGTTGTTTGTATTGTTCTTCCAGTGCACCCACCGGAAAACCTCCCGAACAAGGTGTTCGACGAGAACGACAGGCCGCAGCATCACTATGATGAACATGGGGCACGGGTGAGCACGAGTTTGCAACAGGACCTACAATCGTTCTTGAAGCTGCCCCGACTGGGCTGAGTGTAGCACCCCCTGTGATGCGGAGATGGAACGGTTGATGGTGGACACGGCAGCCAGCTAGATCATAGTGCAACGGCTTTTCGTCGCATGGATAGCCGGTGTAAGCGTAATATCCTACTTCTACTTGCAAACGTGATTGCCGCTCCGTCTCAGAAGCGCCTTAATAGTGCAGTGTGCGCACACTGCTGTTCAGGCTCGGCGGGAAGACCCACAAACTCCATTGCAGGCATTACATATACGCTCGTGTTTTTGCTATATGAGACTCCTGCGTCGCCTTTGCCGGCTGTATTCTTCAATCGTCTGTGTTGTTTCTCTTCCTCTGCAGATCTTCCCCGACGCGATAATACACAGGGAAGAGGCCGATTACCAGGCTAAACTCCGGTCATCTAAGCTCGCGGAGTCCCAGAAGGCGTACCAGGCCGGTCACAAGGCTAACGCCCATGAGCTGTCGGTAGAGGTTAGTCTGTCCATAGGGATACCGCTGCGCCATCCGCACTATGTATTTGATGTTTACTGTTGTTTTTCAATGGTGTAGTACTACTGTTTTGAATATGCATGTGTCCGGGAGAGAGGTCTCTGCTCCACGTGCATTCCGAAGAGGGAAATGTGTGGTTTCCTTCCAGCGACGATGAGGCTACGAGTGATTAGGGCACTATGCAGCAGCCTCACCCTTGAGGTGACGGGAGATTTCTGGGTGTAGAGGAGGTGCGAGATTTAGAGTGCTTGTCCCAGGGTCAACCACCATTCCTACTGTATTGTTGTATCAATTGATTACTTTCTTCGCGGATGCATCCATGTGAGTTTGTGATCTTGCTATGGTAGCGAGCGTCAAGTTGTGGAGTGCCTCCCCCACGGCATGCACAACCAAGCACATACCATCCTATGCGATGTTTTACCGCATTCCCGACGCGTTTCGCATCCGCCTCATGTTCTTCCAAACTTGAAACATTTCCAACCGCACAAACGAACGAAAAGGGGAAGAAGCACGGACATTTGATGGAGGCGGCCAACAAAAAAGCTGCGGAGGCCATCATCAAGCCTCAGAACTCCGAAAAAACGGGAGTGCTTGACCTGCACGGCCTGTATGTAGCGGAGGCTACGGAGGCTACGGCCTCTTTCCTCCACTTTCAGAAGAAAGCCAAGAAGTTCAGGGAGGTGGAGGTCATCACGGGTGCGGGACACCATAGCCAAGGGCATCAGGCTAAGATCAGGCCAGCCGTCGAAAAGCTCATCAGCGGCATGGATCTGCCCTACCACAACCCACCCCACAACGACGGCGCGTTCATCGTAGAGATGTACTCTAACCAAGACCTCGTGGACCAGATGTAAAGAGATGTTGTGTTTCCGATGTAGCATACGCATGCGGCGCCTCTCAGCAACTTGTGGTGCAGGTTGCCAATTGTTTAGATTTTCGAACGTATTATGTAGTGGGAGCGTTTGCTCTAAAACCGTGGTATGCGGTAAGCCCTTATGCGCCCTGTTTCACGTGTGGCTTGCAGACAGTGGCTTGTAGATGCACATAGCCTACATGTAGTCGCTTTTCGACCAGCCTTTGGCGAACCATTCGTATTTACTCCTTTGTGTTGGTCCTAGAATACAGCCCATGTTTCTCGTATGTTCTCCTTTAGTCATAGCTTGTTTACGGTCGCGCACAAAGTTTGAGAACTTTGACCGTTTTCAATACACCGGTGTTTCCCCCTTGAGAATGGCGAAGCGGAACGTTGTAGAATAAATATCCCCGGGCATTGCAACTGCGTGGGAGCTCGGGTCGTGTTTTCGGATGGCTGCGCCAAACGTCTCTTCGCAGGGTGAGTGGCGAAGTCTGCGGTTCGGTTTTGTATGTGGGCGTGTGAATACTTTCTCGTGCACACGAGCGCAACTTCACGGCTCGACCCGTGTGCGCTTCTGTACGTGTTGTTGGAGTTGGAATGAGTTTGAGGAGGTACATAGAATCTCGACATTGATACCATCGGGTACAGTGTGGTCGAGCGTCCTATTGCTAATGTTGAGAACATATGTGCCGGGTTGTTTGCGAGTTTATCCAGCTACAAGTAGTACCTACCGGATAGAAGAAGAGTCTAGAGAAAACAAGTGTTTTAAGACACGATATACTTTTACTAAATTTACAGGTTTTGAACCAAAAACCGGTATTTTCGGTGTGCATCTGGCACACTTTGGGCACACCGCCAATTTAACTGGCCGGTCGAAGTTGTTGTGGACGCCCAGGTATTTCTCCTCTCTGGTGGACATCTGGTTGCATGGCTACTTGAGCGCTGAGACTTACAAGCCATCGTCGATGTGGCCTACCCTTACTGCTTTGTTTCGCACGCTCTGCTGTACGTTCCGGTCAACGGATACTCAACATCAACAACCTACAGTACGGTGAAAAACGGCTCTCAAACTGATGAGCTACGCAAGGGGAGCGAATTCTCCCCGTCTACCAGAGTCGCCGTTGCATACGCCCCGGCCTGGTTTCAAAACTGGATGACAGGAGGGTGTTTCCCGACGAAACCTTCAACATTTAAGGGGATTCCGTCGGTTCCCGAAGAGAAAAGTGTCGCTGTAGATACGACATGACAGGAACGCCATGACACATACACCGATGTGTCGGGGGAGTGACGCCTTCTGCACTCCTTCTTGCGATCGCCAAAACTTTCAAAACTTGCATGCACCCCTGACCACTGCACCCGAACCTCCAGCAGTTATACCTCAATATTTGTTGTACCTCAATATTCAGTCAAGAATCAAAATCATGACATCAATTTCACGAGTGCAACCCCCGCCGCAACTCGCGTGCCAAGCTAGGAGGGCTTCTGCCCCCTGAACTCGAAGAAATCTTCAGCGGGCCTTTCCCCTTCAATCCCAAAAAACGACTTCTTGTGAAGTCGGTAACCCGCTAGCCTGAGGCGGGCATAGTCCATGAAGTCAAACTCGATAGGGGAGTACCGGGCCTGCACGACCGCCCACAGTGACCACCAGAGGTGCGAGGGCAGTGCCCACCGGTTCACTTCTGTGCGTAACGCCTCGACGTAACTCTCTTCGTCTGAACGTGGGGAGTCCGTCGATGCGTCCGTGCTTTCCTCCTCCGTTGTCTCGTCCGCCTCACCCGGCATGTCAGTGCTGGGTTCGGGAGTCGTCACGGCCCGCACATAGGCCGTCAAGAAGGCCGCTTGCGTGTCTGCCGTCGGGTACGACTTCTCAAAGTTCGAGTCGAATCCGGCGTGCTGGGGTGATAGTCGTGAGTGGTGACAGAGCGCAACGGGGGCAACGGTGACGAGAAAAATTTGGTCGTGGTGCAGTTGGACTACTCGGGCTCGTAAAAGGGGTTGGCGGGCACTTGCGAGCCGCTGGCAAGGCCGAAGGGCTTCAGGCCACTCTGCTTGCTTCGTGATTGGAAGCCGCAAGCAGCGCAGCCAGAAGCCCAGCGGCACATATGCCTGCAGAGATGTGCAAACAGGGTGCAGGATGCAAAAGCTTCGTCGATACACATACAGCCCAATCCACACCCCACCAAACCACACTCTCCAGTCTTAAGCTGACGCACCTCACAAAAATGGTTGGCAATGTCGAAAGCCCGAGGGTTGTACCCGGAGTACTCGAAGTCGATTACCTGTGAGAAAGCAGCGTAACTGGTGAGCCCAACAACATTCGGATAGCCATCCTCTTGAACCGCTCGGTTCCGGGGTGATGATAGTCGTGCTTTGATGCGAAAATCCTGGCTTTAAAAACGCCAATGCTGCCATGTGACGGCACACCTCACCAACCTGCAGCCTTCAAAACATCACGCTGAAAGATTGCTGAGCACCAAGCGTCATGGCTCGACGAACTGTGCGTGCGTGATCACATGAAACGGTGTCGAACTTGTCATACTTTCGACGTCACTTGTCAGGACTTGCACAGCGAGCGGTGGCCGACTTTCAAAGAGAGGAACAGTCGTAGATGGCAACGAGGAGATAATCCACGACGTAGACACAGGACCCATACACATGTGCACCGTGTACGCCAGCAACTCAACCACCGTTTCACCTGCACCCGGTCCCAACCGTCCGCGTGCAGCACGTTCCCACTCAAAAGATCGTTGTGGCACAGCACAACCTCCGACAAAAATCGATTCGCGCGCTTCTCAGCTGCGGAGCTAACCCTGGTCGCCGAAGCACCGCTGTCGGCACCGTCGGGCTCTCGGCACAGCTTCTGCCTCAGCCACTCCACCTCCTCGCAGACCCAGTCGAGGTCCAGGGCCTTGATGGCAGCCGCCTTGGATTCGTCCTCGAAAGTCAAGCCTGACCGAGCACATGACCCGCCGTCAAGAGTAAGGACACGAGGCGCCAGACCACCACCCTCTTTGGCCTAGAAACAGCTTTCGGCAAGGAATTTGCTTGAGTGTCATGGAACCCTGACGGGTTTCCCCCATGCCACTACACCCTAGTGGAACATGCCTGATGGTGCAATCCGTACAACTCACTTTAGCCTCCTCACACGGCCATCGTTTGTATCGTCAACGAGCCCACCGGTTCTTCGGTCGCCGGCAACGCACTACCACGCGGGAACACGTCGAAAGACACAACGGCACGTGGTCACCTAGAGAGGTGAGAGGTGGGTTCCGCTCAAGCGTGCCCTGCAAAAAGTCATCACCTGCCACAAGGTCGACTGGGAGAGTAGTAGAACACACACAAAAAAAAATCATCCCACACGCTATCTATAAAGTACCGCCGGCTGGCTCACCCTTCGCCAGTTGCAGCCACTTGGGCAGCACTTGCCATATCTCGGCCTCCCCAGGCGGCCCAGCGTTGGCGACCTGTAGGCCATGTAATCGGCCCATTTCTCGCGCGATGAGCGACACAAAGTCGACCGGCGATCGATTCGACAGCTCTTGGGGCTCGAGGGCTCGGGCCGGCAAGAAACCTTCTATTCGACCGTTGCTGAACCGTCCGTGAAAAGGCGGCGCGTACTTCATGCTGTCATGACAAGAGAGCGCAGACAAGAAACAAGAGGGATATCCCGCACCGCATGAGCGGCCTAGAAACAGCTTTAGGTTGCTAGCGGTCGCGTTGCACACACAGGGAGCAGCTATCAATAGACAACAAATTTGCAGAGGATCGAGAACGTCCCCGAGCAATGAGTTAGTGGTGGTGCTCATGACGATCACAGCTGTGCGTCAAACAGCCAAATCCGCTAAGGTCCCCTTTCAATTAGGCTGTCCTAAGTTGCAAAGAACGGCCGAATGCTTGACAAGCCGAGGACCGCTACGGCGTCAGCACAAAAACGCCTTCAGGCGATAGGCCGTGAAACTGCATGCGATCGGCAATGTCTACGCACCTCGCGAGCTCGTCGAAAAGGGCGTTATCCCTCTCCCTGTCGATTAACACGTCTGTGTCTTTCCCGAAAATTCGCACTAGGATAGCGGCCTCTGCCGGGGGTCCCTGTAGTTTGAAGAGTAAATTGGTGATACCCCCGCCTGCCGATGGTTCAACCGCATGTATATAGGAGGAGGCGCTATGTCACACAATGAGTCAAATACAACGGCAGAAGAGCAGATGGTGTGCACGACGAAACGGAAGGGTCCAAGGAAATACATATGTATATCGCTCGTAGATATGTGATATTAGTTGTTGCCGAGACAATAAGGAAGCGCCTTAGGCTGAACATGTGTTTCTCCACCCAAACGATCCCCAGCGTGCCGTTGAGTACAACAAGGATAGCCAACAGGCCAGCCACGACATCATCTGGGAAAAACAAAGGTTAGATACGCACCAGCATTCAGTGCTCTCGCTCTGTCCAGAGTTGTGCGCTCGCGAAGGTGTGAGACAGGGAACGAAGTGTATTTAGCCATGATAGACTAGCCAGGATATCACACCTATGGTGGTGACGACGATGTCCTCGGTGGGGTAGTCCAACCAGGCGCCTTTCATCACAGATTTAGCCACGTGCTTGACATCCTCCTGCCGCTCGGAACCCTGACGCAAACGAGCACGCAGCAGCGACGTGATTGAACCACATTTGGGGGTATTTTGGGTTGGGTTCGAATCGGGGAAATGGGTAGAGTTGGACCACCGGTGCATAAAGAAATGTCAAACTTCAATCTTCGCCGCGGGTTTTGTAGTTTGAACGCTTGATCGGCTCTTGAAATGCCCGCGGAAGATGAGCTCTGCAGACTGGTCTACTGTACAGTGGAGCCCGTGGACGCTGACGCTGACGCTGGAGTTGTAGTCGGGTGCTGGGGGTCGGCGTTCGTATCGAGTTTTAGTTTGGATTGGGTGGGGTAGGATAGTTGCTTAAGGGTAGGGCCTTGTTGACCGCGTTGTGTTACTGGGTTCTGTTGGGTACGGATAAGGGTTGGGCCGAGTTGGACCGGGTTGGACCGCGATGGTTTAAAAGTGTCGGGAAGTACAATGGGTAGTGTTGCGGCGGCTTTTGGCAGCCTTCCTGGGGCGCGACGTCGCTCGGCTCCAAGAGTTCTGCCGCTGGTCCATCCAGTGAAATTGGGGCTGTGGGATTGCAGGAATAGAATTAGGGTGGGGTTAGGCTGTCTGTTGGGGGATGGGTTGGTGTTGGTGTTGGTGTTGTGGGTGAGGGGTGGGGGTTGGACCGTGCTGGGGAGTGCAGAGTGGTCTTGCGGCGGCTTTGGGCCGCCTTCGTCAGTCGAACCGTCGCTTACTTCAGGAGTGATGTTTCTAGCCAGGCAAACTGAATTTCTATAGTTCGAGATGGGTCGGGGTCAGGCAAATGGCATGGGGGTCGGGTTGGGATGTGTTGTATGATATTGGGCTATCGTGTTGCGGAGGATCGGGTTGCGGGTTTGTAGCGGTTGGACCGTATTCGACGGCCGTAGTGGGTAGTATCGGGGCGGCCTTGGGCCATCTTCTACCGCTACGCCACCGCTCAGTTGTTGTCGCCGTTGGACGCCCTTGCAGTGTTTCACCTCCCACCACCCACCAGCGGGGGGTTCACCCAGGATATTGTTTCGGCTGTAGCACGAGGGGCCACTTCCAGCGAGGATGGTCTCAATCAACCTTTCTCTTGTGGTTGTGTAGAGGGCTAGCTGCTCCTCGGACTCACTGCAATGCGGTCCGACGCCGAGCGCTTCGAAGGGGTCGTGGGATTTTCCTTCGAAGACGGGTCAGCTGAGGATGAAGCATCGTGGTACCGGGAGGAGAAGCAGCAGCAGGAGAAGCGACACGGGCACGAGGTGGAGCTTGGCCGGATTGATGAGACGGTCCGGGAGCTTTCCCTCTGCATGTGGGCTGGAAAAGCTTTGGAACAACGCACAATAATCAATGTGTGGGTATTATCCCCGAATCGACGCTTCCCCCCGAAAAAATTGTTCAACGTCGGCTGAGAGAAAAGCATCAAGCAGCTATGGTCAGCAGGTCATGACTTCGCTCTTGGCAATCATCGGCAAGTTGATTGGCTACGGTTCTGGTGACACACACACGGTCCCGCGCTGTGTCTAGTGTCCGTGTGCTGGGGAGAAATTGCCAGCCGAGCAAAAACACCAGACAACATATGCCATCGCTTCTCGCGTGGGTAGCTTCTTTGTTCGGGAAAGCGGTCCCGCATAAAGGGCCGGCGCAGGGCGCGTTCGGGCGCCAACCGCGCGGGGCGCGGGGATTTTAGGGTGGGCGCGAGGCGGTATACACGTATTGTTCCGAGTTTGCCGGAATTTGGGGGTAGGTTCCTGCTCGAAAAAATGATACGATTGGTTGCTAGTGATGCATGCTGAGCGGCGATAGTGGTGCTGTATCCCCAGGTTCTCCTGTTTCCCGCTAGCTTGTCGTGGCACGTAATCAATCGATTTCTCACCAACCTTTCAACTTTTCGGGAGCAATGCGGATCCAAACTATCAACACGTCATCCCGCGTCACAACCCGATTGAGCCCAGAAAAGAGATGAAACACTACTGCGGTGATTGTAAGCATTGTGCTGGGCAAAATACGTTTAAAGCACCAATACTCATCCCCTATGTACCTGGTAGTGTTTGGTGTTGTTTGAAACATCGCGAATTACTTCACTGAACAACAGCTACCCGGCTGTTGTTGTTTGTTGTTCACGGCAGGCTGGTATATGTCTACACCGTCCGTAGGTAGGATATGCAAAGAGGCGGAGAGATGACACCTCGATTGCTCCTCAACCACGTGGGTGCTGAACGAGCCCGATACGTCAACGGAAAGTCGTCGACGAGGTGCTTCCAAAACCACCATTTATGGCGTTGGCACAATCTTCGTTGTGAATCAATCGAGCTTTGAAAATCGGTTTATGTAGAGGGGGTGCCATCTCTCCGCTTCTTCACGTCTTCAGTCTTCAGTCTAGATTCTCGATTTTGAATTCAAAACGGAGGACTTTCGGAATGAAGAATGAAGGCGTTCGTTCGTGGTGCCTGCTCTTGTAACGGCGGCAGCAGTAAGCAATAGGCGCCCCCTGGCTCGTGCAACCCTGGAGTTCGCTGCATTCCCTCTGTGAAACTAGATACCCGATACCCACATGTTGTAGGTCCATGTGTAGGTCAGTGGTCAGTGGGGTGTTCAAGTTCTCACTTAGAACCTCGAACAGAACCCGCATCGCATGTTGGCAACTCAAACTGGTGCCGTGTTTGCGGGCGCACGTATGTACCGTGGTCAACGATTCAGTGCAAATACCCCCTACTCGCCCACTCACCTCCCGGACGTGGAATGGGTATATTGGGATGGGCATGTTGCGTGTGCGTGGGCAGGTAGGGTGTCTGCTGACTTATGAAGAGGCGGAGCAACGCTAAAGTCCATAGATAGGAGAGGGATGCAGGAGGGAGCACGCGAATGGGAAGAGAGGGTGGAAGGGTGCCCTCGGCGGGTACGTACCTGCCCGGCCCAATGCAATACCCAGTGCCCGTGCCTGCTGAACTCGACTCGTTTGTCCACCACACGCACACGCACGAGGCTCAAGGGCTATGAGTAAGAGGCAGGAGGTGTAAAGCAGGCCGTGGGAGTTCTGTCTCTTCCGCTCCTCTGACAGGCGGACAGGCGGATGTCCGGCTTTTCAACAGACAGCAGTGCCGAAGCGGGGGAACTGGTGCGGGTGATACGGTAAATTACGACGGCTCAAATTTCGTTTGTCGAGGGCCGCCGCCCGCCCGCGCGGCAGGCACACCAAGCGAGCAACCCGACGCGACTCCTCTCCGCACTCTACAAGGAAAGACGAGCAGCAGCAGCATGTGCTCCAGCTCTACTTGCCAAGGATGTGCCAGGGACGACGGGTGCGGGTGGTGCAATGGTCCCAACGCCGTCACTTCTGGCGAGTGCATGGCCCTAGATGATGATGCCTCGTGCTCTTCGGGAGTGATGTTGCTGGAGGTGGACGAGTGTCCCTCGGTCGGGGCCGATGTGAGTCTCAAGAAAACTTGTGCAACGTATTCGTCTGACGCCCATACTTTGCACCTCGAACGTGAACGTATCCAACCCCAGCGATTGGGGACGTTTTTTCCGGGGGGGGGCTGTAGGTGGAGACAAGACAGACAACGACGCTGGCCGAACTGGCCTGTCACTTGCGTCAGATGACGTCAACGAAACGACTACTTTTAACGACAGAACGTTCCCCGCCTTGGTCACTACTCCATTGCTACGCATATCTTGGTACAGTGGTGGTCCCGCTATAGTTCCGGTTGAATAGTTCCGGGGTCCCGCTATATTTCCGGTGAAATCGGCCGCCCCGGAATAGTGTTGTGTATCAGGAAATTCATATATCAGGAAACATCCAATATACCCCAGAATATGATATATCAATATCGGCTTTTTTTCGGGGCAACATCCAGATATATCAGGAAATTGATATATCAAGTGCATATCTGATATATCAGGAATATATAGGGTATATTTCTAGATATGAATATTGTTCGGGAATAAATCGGGGTATACATTTGAATATTTCTCGATACTCTCTTGGGCACACACCACCAAACTACCACCAACACTACCACCACACTACCATGTCCCAGTCATCTGTACGCAGTGAATCGTATTCGGCAGAGGGATCCTCCTCGGCAAAGGGATCCCCTGCTTCGGCAGCGTCCCCCTCTTCGGCAGCATCTCCCATTGATTTGGTCGTCCCCGAGTCGCAGCCACAGCAGAACGAGCAGGAGGTGGTGGTAAAGAACCAACCCTCGGTCGTGAAGGAGATAGGAGGTCCACTCAAGTGGTGGATGCAGAAGCAGGAGATGTTCCCCACTCCCCACTCTAAGCAAGCTTGCATTTAAGTACCTGGCTGTTCAGGCGACCTCCGCGGCTTCGGAGCGCCTTTTCTCGGAGGCAGCGTTGATCATTACTACCAAGCGCAACAGGCTTAACGATGTCAACGCCGAGAATAATTATTTTCCTTTAATCTCGAACCACATGCATGCATGCTTTGGTAGCTTAGCTAATAGCCAAAAGCTATTAGCCAAAAGCTAATAGCCAGTACATAAGATAATCCGTTGTATTATTGTTTCGGGAGCATGTGGCCGCTCCCAGCAGCATCTTGTAGGGGTACCCGATTATGGCCACTGCTCTAATACATATATCGGTAGTTTTTTCAGAGAGCTGTTGGGATGTATTACGTCTTCTTGTTTTCGTTCAATGAAAAATAATGGTTTCGCCGTCATCCATACGCCGGCAGTTAGCAATTGCGATCCTCTTCGTTGTTGAGTCTTTGGCGAGCCAAATTATGACAGCAGCAGGGTCAAGGAGCGTTGCAACTTGCCACTATATCCGCGGATTCAACGTAGATGATCAACTGGTATAGTATTGGGTACAGTAGCGCCGTCAGGTACGTGCTCCTGCTCTCGTGAGCGCGTTGATCTCTTCAATATACCCCAAATATACCCCAATATATACCTCAAATATATCAGATGTTAGGTATACCCAAATATATACCCCAATATATACCCCCTATACATCAATATCCGAACCTGTTTTGAGATTTCCTCAAATATCAGGAAATATCAATATCCGATTCCAACGGGGGGGTATATATCAATATCCATATACCCCCCGTAAATTTCTTGATACACAACACTACCCCGGAACAAACCCGCTATAGTTCCGGTTCGGAACTATAGAGGGCAGTCCCTATATAGTGCCGGTTTGGGGGTCTCCGGCTCCGTCAATAGTGCCGGGTTTTTCAGAAACATGCTGCACAGAGAGTCAACCACATCCAACACACACGACGCAGACAAGGAGGCCGAGTACCTCTACCAGCCATACCCCTACTGCGTCACCGGTAGGGGCACGCCATGCCTTGCGCTGCGGGAAACGATTGCAAGTTGCCAGAGTCTACGCCAGAACCCTTGACCTGTCATGGGTGCCAGGGAGGGTGTGGTGGTCGACTGCACGGCAAGTGCGGGACGGCGGACGCAGGCGGCAATGAGATGCACCGCACATGCCCCAAGTGCGCCGCCTCTCGCAAGAAATCGGATGTGCCCTCGAAGTATATTTGCTTGATTTTTCATAAGTCTTGTTGTTTGTGTGTGTGAGGGGAGTATTTTTTGTGTGTTTGGTTGTTTCTTTGTATTTCATTTTTGCAAGGACACGATTTGAGGCAAGAGAGGGCAGAAGAATGCTCAGGACGACATTTTAATGTGAACATTGCTAACGACGGATGAGTTTGTCCATGAATACCGCCTGCTGTACACAACGCACGAGAGGTGGTACGGCGGTAGGACAAAACAAAGTTGTGTGATTGGTATGATGCCCCACGGCATGATGCTACCTCCCCGCTACGGCGCCCACTTCATTTCTCATCGTATGGTACTAGTCACGAGCGTCCACCTCTAAGTACACGTGTCTGTGCACTGCATATCTCGAATGTACCTCTATAGTTCCGGTACCGGAACTATGGAGGGTTTCTGAAACCCTCTATAGTTCCGGTTCCGGTACCGGAACTATAGAGGGTGAATTTTATATACTTCCGGGTCCCGCTATACTTCCGGTATTATCGGCAATTCAAGACCGGAACTATAGCGGGACCACTACTGTATCAAGTTTCAGCATTTTTGAGTGAGATCAACCACTGAAGTGTAGAGCAAACCCGCTCCAGAGATCCATCTATCCATCACCCACTGTTGACTGACAACGTGGGGAGGAACCACGGTCAAGCGCTGGTGTTTTTTTTGTTGGAGAAATGGATACAGCAGATTGTCTGCAGGGTCAGACGCGTACAATCTTGTTTTGGGCTTCAGCAAGCACTTGCACAGACTGGGTTGTGTACAGGTCACTCGCAACGATTGATGCAGCCGAAGCAAAGCAGATATTAAAGGGAAATGTTTATGTGCACACATCTTCTTGTTATTTCGCGCTCCTTTGCTTTGCTTACTGCTGTACACTGACACCTTGTCCCCTCCTCCCACCCCACCCCCATTCTCCCCTCGCACGCGCGTTTTCGGCCTTGCTTCCACTTCCAAGATCATCTTCAAGAATATCACGGGGATCCTGGGGGCGATGGTCGGCGTCGCTCTACTTCTCAACGTATTCAACCGGGTGTCGAATAGGCGGCGAAGCAGAAAACTCAAGAAATCCATTTTCACCCTCCCCGTCTACGTTTACAACTCGTCCACGCGAGAACGAGCAAAGGCCGCCAGGACAGCGCGACCGCAGTTGCAAGGCGAGAAAATTTGGGTGACGAAAAGACATGCTACACGTAGTAGCTTCAAGCTTTTCTTCGATTGAGGGTTTCAGAAAAAGGGCTGATACATGCAGTGCAGAGGCATGCGAAGGAGGCAACAAGTGCAGCAAAGGAGGCTCTCGAGTGGGAACATGTTGCCGATATGTTTTCTATGAGCGAGCATACCGTGTGCTACGTAGATGTGGACGGGTAGTGTGGTAGTCGCTCACGATGAAGTGTTGCGTATAGGTGGGGAGCAACGTGACCCCAATTAGACCTATCCTTCGAGGTTCAAGTATTAGCTATTTTGAGTGCAATGGCACCACATTGTCCCACTTTGTTGCTCTTTGTTGGCTCCACTCTGCTGTGATCAGGACAGTACAGAGTAGTAGCATTAGATCCCACATGTCGAACCTCAACGAGTGTGATGCTCGAACATGTTTCTTTTCCATTCAGCGCCCTTGGACTCATCGCAAGGCATCGAGGATGTCGGATCAGCACGTTCATCTTCTTCGTCACCATCAGCGCCTGTGGCACCATCATCAACCCGATCACGATCGTCCTCGGAAGACAGTGACAGCGCTTCCCCCATCACTTGCGCCATCTGTCTCGCCGCGTACCAAGAAGAAGAAGTGGTGGGTACAGCAGTGGATCCGGCTCTTGGGCTAACCTGCTATTAATATGAAATCGTCATCGGTCTCAATCGTCGGCGATACCAGGATTTGCGCTATGGAGTTTTTGTTGGGAGCAAATAGAAGTCTCGTTAGTTAGCACTGACCTCACCGGTCTGTGGTGTGACATATTTGGGGTCTGGATCGCACTCAGATCTAGATTCCGCTTGTGAAAAAACAATTATGAGCGTCGTCCACTTCGAAGCGTGCACCAAACGAGTGCACTGATGATGTAAGCTTGTTTCCCCACCCTCCCCATTTCAAGGATCCCTCGCCCTCGTCGTCTCTGTCTGTGTCCGTCTCTTTTACTTGACCTTGTTAGATCAAGGTTCTTCCTTGCGGCCACGACTTCCACTCCGACTGCCTTGACCCTTGGCTGGAGGTCAAGGCCGAGTGCCCACTCTGCAAGGTAAGCCCTCTGCAGCATTGGTACGGAACTTCTTCCCTGCCTGTATCTCTTCTCTTCGGTCTCTTACCTTGTGTGAACTCATCGGTACAGGCCCTGCTGTGGCCTTTCGACAGTCGACTGTCGTATTGCAGATACCGCTGTGAGGGTAGCACTCTACAGGTACCGGTATACCGAACCAACCACATGCGATCGGTGGAAGGGAACAGAGCGCTTTCTCTATTGCTGTTTTCGATCCCCTTGTGCCCAGATTTCCTGTGCGTATCAAACATTCCGTTTTGCCACCGATGTCGATACGTATCAAGCCTACAGGAGTCGTACATGTAATCCCGGTGATGTTGAAAAAAGTTTCATTGAACGGTGTTGTTTTGGCCATAACCGTATCCACCGCCGCAGGCACCTGCCTTCACCAAATCGCGAGATCGAGATGAGGTGGCGCATGGCCGCGCGGTGCACGCAATCAACTCCTCCGCCATTGCCCAAGCACCGCCACTGTTCAGATCGCGATCACCCGATGAATCGCGAGGCTCCCAGTTAGATGGAAGACCGAGAACGGAAGGAGGGGTCGACGGGGGAATGCCTCCTGTGAAACCGTCGTCACCGCTACCGCCAGAGTCTAGCGCACGTTCCACGCAAGTGGGAGCGAATCAAGAAGAAAGATCGTTGCCGATTGAAAGGGCAGGCGAGAGCGAGAGAACACCGTTACAGGCGAGGGTCTTGGAGGGGATACAGCAAACTGGAGAGGTGGTCCCGGTACGGCCTGACTGGGATGCTCGGGGAGAATCGAAAATGGCGGACTTCACTGCAGATGGTCAACCTCTGGCTGCGGGGCACAACATTGCTCCTGACACGGCCGCTGCTGGCATCGGTGCTCCTATTGCGTCCGCGGTCTTGGGTTCAAGGCCGCTTGATGTCGGAGAGGCGGCCGTCACAGCACGCGCTGGTAGCAAGGCTGCAGACAGCTGCGCGAACCGGCAAGGGAACGAATTGGGAATATCTTCGTCAGAATCTAATATTCCTCCAAGTTCCGAACGCGGTGTCAAAACTACGGGAGTAGCACAGCCTCGTGCAGCGCCTGGGTTTGGTCGCGAGGAAGTCTCTCTGGACGAGCTTGAGACGGGACAAGTGGGAACAGGGAAGGGCAGAGGTATCGCAGACGTCGCTACCGATGGGTTCAGCGCACCGATGGGTTCAGCGCCGTGGTTGCAGAAGATGGGTGTGATGTAAGTGTAGATAAGGCAGTTTTGTGACCCAACACCTGCTGCCGATGATATCGAGCACTGTGAAAGTAACGCGAAAAATACCTCAAGTGTATCTGTGCTGCCTACCGTGTAGCACGACGGGTTTTGCCTCGACAACGCCACAGGTACAGCCATCGATGATAAGGTTTAGTGAGGTTAGGTTCGCGTTGTGCTACTAAATAGTTTTACCGAAGGCAGTCGCTTGCAAAATTGTGTATCGCATCATTGCAACAGCAGGTTGGGTTCAGCTGGTGTCGATGGTGCTTTGTTTTATTGTCCCTACATAGTTGCTCCCACAGAGGCGCTTGTGTTCACTTGTTCGTAGTGCCGGGCGGGAGGGCGAGTTGGTGGGGTGCTTGGTCTTGCAGGGATATTACGATGTTGTGTGACAATCGGCGGCACCCATCGTGCCTCGAACGTTGTGGCACGGGATGCTTTGCAGTCGAACACACCATCATGGCACTCATTGCGTCGGTCCTGTTGTTGTACATCCGTGATGTTGAGACTTGTAGCATTCAATCAACGCCGTCCGCGATGTAGCGGCAAGGTTAAGGTTGTGAGGTGGAGCGTGCACGATGAGGGCGCGTCCGTTTGTATTGGTCATACACGCGATGTAGCGGCAAGGTTGTGAGCTGGAGCTTTTGCACGATTAGCGTGCGTCGTTTGTTTTGGTTGGAAAGCTCGTTGTGAATCGAAGATGTGCAATGGTTTCGTGCAACAACGCGGGGGGCGTAAATGTACTTAGAAATAGCGGAGACTGCGCCGCCACTTAAGAACCTCTATTTTTGCCGGAGGCTTGTTTCTTTGTTTTTGGGTTAACCCAGCAGGCGACCGCATGAAATATATCGTGGGGTAACCCAGCAGGCGACCGCATAAAATATATCGTAGCCTTAACTGTTCTTATAATAGTCAATTGCTGCATTATTTTTATATGCCTGAAGTTCTGAACTCCAAGCTTCTCACGTGGTGGCGCTCCCTGTAAATAGTGTATGCTGTTTATTTTATATTTGTCGAGCCCTTTTCGTTGGATATAGCATGGTTCCGGAATACGCTGCTTTTCCGACGTCTGGCCTAGACCGCGGTGTGGAACCGCCTGTTTCCTTTTTTTTCGTGGTGTTCTCTAGGGGGTTGCGATACCGTGCCTGCGTGTTGCCGCTGCACACGGGCGTAGAGCCATATTGCCCTTTCCCAGGTCTGCCTTCCGAGCGCGTCTGTCAGCATTTTGGGTCAAATAATGTGAGGCGTAGATAGATGTAAGTGGCGAGCATGAAAGAGACTGACTGCTCTCTCTCGAACCTTTTTTGTTTTCACAACAAGATGGAGGCACCCTCAGGAGAGGGCGGCTGGCTGTAGTGCGCAGCACGGGGACGATGTGATACCCCTTTCACCTCTCGCATTCTTATTGCATTCTTCGTCGTGACAGGTGATGAGGAAGAGAGACTGCTATGCGCCCTCCCTGGGTGCGGATCCTTCCTCCCGTGTTTGATGTGTGTAGGTCAAGGTGTGTTTTCACTGCGGTGGTGTCTGTTTCACGATTTTCCCGCCCTGGGTTCCCAAATCTTTCGTGGGTGCATGGAGATGAATAAATTCGACTCCACCTTCGGTGAGGGGAAAAGACGGCTGAACTGTCCTCGCCGTACGAAACAAAGACCAACACCGCCGCAGACGAAATTCGGAGAAAATAATACTGAGCGGGTTTGCTCCTGTGAGACTCCGGTTGTGGTTGTTCTTCCAATGGGAGTTTGCTTCGTAGTTGTCATTCGTTGTCTCCAGTGTACGTATGTATGTATGTATGTATGTATGTATGTATGCCGACGTTAGTTAACGTCGCAACCTATAACTCTCTCTTGACCAAAAAATGATCTCGATAAACATCACGTGCGTGGGTCCCATCCATTCTCAACGGTAAGTAGGTCCCTACTTTTTGTCCAGGTACATTTATTTATGCCTTTCAAGGTGCTCCGAAATGAACGTCGACAAATCGTTGTAAGATGAAGTAAATTACTTGCCGTTTCAGTTAGTTGTTGTGAGGATCCAACCTATTGCAGACAAGTGTCTTCCAAGTGAACTGAACCATCATTGGCCCCATGGCAATCAAAACCAAGAGGTTCATTCACTTTTTTTAACCCTCGCTCCTCGTAGTACACCGATCGCTTCAGTAGTACACATTGTACAGCAGTACACATAGATAGTCTAGCCCTGTTCTGTACACACAACAAACATCGATCGGCGTCGGCCAATAACTGTTTTGCAACTAAAAGCAGGCACTCTGACGTCTCACGTCGACGCTATTGTGAAAAGAGGGAATCGTCCTCGACAGACGTTGGGGAGATCTTTATGAAGAAGGTGGTCTCCAGAGTAGTAAATGGAAGAGGTTAGTATTGACGATGGATTCCCGATCTCTTCGACCCTCGAAAAGTGTGTGTTCGAGCGCCAGGTCAAGATCATCATACCGCTCGGGTAGTTTGCCCTCCCTGAAGGCGTGGGAAAGCAAGAAACGCGCGCGCGAGAGCGAGAGAGCAACTTGAGAGCAATAGAGCGAGCCGGGCCGCGCTTCCCGCCAAGCAGCGCCGAACCAACATCCTTCATTCCTTCATAAACCCTCTAACAACGGTTCTCCGTTCTCCGTTCTCCGTTCCGTTCTCCGTTCTCCCGCTCGACGCTCTCACTCCGCGTGCGGCTCAATGCTCTATGCTCTATGGCTCTGCAGCCGTCTATCACAGTAGTGGAAGTCACAGGGGATGAAGATGAGGAATGGGGGGACGAAGACGAGGTGGTGGTGTGGAGCAAAAACAGCACCAATACCCAGGGTTCGGCGCTTGACGGCGATAATGTCGGTGTTCGGGGGAAACAACAGGGCCGGCATCATCCGCGCGGGCTGCTTGTCGCCTCGTTGGCCAACCTCGCCATCAGTTACAACGTGGTGAGAGGGAGGTGCCCCTGCAGTAGGGTACCGGTTGCAGTCAGTCGTGTTCTCTGTCTCTCCCCATTTAGACTATGCGTCCACAGCAGTCTCCAGCTAACGATCGTTTCGAATGTACAGTAGTCAAACGACGGCAAGCTGCTGTAGACTGCAATGATGACCCGCTCGCCCGCGTTCTTCCGTGGTGTCGGATCTTCTCTGCTGTATACGGATTAGGCTTCGCAATCTTGGACCTGTTATCTAGATACCAATCCTGTGGTCGTTGTTGGTTATTGTTGTCGTGTCTTCACGTTTAATAACTATTCCGATCTCCTATGTCTGCTCTGAACCTTTTCGCTACAAATTTTCAATTTTTTCAAATGCATAGAAGTCCGCTCAGCATTCTACGTACGTACTGTAGTCGCTCACGATTTCGTGAGTATGATATGTTCATCTCGGGCCGCACATGTTGCAAGAAGGCATGCCCGATTCTTGATACCGCTTCTTCTGTTGTACTGCTGTACCGTATGTCCCAAACGAAACACATACTTCAATTGCATCTTGCACTAGAATGCACAAACCACAACTTGAATGCGGAGGCCCTATCAGCAACCTCCGCAGCGGCTACGAACAAGTACCAAGTAAATGTCGATTCCGCGTACTAGGAACCCGAATTGTTCTGTGCCGCCGAAAGACTAGTGACTTTTTCCTAGTTAATTATACATGGGATAAGCGCCCGAGCCATAAGGTCGCCCCCCCCACCCACTGCCGGTGAAACACGCGGTTAACCGCAGCTCAGTGCCCACCGGATCCTGCCTGTTGATGGGTCCTTGGGTGTACCGCGTTCCCGGTCAGTCTTGAAGGGTGAACCGTGAGCTCGATTCACCCGTTCTCGAGAATGTTCGCGCTCTCTCTTGGTGGCTTGCGTAGTAAAGGCACACATACACGCTCGGCCTTCGCGCGGAACGGAAGGTGTCTCGGGCTGTGACGATCGATTATTTCCAGCTGACTTTCCAAAGCACTCTTCACAAACGGGCTGTCGGACGGCAACCACTGCAGACGCTGGGTGTGCGAACATGCCTCGCGCCAAGGCACAGAACGTTTTCGCCGAAACGTACGCCGCCCCTTCCCCCTCAACAGGTCAATGTCGGCCTCGCCCTGAAGATCATGGCCAAGATTTACCCATCAGAATCGGCCACAGACGAGAGCTTGGTGAGCTCCGCGGCCATCCTTGGCATGATGGCGGGACAAGTAATCTTCGGAGCGCTGGGCGACTGCCTCGGGCGACAGCTGGCACTCTCCTGCACCCTCCTGGTTTGCGGTGCAGGTATGTGTCACCTTGAGTCAGAATATTTCAATACATGCTCTTGAATGCAACGCTGATTGACGCGGGTTGGTATGGAGCGGGATCGATGGGAAGGTGATGGTCTCTCCCGCAGAGACGGGCAGCACAGACATTTCGTTTTCTGTTTTTTTCGGGTCGAGAAGGATCTGGACATGCTTGCGCTCCAGCCAGGACAGGCAGCTCAGACAGCTCCATACCCCACCGAAACGTGGTAGCGGATAAGATAAATCATATAGCAATCTTATGGCGAGGTGATCTTTGGCGATTTGCCTCAGAACGTTTGTTTTTCCCCCCGTACCTTGGCGAATTTCGATGCCAGGTGCGGCTGGTAGCGCACTCCTGACGTTCGAACACGGCCTCATCGGTGGAGACATTTTCCGCCAGCTGCTCTACTGGCGTGTCTTGCTGGGCATTGGCGCGGGAGGGGTGAGCGAGAGGGGAGATGATCTCTGCTTCTTTTATCTGGCTGTTACATGAAACAGCAGCAGTGTTGGTTGCTGATGAAACCCCAACCAGCATGGCATTAAACACTCAACCATACGCGGGCCGTCACAAGGCTACCCGCGAACTGTGTGAACGTTGCCACCGTCCACGGTATCTCAATGATGCTGCCCAAGCCGACCTATTCAATTCAACAGCCCGCTTGGTCAGGTCTTTGCCCCCTCCCTCCCGTCCAACCACTCGAAAAAGAACAATGACATGCGGCACAATTATCGCGCACTCACCCCCCCCCCCCGAACACCACCACCCTCGTGACCCCTCACCCTAACCAAATGGACACGAAAAGGTATACCCACTCGCGGCCACCCTTGCCAGAGCCAGCAGAATCAGCGGTTGGTGTTCACGCCTGAACGGTGGCAGCGGTGGCGACGAGGACACCGGCAGCACCTCCGTGGCGCTCATGTTCTCGATGCAGGGGGTGGGTTACCTCGCCGCCCACTTGACCGGGTTCGTCCTGCTGACCACCTTCCCGGAGCCGTCTTCCCTGGCGTGGCGCTCGCTGCTGGGGCTGGGGGCGGTGCTGCCGTTAGGCCTAGCGGTCGCGCTCGCGCTGGCCCTCGCACGCGCTCGGCGGTACAGGCTCGTGCAATCGTCGCTGGGGGAAGAGGAGGAAGACGAGGATGCTATCGGGGTGCCAAGGGGTGGTGGCGCAAGCGACGAGGTGTCTAGCCCCGTGCGTTTCTGGCTGGCCGTTCGAGACAAGAGACGGCTGCTGATGAAGCTTGTCGGGACGGCCGGGTCGTGGTTTTTGTTCGATGTTACATTCTACGGTAATCAGCTGGTGAGCCCCCGTAGGTGCTGGCTGCCGACGGCAGAGCCTTTGGCGTTCTTGGCAGCACATCTTGACACGTCCACCGTCACTTCCGTGATCCCACCGTCACGATTCTCTCTTCACAGCTCACACCCCAGGCGCTGCAAGATGTGTCCGTTCGCGCTCCATGCAAGTTCCGTTGGCTTCCCTCTGCCGGGCACTGTTGACGCCGCCCTCCCTGTTGCACGCGGAGCCTGTGGTCCGTTCGATCGCAATCCGTGCCATGGTAGACCGTACCAATCAAACGTACCATTAGCCCGATGATGGAAGATTGTATTTTTTTTTTTTTTTTTGTTCTTCACTTCAAATCAGCGCTCACAGCACTAGTGCCGTTTATTCCAACCCGTGGACACACAGAAGAGCCTCTCTCTACCCTCCCCTCCTGCGGTACTTCGCCTTCAATTTTTAATGCGAGAAGAGTTCAGCACTCTCTTCCCGCTGTGTACACACGAACTAGCGCTATCCACTTGGCCAGGAGTGGAAGCGAGAGAAAACTCACTTTGCAAGAAAAGCTCGCCTACGCCGGGATTCGAACCCCTGACCTGACCTCTAGAAGGTTACGAGGCTACCAACTAGACCACCGCGGCGACCGTGCATCACATCGGTGCACGTCTCGTCGCACAGCAGCGTCTCGCACGCACCCACGCTCTTCATTCTCTGCGCGTGCCTGGTGTTGTCAACGGCAATGCCAACCCCAGTACGAGGAGGACGTCTTGGAGGCGGTCTTCGGCAACGCGGAAAGCCTCCGAGACGAGGCCTCTCAGGACAGCTTGGTGGCTTTGGTGGCGCTGCCCGGGTACTTTGTGGCCGTCGCCCTCATCTCCCGAATGGGGCCCAGGCGGGTGCAGGTGATGTATTTTCGCCGGTAGTACCGGGGGTGGTGACGCCGTTTGGCCCTTGGGCGTGTTGTGTTTCTTCTCAAGGGTAGGCAGGATTCCTCGACGGCTTCCATCTGTTGCAGGCCAGGGGTTGGGTGGGGGTTACAGGCATTCCCAAAGGTGTCGGGACCACGCCGCCCCCACCCTGAACAAACATTTTCAGACGAGCATGCACCATCCTCCCGGGGGCGTTTGACTCAGATCTCGACGTACCTCCCCTGACCCGGCTCCGGTGTACACTACGGAACGCCATGTGACAGGACTAGCGCGCACTAAAGACCCATGACAACACATGACCAGGGTAGGTTAGCCCCGGTGCGCAGAAGTTTCGGGCGGCCAGCAGAAGGACCAGTCTTCCTCTGGGGCAGGCGACACGATGGACCACCTGAAAATGCCCGGCGCACTCCGTTTCGGCGTCCTTGTTTTCCAACGAGTCTAGCGATACAAGTACTGCCTCCTCCTGTACCCCCCGTTTCTCATCTTCTTGCCCATTACCTCCTCCTGTGTCTCGACCCTCCTCGATTTCTTTGAGGCGGCTGATTTGCCACACGGTGTTTTTGGTGACGTATCTCTTGCCCTTGTTGACGCCCTCAGGTCCAGGGCTTTTTGGCGATGACGCTGCTGTTCGCGGTAATCGGGATGTCCTTCCATTCCCTTGGCCGCCACGCCGACATCCTGATGCTACTGTACAGGTGCGGCATTGTGCACCAGCCGGAAGCACTTGCGCCTGCTCTGTTCTGCTCTTTTTGAGTTATTCAGGTAGATGGCGTTGTAACTGCTCGAGCGATACCTGATGCTTCTCTGCCTTGTAACGACACGATTTCACCCCGTGACCTCTTGAATTGCCCAGCAACATTGACCTCAGTGATGCAAGGGTCGGCCCGGTTAGAGCCATCATCCATGTTCTGCAACGGCAGTGTGATGAAACCCACGGCGTGGTTTCCGTAGTCAATTTTACCCTTGAAACTTCGCCTCGCTCCCGACCCGTAGCTCCACGTGAGGCTGGGTGTATTCTAGGTGAGGTTCGCCCATGCCCACCCCACTTATCGATCGCCGTCCTTTTCGTGTTCGTTATGGCTGGGGCTGGGCGCTCCTTAACCGCATCGTGTCTCCTGCGGTAACTATCGGACGATGACGACGTCACAGCTTGACGTTCTTCTTCAGCAACTTCGGGCCGAATTCGACGACGTTCATGCTGCCGTCCCTCACGTTTCCCGACCAAGTGCGCAGCTCTCTCAACGGGATTTCAGCCGCCGCAGGTGGGCAAGCATCACCGCCGGAGGTGTCCGTTTTGTTTGTACGGTTTCTCCCTTAGTTCGGAAGGCGTGTTCGTTGTTGCGTTTGGGTCCGACGGCTGGGATGATAAAGTTTATCGAAATACCGCCTTTTTTTGCCAGGCCGCAGCCAAATCACTACAGGGGTGCACCTATCGAACGGCCAAAGTCTCGTCGCTCAGGCCAGAAGAGGCGACGCGAAATCTGTCTCTCTCTCCCCCCCCCCACCAGTTGGATTCTAGGCTATATACACACAGCGAGCGTCATTACTTGTCTTGTCGGCATGGACCACAATCGCCGATCGTACGACGTTGGTCTTGTGCTTGTCCCAGGGAAGCTGGGGGCTCTGGTGGGAAGCCTGATGTTTAAGCCGGCGGCGGAGGCCTGGGGCGTAGGGCCCGTGCTCGTTGTCTGCGCATTCATCTCCTTGGCAGGTGGGATGCGTCCGCCCGCTTATCGTATTCTTGTTACCCTCACCTATTCTCTTGAATGCGACACCAGTAAAGCCATACCATCGAATTGTGTTATTTGAACTTAGAACTTCTACATAGTAGGTAGTTCGTCTTTGTTGTCGCGGACGGGACGGTCAATTCTCACCTCGTACACGGGTTGCATTCGTTTTTACCTCATTCAAGAAGAGTGTGTGCAACAACATACGACAATAAGCACCACGAATATATGCAGTTTAGTCGCCAGCTTTCTTGTCGACGTTCGTGTGTGTTGGAGGACAGAAGCAGCCCGCCCTACCACACCCTCCGTCTAGAATATGCAAGTACATGTAGGCTATATTGTTGTCGCTGTCCTGGTTTTCGTACCATGTGACACAGCACGTGTGTTGTGCATGATGGGCGTTGAAGCTACACGTGGATGCTCGAGTACTAGGAAGGCGACATGACACGCACCCCGAGAGTGCTGCTACCGCACGAACCAACACACAGATACAACAAAGAGTTGAGTATTTTTAATATTATAGCACCTTGCAACTACAACGTACCTCCACATCACCGTTGTTGGGTCATTGTTGGTTTTTTTGCGCTCGTGTCGTTCGCGCGGCAGGTAGCTTCTTGACCCTCGCGTTCGTGGACAGCGGAGAGCCACAGCCGATCCTTGTCCGTTCCGGCGAATCGGACGATGAGGACGGTGCCCTGAACGGGACTAGTAGTGCTGTGGCGACGGAGGGCCTAGAGATGACCCGCACTGCTACGAGGCCATCAGCCAAGATGTCGGCCAACAGCACAAGAACGGCGGCGGTGGCGGCAAGCAGCGTTGGGCCTGTAGACGGGCTCAAAGGCGTTCGCGAGGCGATGGCAGTCGGCGGTTACAGTGACAGTGGTGGCCCGCTCTCCCCAGGGCCGTGGCGAGAACGTCCGCTGGCAAAGCCACGGGGGCGAGGAATGGGCACGGGGACAGGCATGTACGCGAGGGTTGGGGCTAGCGTTAACGGCGCGAGGGAAAACGGGGTGTTTGGCCGGGGTAATTCCGCACACGGTTTCCGGAGAGAGGGGAGTTTTGGTGGGGAGGACGAAGGAGAGTACCGGAACCTGGCGCTCGGTAGGACGGGGGGAGTTGAAGGAGAAATGGAGGCCGGTAACGGCAGCAGGTGGGGCGGGGACAGCGACAGCAGCGGGGATAGGGATCACGGCGGCGGTGGCGACGCGGGGTTCGGGAGTGAGCTTGTCGAGCCTGCTTGAGGGTTCTGAAGGGGAAGGCTTGGGCTACTAGGCTATGATAACACTGCTGTCGGCACACAAGCGAGGCTGTGGGATTCGAGTGCGTGTTTTGGTGCTTGATTTCTGAGCGAAAAATTGTGTTTGCGACTAGGACGTGTACACCAACCTTCTTCTGTCCCCTGCGCGCACACCGACTGCAACCATGGCTTGCATTGTCTGCGAAAAGCATAGTGTCAACACGCTCCAGTTGTGAACGCATCAGTACGCTCAAATTGTGAATGCGGCTTTCACGATCGAACGAATGTGGTGTGGATGGTTCGGAAGCCCCGGGATTATGGCTTCCATCGCCGACAGTTGTGTGCGGGCCTGCGCGGAGAAAGCACCGGGGACAGTGAAGGCTTCCTCGGGTGCTTGCGGTGGTGTGGGAGTCCTTCCCTCCGCCTTTGTGAGCCTACAGTAAGCCTCTAGTGTACCCTTGCAGTAAGCCTCTAGTGTACCCTTGCCAGGCATTTGATGTTGGCAAACGCGTGAATTTGTGCCTTTCGTGTATGTGTGCAGCAACGCTGTGTTTGTGTTTGTAAAGCATTGAGCAGTGTTTGTTTGTGTTATCTCTTTTGTGTGCGTTTTGTAAACCGCTTCGTTTGTTGCTGATGTTGGTGTGTACCCTGCACTTTGGAGAGGAGATAGAGTTAGACGCAATGCGGGGGGCGTTGGGGGTGTCTTGTCCTGTTCTGTCCTGTCCGGCCCTGTTGTTGTTCGCTGTTTCCTACATCCATTCCTTCTTTGCCATCGGCCTACGTGACCACCAGTGGTACGCACGTTTTCGCTTGGCATTACTGCAATCCACGAGGTACGAGAGTAATAAACATAGATTACGCGTTGTTAGGGGCATAAAATTGTCAGCGGTGCGCAGGTGCTTGGATTTCGGCTGCCTTGCTCGCGCAGAGGTCACGCCTCGACAGTATGTATTGGTTGAGAAACGTTAAAACTCGCTGCAGGCGAAGCGCTCGATTCAAGTTTGTCTTTTGGAAAGGAGAAAGAGAAATGCCACAGCAACAATGTGGTGTAATTTTATCCAGACATAGGGAAGACGAAAAGATCGAAACGTCGATATTCGAACTTCAACTTTTTCAAGAGTTGAGATTGAGATCTCCTCTACCGTAGCTCGAGAACACACAACACGAGGAATGACCAAGCCGCAGCCCTGGTTGCTACAGTGGTAGAAGTATTTGCCACCTCACTTTTTTAACGCTCACTGTCTGTCAGCGAACGCACCGCAGCCACTTCGTGTTGTCGCTAGCAAAAAAATACCGGACCCTCCTTGCACTTCGCCATGTACGTGCTGTGCGTGCCGAAGCCAGCATCAAACACAACCGTGCAAAAACAAAGTCTACGAGAGGCTTAGCCTTCGTGTTGTCCTGTTCTTGAAGGAGGAGAGCTGAGACGCTTCGATAATAGGAGCGCTGTTCTTCAGACCGGACGACATCGGAGGTTTCCACGAGAGTTCCTCGGAGAGTGCTAAAGCCTTGTGTTCCGTAGAGGCGCGGCGGCCCATAGCCTTGGCGAGGTTCGGCGAGATGCTTGTGGACCAGTCCAGCAGGTACTCCTCGTCCGGAACGTCTGGAAAACAAGCAACACAGAGAGCAAAACATGGGATCACTAAAGTATGCAAGTATTTGGACTGGATATATCGTGAAGGTGTTGACCGAACCGTATAGTGTTGTTCGTCGTCGTCGTTGTTGTGTGTCGATGTTATTGCTGTCTTGCTACTACTGACGACATTTTTTTGCTGCATCCAGTATCCCTTCACGGCATCGAAGCGATCTTCGGTGGTCACAAGCCATGTCCAAACCGAAGTAGACACAGAGGACTCCATCCAAATCGATAGGCCCAGGGAAGTGGAGAAGTGAAAGCGCTACTTTTTGTGTACCTGGCTGGCACAACAAGTTGGAAACAAAGTTCAGAGTGCAGGGAGATTTGTAGGAAACCTCCAAAGAGGAAACAGAGCTCGTTTCTCAAGCTCGGAAGCCGAGTCGCGAACAACCCGCTTCCAACAGAAGCTGTCCAATATGGCACCCGATTTCGAGTCCGGGTGTGTGTGTGTACCGTCGGGTTTTCTGCCAACCAGATGACCCCTTCTCCAAGCCCTCGAGGCGTGAGTAGGGCTTGACGATTTAACACGATAATGCACAACGTTCGACGCGCATCCTGCAGGACAGCCCGCTCTATTCTGGGGAGGATTACCATGTGTGCCCACTATACTACATTGAAGCTCGCTGTCGGGGTTTCCCCTCCCTCTCCATCTACCGCAGTCGCCTTTTGTGCCATCCGGATAAACATGCATCTCTGACCAATTTTTTCGGTGCGGGACCGGTCATCAGGCAATACGAACGACCGGCATGATGCTACTGTTGTAGTTTGAATCGATTAAATTACAGTAGCGAAGTACCTCCGAAGATATGGGGTAACGAACGAAGCTACGTGTGGCTTTCCTTTTTGTTCGAGACGAGCGGTAAGGAAAAAAACACTCACAGGGTATAAACAAGCTCGAGGTGGAGAAAAATCAAGGTTGCACAGCAGTATTAGAAACAGCTGAAGCACAACATTTTTGACACTCTTCAAAAGCACCAACAACTTACCTTCGTAGTCCCACCCCTCCTCTTCCGACCATTCCTCGTCTCCATCTCCACCTTCCCCCCCTTCCGCTTCCCCTTCTCCCATCTTCTTCTTGTACTCAATCTCGAGGCCCTTCTGCTGGCCAATCACCAGCGGCATCAGCGTCGTAAGGGGTTTGCTGTTGTCCAGTCCCGCGAAGGATGGAGGTCGCCAATCACCGTTCCCATCCCCTCCACTCCCTGTCTCAGCGGTGGCCACCTCGCCTGCCGTGGCCAGGCCTAGGGCCACGCGTAGGTTATGAGACATCGCTGCAGTTTCAAGCTCCTTTCGAGTAGAGCACGCCCATCGGGGGGCCAAGAAGGCGGCAGGCAAATCGGAAGGAGGTCAGGCGGCGGTGACCGGGTGAGAGTTACAGTAGTTCCCGGACAGCACTGTGGTGTGGCCTTCCACTCAATACAAGGTGTACATGCTGACCTGCACCACCGGCATTTTCTTGGGATATTCCTTTGTTTCACACCACGAGTCAGTGGAGGGCCGTCTAGCCGCTTGGCATAGCAGCGCCTTCATAATAACAACATTCCTCGCTTTCATGGCCGTTTCATTGCAAAAACGAACTGACGACAATTCCATCGAACCAACCCAACAGCTCGTAAAAAAGGTTGACTTATGGGGCAAAGAAAGCCAGAAAACTAGGGTAACAACGCAGCTCTTGCGGTGCAGACACAGGAACCTACAGCAGAAGTAGCTGCATAAACTGCAAAATGCACCTCGTCGTCGGAGCCGGACTCCCACCACGCGTGTCCGTCGATAGCAGACGCCTCGTCCCACGAATCTTCAGATCCATCGTCATCAGACCAGCTGTCTTCGCTCTTGGGAGGGAGCTTCGACTCTCGCTTTTTCGGAACGGGCTCAGGGGCGTGCGCGACCTTGACCTTCAGGTAAGGGTTAGGTACAGTATCGCCATCGAAAGGGCCACTCTCGGGTCAGATACAGACTGTGGTTGGTTGTGCTCACGACCTTGACGAGTTGGGAGATGAAGTAACCTGCTCGTGTACCCCTTCATGCTCTCCCTCGACCCACATGGTATGCAGAGCGCGTGACAAAGGAATAACTCGCTCTCTTGAGATTCGCCGTGTCTTCACTTCTTCTCTCTCACTCAACCAGTAAGGATAGCAGTAGGTTCGGCGTTGTTGGTGTTGTTACCGCCACCAAGCACATACCGCCCGCTTTGAGCCCTCACTCCGTGAACGCTGCCTCTATGGCCAGGAATCTGTTCTTTGGAACTGACCTTCAAAACTGGAGCGCGCTCCCCTGCAGCGGCAGCGTCTTCGGCGTCTTTGTCGAAACTACCGACGGCTTTGAAGACTCGCTCTACGCCGCCGCCACCCGGGGCACCACTCCCTCCTATAGCAACTGCGGCTGAGTCCGCGATTGCGGAGCTATGCTCCAGGCCGGTTTCTGTGGGCGGGACCCATGTCGAAGTGACGCCGGATACCTCTGCTTCTTTGGCGGCTATGACTTCCTCGCTGGGAGTGGCAATAAGACGACAAGAACCATAAGTGGGTACTCGGGATTGCATCATGGAGGAGGTGCAATCCATGAGGAATCCGCTTTTTTTGTTGTTTGACCAATATCAGTTGTGACGACAAAACGCACGACTTTTCTCTGACGTATGTGTGCGTTCGAGTCCAAAGGCGGGAGTGTCCCCACCGCACAAATGACAACGTAGTAATTCACTCACCACGGCAGAACTACTCTGTGGGCATGATGCATCGGTCGAGTCTACAGGACGATTCAACCCTGGTGCGTTTCTATGTAGACAAGAGATAATACCTCGTACTACTGTAAAACCCGAAACGAAAGCAGCTCAGCGTACCACATTTGAAGTACCACGTGTCACCTTGCGCCGAGCATGCGAAGGATCTCGGGGCTGACATTCATGCTCGCGTAGTCGACCTCATAGTCTTCGCCGTCCTCGTCGTCCTCGTCGTCCTCGTCTAAATTTCGTTGTGTATCAATCAATTGCAAATGAGGATTTGTTGCACTGACTTCCTTCTTTGTCTAGTTTTTCAACACGTCTTGTGATTGATTATTGTGTGCGTATCGTTTTGTCAACGATGATAATAGCTCTTGAACGAAAATACGGTACCACTGTTGATGTGTAACACCAGTTGCTACTGTTGTATGCATAGAACATCAAGCTGTGCTTTGATCAACGAGTGGATAATATATATACCGTCTAGTGTGTAATGTAGCATATGCAATGTACCCGGATTACGTTTTGTCGACCAAGCAATATCGTCTACTAGGTGTGTGTTTGCAATATATGCATGCTGGTACGATACTTGATTCGTAGAATAATTTGCAAACATAGACGAGATTCTGCATACATACGAGAAAACACACAACAACAACGGATTGTTATTGCACACAAATAGGGTGCGGTTCTCTTATTCCGTAATCACTGATTGGTCACCTTGTTTTCTGTCGACACGTTTTGTAACATGTCTGTACGTTGAAGCCATCACCCTATAGCACTGCTGTCAGGGTGCCGGGGCAGAAAATCTAGCAGTCGATTCCGGTCGCTTGCCGTGACTACATATGTACGTGGGATACACCAAGGTTTCGCTACATCGGACACACCATGAATAGATGCTGTAGGACGCATGGGCCTTGAATGACTCAGCACACAGTTCAGGAAATTTTACGATGTACAATACTAGTACCGGCGAGTACTGCTTCATGCTGTGTGGGCACTCTATATTTTGGACAAGTGCGGAATTCCCGAAGCGTCTTCATGCACGTATGCAATCGCATGCATGCCACCGATAAATGTCTGCGCGTACGCCGCCACTCGATGGCACCATTTCAGCAATCCTGGTATTGAGTGCTCGTGGTCAGAATAGATATGTCTGGTGAAGAACAAGCTGCTGCGGTGTCTGCCTAGAAACGCACGGGAACGTATGCATATACGCCCACTACTGCGCGACGCATCGCCCGTTGTTGTCGGTGCCCGTATCCTTGTGTTTCCTCCACACCATGCATATGTAGTACGACCCAATGTACCCATGCTCATGTGTGCACGCAGTCGATACCCCAAACCTACAATGTGTGTGTGTCGGTATGCAGGTCAGAGGACGATCCGTACTACCACGACGGCGGTGCATTCCATGTCTTGAGAGAGCGCACCTGCGGCGAATCCGTAGTCGTAGCTTTCGTCGCCACTGCTCTCCTCCCCACTTTCGTCCTCAGAATCACCCTCCTCCTGCTGCCTCACGCCTTGTTCGATTGCCATGGCACTACTGTACACGTACTGTCGTCTTTATGCTCGTCTCGTGAGTGAAAACGAGGAAGAAGGAGGGAGTTGAGTGCGCCTGAAGGGTTGAATACGGAGTACAGAGTACTCTGTGTTCCATGTAGACGCAATGCAGACGAACAGACCGCAGAGACCAGACCAGGCGATCCGCCACGAGCCCCCCGACCTATCGGTTCGAAATTCGAAACATCTGATGTACATGTATCGGTTGGCTCGCCGGTTCGGAAAACGAACCAACACTCACTGCTGTTCGATCGGTTCGGAAAACGAACCAGCACTTTTCGATACTCGGACACTTCCATTTTTGACGCACGCAGACACGCAGACCATACATGGCACTCCTGCTACTGCCGTGAGACGCCTCTTCCCAGTGTGGCCATCGGGCGCTCAAGTTTTTAGTCTTATTTTTTTAGTGTTAGCGTCTTAGCACATCTTGACCTTGAACCTTGTGTGTTGATGGGGCGGGGGATGGATCTGGTGTCGTTTCGGGTTTGTCTCGTCGTACACCGTCCGTCTACAACAGTACTATGCATGCATATTGTACACAGCTGTACCCCGTGCGTACCCAGCAAACAACCTTATATCGTACGAATGGAATCCGCGGAAAAGGCCTTTCGAGATCTTCGACCTGCTGAATCTGTCTAAATACAGGGGAATGCAATGGTGAACTACTTTTTTCTCAACTACAGTAGCAGCAACAGTCAGTCTCGTTCTTCGAAGACGCTTGGAGCAAAATCGACCGAAAAATCCAAGCTCAAGGAGATGTCAATACAGTTGGTATCGCAGCTTGCTTCGGGCAACCGTGCTGGTCCTCTAAGAGGTTATTGGTCCTCTTTTTTGCTGTAGAAAGCTCTTAAGAGATGAAGATTCGCCAAAAAAGACTACATACTACAATATCTTGTTGCATCCTTACGACGACGATTGGTTAGGGTAAGAAGAAGGCGGTAAAGTACGGACCCGCAATTAAGAAAAATTCCGTGAAGAAAATAAGGCTCAACTTTTACGAAAAAAAGGAAAAATGGACTAAGAAACACAGCTACATGTAGCTCAATTTCGGCCACAACAACACAACAAGAAGAAACGCCCCAAAAAGAAACAAACATGATCGATCGTGCGATACCCCCAATACATAATAAGAAGAAACAAGGGTTGCAAGGAAATAAATACAACAACAACGTAGTAGGAGTGATGCGTCCATCGCACTCACCACCCACTCGATCGACTACAGCACAGCTATCTTATTTGGTTCCCGATCGCTAGCAGTTTGCGGCAGCAGCAGTAAATACTGCTGCCGTCGCTGTCAGATTTACCCACCCTCTGCGATATTCTTTCTCTTATTATCTCTTCTGCTTCAAGTACCATGTTTCCTCCGATCCGGGGACATGGTCAACTGAATAAAGCTCTTCACAGCGCACCACTTTTTTTAGAAGACTAGTCATGCGCCAAGTGCCAGCGGCACAGAGTCTTGCCGAGATGATTTGTCATCGGCTTGGTATCACTCTCTGATCATCATCATGTGGAAACAGTACAACCGTTTGTAAGTCTAGTGGTGTGACGGTTTTGGCGCAGCTGACAAAAATATCTCCTGTGCAATGTAGCTTGTAGTATCCACCCTGTGCACTTCCCACGAGTCTTGGTACTCTTACTTCGCGGAAACCACGGCTCGTTCCAAGGTACTTCCGCAATATACGTTCTACCGTGGTGACAACACATCATCGCCACTGATGAGTGTACACATCCGAGCTTGTCGTGATGCGCACACCTACCTATAGATCTCCGGATCTCAAAGCGTTGAGAACACGTTGTATCGAATACGACCGTGGACAACGTTACGTACTTTGTTCGTGTTCTCCTATGCCAAAGCACGATGCATCCACCGCTTTTCGCCACCTCAGTACCAGAGTTGTTTTCAAGGAAGAGGCTGGTCGAGAGGCGTCGATGGTGTCGTTGGTGGGCATGCTGCTAATAGTTCGACCGACGAACTTGATAGTACCACTGCTACTACTGTCCCTCTGACCAAACGAAGCCGGAGTTTCACAAGATACACCTTTCGAAAGCGCTTTCGCTTCGATGGTCAGACTTGTTTTCAAGGAAGAGGCTGGTCGTCGAGAGGCGTCAGCGGTGGTATCGTCGGTGGGCACGCTGCTATTAATTCGACCGACGTCCTTGATGTAACCACTATTCCTCAGACCAAACGACGCCGGAGTTTCCCAAGATAATTGTTTCGACAGCGCCTTCGCTTTCTGTTCCACCGAGCTTGGGCATCCCATAGTCCTCGCGAGGTTCGGAGATACGTTGGTGCTCCACTCCCGCACGTACGAATCGTAGTCGTCTTTTGACATGTCTGGGCATGGAACCGACAGGGGGGGAACAACATTCACTCATTAGCATTCACAGTGTTCGTTAGAATAAGGTGGGAGGTCTTGACATGTCCCGACTTTGAACTGTTTTTGTTGTGCACATACATACATAGGCAGGCATGAATACTGCGGCATAGGTACATGCAGAGTCCTCGGGGACAGGGGACACGGACAGGCAACACAGCCTGTCCGACTAGATTGGAGAAATGTACTGTCAAAGTTTTGCGAATAGGCACATGATGAACCATGATGCGGCAAGAGGTCACCGATTCAGACTCTCGTTCAACATATACATGTGCAGCATGACTTCCAGTCAGATCCGCATATCATCTGCACAATACTAAGTATCATTGGTTCACCCAACGGCACGTCGAGATAGTAAGGAGACAAACGAATGATAATAACTTCATTGAGACATCCGCCCGTACTTCACATCAAACCCTCCCCCATCCACGTGACAACAAATCTTTGCCCAAGGAGTAGTCGTTTCGACCTTTCACAGCAACACGAAGGTTACAAATGGCACAGACTCACACGGCGAATCGCTTTGAAGGTTATACCTTGGTAGTCCCACCCTTCTCCTTCCGACAAGTCATCGTCCCCATCCCCGTCTTCCCCTTCCTCTTCCTCCTGCTGCCCTCTGTTCCTGTACTCCACGTCAAACATCTTGCCGTGGCCAACAACAAGCGGCCTTAGCACCGTGACGCGCCTGCTGTTGCTGAGGCCGGCGAACGATGGGGGGTGCCATTCGTTCTTGTTGTCGCCCTGCTCTGCGTTCGCGGTGTCTGTTCCTGATGGCCTGCGTAGGCCCAGGACCGCCTGTAGATTGGGCGACATAGCTGACATCATCTCATACTCCTGTTTTTCGGGGCGCGTGCGCGAGCAGGGGTGGGTGGGGTCCATTGGGAAAACGGTCAAGTCCGAAAACATGCTGCTGCGCGGGGAGTAACATGACGGTTTACGAGACAAAAGCGGGGTGGTCAAAGAAGGGCGGACATCGGAGTTCCACTCGACCTTGGAATGAAAAATGTGGTGTGCAGGGTGTGGGGGGCAGGTTTCGTTTGCGCTTCTGCAAAAGAGAATTGGCACAAGTACCAAAGAGGAAAAGGAGGCGCGAGCAGCCGATTCTCTTCCACAGGGGTTAAAATACTGTTGCAACCCCCCAGAGGTGAGCGGGTAGGTCAATAATAACATGAGACCGATAGCGTTTTCCTTGTAGATACGGTAGGCCGGATGCAACAGCTGAAAGGGGTTGCTACACTTTGCTTGGCCGTACATTACCAAGTGTGTGTGTTCGTCCCATCTACATCTATTCTGGCGCCGATTTACAGGCAATTCGGCGTATATGTGATACCGTACCTGATGTATCAGCCGGGGTCATACAAGAAGAAGGTCACACAGGAGCTTTTCTTGCTGTTTGTTGTATTGCCCCATCTCTCCCCCTGCGGTGCTTGCCTTGGTTTTTATTTTTTATCGCGAGAAGGGTTCAGCCATCCCTTTCCCTCGTCGACCGTCAAATCGAAGTGTGTTTACTCACGACCTATTAATAGATCGTTTTCCACCACAGGTTTCTGGAAAAAATCCCCGGGAAAAAAATCCCGCGCGGAGACAATTGAACCCTCAACCTGTCGCTAGGGAATCGTGCAGGTTAACCACTTAGACGACCACTAGAAGACCAGAGTGTAGGCGTAAAGTCGCGAGAAAGAAATCAGAGCAAACATAAATGACACCGAGAGCTATATGCGCCGGAAGTTCGCACCTCGTCTTCCGAGCCAGACTCCCACCACGCATGTCGATTGGCTGATGCCTCGTCCCACGATTCGTCTTCCTCAACATCGTTGTCATCAGACAAATTACTGTCCTCGGGCACGGGGAGAAGCTTCGACGCCCGAACTCTCGGAACGGGCTCGGGGCTGTGCACAACCTTGACCTTCGGCACGAAAGCGACACGTGCGTACGCCATGGTTAGCCTAGGCCGTTGCCTGAAGGACTAGGTTGTGATTTTCCGAACGATCTTTACCTACCCCTGAGGGGTGGAATATGTGCGCCGGTGCCATCGAAATTGAAACCGTCTGCGTAGTCCACATGTGTTTGCCGTGCGTTGATATTTTGCAGTTCTACGACGGTGACTTTCCTCCGAAACCTGCTGCAGTAGTACAACATGAAACACCTACAATAGCTGACCCATGAGAAAATCAAGAAGAAAACGCGAGCGGGAAATTGTGCCTCGAGGTGTCCGTTGTTCCGCATCTTGAGGGTACTACATCTTCAGTGTCGGACCAAACGTGTCTCGTTATCTAAATCTACCTCGTTCCAAGACACTGCGCGTTTTACTATTGGAGATTCTCCATTCACATTCGATGACCCTGCTTGTCGGCGTACAGCTATAGGAAAAGCTCCATACCAACCAGGGGCCGATCACGCCGTAGCCGACAGTGCCCCGCCGGAGCAACCTTGTTGTTGTTGTTGTTGTTGTTGTTGTTGTTGTCTTCACATTAGCAACCTGGAAACACAAAATATCAGTGCGGGCCTAATGCGCCTAAACGTTCCAGATGCCTGGCTTCTAGTACTCCGCACCTTTGGAACTGACCTTCCAACCTGGAGCTTCCTGCGCTGTAGCAGCAGCGGCTGCGGCGTCTTGGTCGAAGCCACCAACAAGTTTGGACACTCGGGCTACACCACTACCGCACGGCGCCTTGCCACTTCCTAGCACAACTGCGGCTGAGTCTGCGATGATGGTGGTACTGTTCTCCAGGCCGGGCTCTGGGGGTGGCGCCCATGTCGAAACGATGGCAGACACTTCTGCTTCTTTGGCGGCAATGACTCTCTCGCTGTGAGTGACGGTATTCAAGACGACAAGAACCATAAAAACGACCTGAATATTTTATCGTAGAAGCCGTCCAAAGTAGACATCTTCCTTTCGTTGTTGAACCAAAAACTTCTTGAATGACTGGGACTAGCGCATATTTGAGTCTAATTGTTACCAGTGCTGGAGTTATAAAGACGGAGTTCACCTAGGCGACAACTGTTAAGTTGTAACACGAAGCCGGGTTAGACCTCGCGAGCTACGTCACACGCAGTAGTCTGCTAGACAATGCAACCTGGAAAGTCCTTGTGTGTGTACATTGGCTGGTGGGTATCGGTTTAAAGAAAAAAAAGTACTGTAGCTTGCAGACACGAGGTTTTCACCTGGCGCCAAGCATGCGCAGGAGCTCGGGATTGGCGTTCAAGCTCGCATAGTCCAGCTCGTAGTCATCGCCCTCCTCGTCTTCGTCTCTGTCGTCTATTAGTATGTGTATTGTGCAGCAAATAGATACACACACGTACATTGCAAGTCAGGATGTACGACAACTTACGTTCTTCGCTTCCTAGCTTTGCAAATTATTGACGTCTGTTATTTTCACAATTTGTAGTGTTGGTCTGTTCGATGTTCAAATGCATGCATTGTAAAATACACCACCTGAATAGGACATTGTTGATACCGCAGTGTGTAGTGGTATGCACGCGTGATGAAGTCTGGTTGACCCGTGAAGAAGAACTCACTTGTTGTTACTCTTGTAGAACAGCAGCAGCAGTAGCTGTTGCCTTGGGTATCGGTAGGAATGACACCAAGGGGCACAGGATCCTCTGCACAAGCAGGGGCTACTAGATCCTGTCCCCTGCTTTTTATCCTTCCGCGGAGAGTTACATCTCTCCGCGCCTTCTAGAAGGAACCAAGCTCTTCTATGTTCCGTCTACACATCTGAATCCTATAACACTAGCCCACCCTGGAGGTTCTCATACGCAGATACTGTAAAACCTCGAGTCTTGACAAGCAATTGTCGAGTCTCTAAATGAAAGTATCGAGGATGTGGAGCTCCAAAACAGCACAATTCACCCTCCCACACCTCTCACTCGATGAGTCGCAAGACCATCGTTTGACTTCTAAAACGACAAAAAGACACAGACAGGAAGGAACTGACGGGGCTAAGAAAAGCCTACGACGACCGGAAGAAGATCGGAACCAAAGAAAGGAAGACACAAAGAAAGGAAGAAAAACAGAAAAGAAAAACAGAAAAGAAAAACAAAGGTCGTCAAAACGACAAAAAGAAAGGGTCACTGCAGAAACCACAACAAGACCGGTATCGTAAGAAAACGATAAGATACGCCATTCACGCAGTCGCCACGGCAGTGTAGAAGGGGCATCAATGGGCGCGAAACACCTACAGGTCGTGACCAAACGCTAAAGGCACAAAATAAAGCGAGGAGAAAGCGAAAACCAACCAAGGCTAAAAAGCAACCCAAACAACGCTGAAAACAACAGAAAGCCAAGACAACTAGCATGTCGTCTTAATGGGGGCGCGCAACGTTATCAGGCAACGAATCAGTCCCGGGGTCACCACGCGACATGTCGACGTTGCGAAGGATCCCCTTAAAAAGGGCACTGCCGCTGTGAACTTGGAGGCACCAGGATCCGGAGACGGCGGTTTCAGCGGTGGAGTAGCGAACATCAGGAAGGGCGAGCTTGACAGGGCCAGGATCGTCCAAGAAGCGGACGACGTAGAAGTCGGACGGTAGAGGCGGTCCAGTAATCTTGCCCAACCACCAGAATCCATCGCGAGCTTTGTACCAGAAGAAGGCGCCTGCAGGTAGCGGAGTATTGGCGAAGCGACGGTCCCAAGTTGAACGAGAGACGAGCGAATAACCCGAAGGCAAAGCTCGCTCCCCTTTAGCGCGCGCCATCTCGCGGGTGGCCGCACCAATACGCATCGCCCGATAGCGACGATTCGTTTGGCGATGTTGATCAGGCGAACCCGTCCAGTACCGGAGAATGTGGGTCTTGGAATGCTGGAGGTCCATCTCACGTTCCCAAGAAGGACGAAGAAGACCTTTCCAATGGGTTTGGTATAAAACAGCGATGGTGCCATCACGGCCACGAACAGACTGATGGCCACTAATGCGGTCAACCTCGAGACGTTCGACCGGAGTCGACACGTCGTCTTCCGTAACATGGTAGGGAGGAGATTTATTCGCATAGGAGTTTAGCACATACGGTGTAAGGCCGGCAGGCAGGAACCGAGGCAAGTCTTCAGTGTCATGCGGATTAGCGCAAGGCTTGCAACGCGCAACTGACACACACACGGTTTTTCGAGTCCGGACCCGGTAGATCCGATGGAAGATCCAAATACAGTAACTTGGAAGCCAGAGGACAACCGTCGGGAGCGTCAGGACACGGACCCACGACCAAGATCTTGAACGGACCAGTCCAAAGGAAAGACAACTTAGCCTTGAGGACCTTGTCATCCGTGCCTGAACGAACACCTTGGCGAATGATAGATTCGGTGTTGTACACCCAAACCCATCAACCGACGGTGTATGAGGGGACCTTGCGCAAAGCATCCGATAGAGCGGAGTTACGCCGCTCAATCCTCGAAACGGACAGGTTGTGCTGTTCGCGAACTAAATCGTAAGAACGACGTTGGCGATCAGCAGCAAGATCGCAATACTCAAGTTGATCGCGATGCAAGCTTTGGTGGCCTCGAGCATATGGATGCTCAAAAACCGTCATCGGCATGCGTGGCAGTCGGTTCATATGCACCTCGTTGGGCGCCAAACCAGTAGCGGCACTAACCGAATTGTTGTAGGCAAACTCAACGTGCGGCAGATGAATGTCCCAATCATCTTGCCTCTCATTGACGACCATAGCCAACATCTGAGCCATAGTGTGATTTACGCGCTCCACACCCCCATTGCCGTTGGGATGGTAAGAGCTGGTAGCCACTTTGCGGATAGCCAGACGAGCGTATACAGCCTGCGACAGTTTAGAACAAAACTGAGAGCCATTATCAGACAAGAGACTCAAAGGGCAACCCCATAAAGGGATATACCGATTGACAAGTACGTCAGCGGTGCCTTCGGCGGTGAATTCTGCAGCCGTAACCGCGTACATGTCAGCACGGCGGCTGAAACGGTCAGCGAAAAGCAGAGTATATGTGTTTCCGCGCGGTGTCAACGGGAGGGGACCGAAATAATCGACGCTCACCGATACACCAGGGCCCGAAGGCAGCGGAAGGCACAAAGTAGGCCATCGAGGCGTTTGACGAGATGACTTGCGAGCTTGGCATCGCAAACAATGCCGTACCCACCACTTCGTGCAAACACTCATGCCAACCCACCAATAAAAACGTTCCAGCATGCTAAGCGTGCGAGCGGCACCGAGGTGGCAGGATGCATCAGCGTGACAGGCTTGCATGATCCAGGGACGCATGAGCATGGGAACATAAATCCGAATGGGTTCGTCGTTGAGAAGGCGAGCAGCACGCCCGCCAGGACGTGTGGCCGTAGACGACGGGGGCGCTGTTTGCTTGCGAACAAGCAAGACCAAACCATCATCGTCAACATGTAACCGGCCTTTGTTAGACAGGTCACGAATCTCCGACAGAGGGGGTCGACGAGCGGACGGAAGATGATCCAGGAAATCCGGAGGGAGAGCCGAAGGCCGACCCATAAGGATGAAACGAATAGCTGCGTCACAAACAGGTTCGTTACGTTGCTCGCGAGCCCAATCAGCATGCGAGAAACGTTCGACAGACGCCCGGAAGGCTAAATCTGCCGAGGAATGTAAAGCCGCCTCGATAGAAGAGGGGGCCGATTCCTGAGGCTCCGGCTGCAATTCACCCGAAGGCAGAGTCGCAGCGGAAACCGAAGACGAAGGCGTATAAGTGGTCGAAACCAAATGCGTCGAAGATTCCGAAGAATCGGGAGCAGCAGAAGACTGCTGGGCAGGAGCAACCGAAGTTGCAGGATGCGTCGAAGACGCAAGATCCCTTCCACGAGCCAGAGGCGTATGGAGGTCTGGGATCGAAGTGTCAGCACCAGGAGCCGAAACCAACCTGGTCAAAACGGGGGGCGCCGTCGATGCTGATTGTGCAGGCGGGGAACGTCGAAACGATCTGGGCGAAGCGGAAATCCGAGTAGGAGCAGGCGGGTCCTCAGAGAAACCATAATCCACCGGCGGGAGGGGCGTGCCTGCCACAACCGCCGTGCGACGGCGAGTTCGCGTGGAAATTAGTTGAGTAGGGTCGAGAGTCCGTCGTGATGCTGCAGTCGGCGAGACGGCCGGCGAAGACTCGGGCTCGAGAGCCAAAATGTCCTCCACCGAAGAATGTAAGGAGCCAGACCAATCGAGGGTCCTGTCACCCAAGCGTCGTAGCGAAGGAGACAACCCGCGGGAGTTGATGGACGGCCAGGGTGCAATGTTCCAGATGCCAGACGGAGACGAAAGGCCTGACGGCGAGAGACGTGGACCATGCCGACGGAAGTCGACAAAATCATCTGTAGAGGGGGCCAGCCCACCCAAGACCGAAGTCGGGGAAGTTGGGACGAGCCCACCCAAGCCAACACCCACGGCGCGATGGCCAGAAGGCGTAAGGCCACAAGAACGGATGAAGAATACGCTCTCCTCATCGTCATCCGGTGTCAAGCGACTGCGACCAGATCGGTCACATTCCGCCGCATCGATCGGAAGGCGAGAGAGGAAATCAGCGTTGCCATTTGCGGAACCCTTGCGGTACTCGAGAGTGTAATTGTAGGCGGTAAGAAATTCAAGCCAACGCTGAACGCGGGCATTGTTCTCCCCCACCTTGGCAAAATGCGATAGAGATTTGTGGTCGGTAAAAATGCGAAATTTCGTGCCCCACAAATAACCGCGAAGTCGTTTGATGCACCATACGATGCTACCCGCCTCGAGGTCGAGGGGAGTCCAATGACGTTCGGAGTCCAAAGTAGCTCGGCTGATGAAAACGATGGGCCGGATGGAGCCATCCGGCTGTTCTTGTTCGAGAGTCCCGCCGAGCCCATCGCGACTAGCATCACAGTAGAGGCGAAAAGGTCGCGAGCCGTCCGTAACGGCATCCCAATCTGGATAAACCAAGACAGGAGGGTTGGCCAACTCAGACAACAGGACGCGAACAGCTTGCTCCATGGCAGGGGTGAAGGCGAACGTCGCCTGCTTCTTGAGAAGAGTGGTCAAAGGTCGAATTCGCGTAGCCATGTTGGGAAGGAACTTGCGGTAGTAGCTGAGGCCGCCGAGAAGAGAGCGAAGTTGTTTAACATCCTTAGGCATGGGCATTTTGGTGAGGGCCGCAACCTTGGCCCCGTTAGGCCGAACACCGTCAGGGGAGATGGTGTGGCCGAGGAAATTCGCTTCGGTAGCGCCAATGGTGGCCTTCGGTGGGGTGAGTTTCAAGTTGTGTGTGCGCAAGCGTTCAAACAGAGCGCGCATGGTATCAACATGAGAAGCCGGGTTGTCGTCGAAAACGATCAAATCATCCAAGTACGATGCAACACC